AGTGACGTTGCGGACCTTAAAACTCCGGTTTTGTCTGTCCACACGCAGACACCCAAAACGGAGAAAACGCAGATCTTCACTTTGGCCGGAGTTTTTAAAAAGATCCGTTTTCGTGTGAAAAAAACTCCGTTTTCGTGTGGACGACAGGCCAAAACGTAGAAACATATCTACGTTTTGGCAGATCGCCGGCTACGTGTGGACAGGGCCTTAATGTTACCAAAACAAACTCACTCGTGAGCACGGACTAGGAAGACACGAGGAGGACAGAAACACACTGACGAATGCAATGAACCAACAAACACAGAGTGACAAGACAAGGCTCTTAAACGCAGAGGGAGGTAATCAGGGAAACAGGTGACAGGTGTGAGGAGTGTGAGCTGAGGAGGAGAAACTGGTGGAATCAATTAACTAAATGGGAAGGGAGAGAGCCAGCAAGGGAGGGTAGATGAACATTAACCTATAAAACATGGATCTAACTAAACCTAAAAGACAGAGGGCAAATATAAACCACTAATAACCAGATGGGTGAGGAGAACTGAGCTAAAGACAACTAGGAAAACCAGGGACTGACAGAAGGGGGCACAGGACATGACACCAGTATCATCTTCACAGAAGAGTCTAGCAGAGGCATCAAAAATAAAGCTTTGATTTTGTTGAATGGATTCTGCGTTGCTCCACTTTTTTTCTCTTTGCCAGATAATGTAAAGCTCCAGGTTTGGCTCTTGTGACCTTTGTTCAGCAGCCATGGATACAAGGGAGCGTCGCACCAGCACAACAAAGGCTGCTAGTGGAGCCAGATTACAGATCTACCTGATAGCAGGTAAGTGAAAGTGACAAGCAAGTAGCATCCCTTACTGATGTGATAATTACCTGCAGCCCACTGTCTGGGGAAGGTTATCTTAGAAAGCAGCCAGTGCTCAGCGAAAATGTCTCAAAGTGGAGCAGCAGTTTATTTATATATTTTTTGGGTGTGGGGGGGGGGATTAGTTTGTCATTACAAATTCTGAAAAATATCTGCAACTGGTTCATCTTATTGTTTGATTGATTGATAAATTAAACACAACAGCGAAGAAAATTTGCCTTTCAGATACGTTTTTATTGTCCATCCAGCTATTTTCTTCTGCCTATCCGGAGTTGGGCCGTGGGGGCAGTAGCCTAAGCCGAGAGGCCCAGACTTCCCTCTCTCCAGCCACTTGGGCCAGCTCCTCTGGGGGAATCCCAAGGCGTTCCCTGGCCAGCTGACAAACAGACCGTAGTCCCTCCAGCTGGGTCTTTCCTTAGGTCTCCTCGTTTGGCAGCAGTAGATCAACAGGTTGAGCGGATGTCCAGACACTTAACCCACCTTGCCTGCTGGTGGTAGTCAGAGGGACTGGTGGCGCCTGTGCTCGGCAGCCTCGCCTCTATCTATGCGCCTCAGGGCAGCTGTGGCTACATCGTAGCTCATCCCCATCGGCGTGTGGATGTGTGTGTGAATGGATGAATGATACACTGCAGTGAAAACGCTTTGGAGTCCTCTGATTCTGAAAGGCGCCATACAAGTGCGGCATCATTCCTCCTTCCTGTTGATCGGGTCCAGAAAACCTCACCAGGGAGGTGTCCAGGAAGCATCCTAATTAGATGCCAGAGCCACCTCTACTGGCTCCTCTCAATGTGGAGGAGCAGCAGATCTACTCCGAGCCCCTCCAAGATGACTGAGCTTCTCACCCTATCTCTAAGGGAGAGCCCAAAAGCTAATTTTGGCCGCTTGCATCCACAGCCTCGTTCATTCAGTCACGAACCAAAGCTCGTGACCATAGGTGAGGGCAGGGACGTGGATCGACCAGTAAATGGAGAGCTTTGCCTTCTGGCTCAGCTCTCTCTCTTCTCCTCCACTCGGGGAAGGACCCCATCCCTGACCTGGACTCAAGACCATGGTCTCGGATTTAGAGGAGCAGAATCTAGTCCCAGCTACTTCTTTTATTCTTTTTATTCGTTTTTAATTATTGATCTCTCAAACCAACCAGGCCCTGCTGCTAAACTATGACCTAGCTGTGATAAACCACACTGTTAACACATCAAATTTATATCGCGCTTTTTAGGACACTCAAAGACGCTTTCATGCACTCTCACATTCACACACATTCAAAAGGATGACTTGTGTTTATTTTTATACGTTTTCTGCTGTGACAGACTAATTCGATATCTATTCTTTTATAGTTGTAGTAAAAAGTTGTGTGTGTCTGTTTTAATTCATCCTGCATGGAGCAAATGTCACCTGATAATTTTGTTCTACAGTATCTTGTTGCTACAGCAACACCATGGCTGTGTCCCATAACACCACCTTCCCCTGATGACATGGACGTAATTTGGGGGGGGGGGGGGGGGGGGGGGACATGTCCCCCCCACTTTTTCCAAAGTCAAGTTTTGACCCCTGCACTTTTTACCATCCAAAAACAACATTACGCTATGTTAAATTGACACTGGTTGAGCTCTAGGACCAAGCAGAAAACAACCGTTTGTGTTGAAGCCGGTTTCCCATTAGAGCATACTGTAAAGATACACCCCGTCCCCCCCACGTCTAAAGTGAAAATTGCGTCCATGCCTGATGACACCGACCGGGTATGCCGGTCTCACTCACCTCTAACCCTAACCACCTCCTAATTCCATGTAATGTGAAACAGTCAAGTGTAATGCTCAAGTAAAGAATGTTGGTGTAAACCACTGTGAGACTGAAGTTGGTCTAAGATTGCAGCTGCACACGTAGGGCCCGGCTGCACTCAGACTAGACATGACTTCACCTGATCAACAGTGCATCGCTTTTATTCTGATTTACGGAAAATTGGCTTTTTGGTAAAGAGAACATTTCTTAGCCCGCTTTGTTGAAACTCTTGAAATATCCTTCTTCTTCCAGATGAACTTTGAGACAGGAACCAAACTCAGTTGCAGGTTAGAGAAGCTGCAGTGACAGATGTGATGTTTGTGCTTTACTGGGAACAGTTACGTTCTGTTTTAGTTCAGAACATAGAGAGCACCTTCAGCTTAATAAAGTCTTTAACTTTCTTTTTTTTTAATTTAACAATTTTGAGAGAAAGATGGAGGGCGTCCAACCAGAGACAGAGGACTCCAAAGCGCTTTACACTACAGGAAATGATTCATCCTATCACAAACACATTAATACTCTAGTGGTGATGAGCTACATTGTAGCCACAGCCACCCTGGGGTGCACTGATAGAGATGAGGCTGCTGTCCCCTTGACCACCACCAGCAGGCAAGGAAGATGAAGTGTCTTGCCCAAGGGCACAACAGCAGAATTCCCTAGGGACCTGGGATTGCCCCTGCAACCCTCTGATTACCGGAAAACCCCATCTACCTGCTGAGCTACTGCTGCCTCTGAACTCTTCGGGCACTCGTTGCCCATCTTTGGGTCAGGTCACAGGTCCTGCAGGTCTTTCAAATAAAAATGTTTGTTATGTTTTACTAAATAAACTCCAGGTTCTAAACTGCTGGAATGTCCCTTTAAATCCTCCTAGATCAGACGTGGCTGTGGTAAATCTGCAGACTGGACCGTGTTTCTGAACCATTCTTTTGTCTCTGGTGCTCTGATGAGGATCGCTGTGAGGCGTGCTGTGGAGAGCAGCGACAGCACCGATGCGTCCGAGGGAAAGCTCCTGGGTTTGCCTACATTCAGGTTTACCTAGATTTAAAACCAAAAGATGAAAATTTTACAAAATCAAATGTCATTTGCATAAAACGAAAAGAATTCTGTTTGTTTATTCGGTCAGAAACATATCAGATGACTGCTTTAATCCAACATCCTCATCCACATCAGAACGTGTTTGAGGCTGCTGGGCCCGGTGCTTGATGGGATGATGTGGATTACATTTCGCAAACTGACCTTGGCCTCGTCTCGTTTTTGCTGCCTGCCACTCGAACGCAGCGATGGCAGCGTGCGTCGCATCGCTGCCAAATAAAGCCCAAATATCCCCCTGATGATTAAGGTCACTCATACGCTGCTCTACAGAAGCCCTCCTGGTGTAAGCCTCAGAGAGCAGACAGAGGGAGGGTGGAGGGCCGGGACGAGCCTTTGGACTCCAGTTGGTCGTCATGTCTTCACTGTCAGGTCTCCCCAGGTCTCTCCAGGTTCTTCTTGCCTCACTGCGACCAGAAAAGCTGTAGCCAGAGCTGGTCTCAGAGGCAGCGTGACCTGTTGATGACTTTCATTTTTGTGTCATTAAGAGGTTTAAGCTCCTTCATGAGTTTATCCCTGGATCACGGGGATCTGCTGGGCTCACCGGTCATTTGCCGTCAGCATCCCGGGAGCTCAGATTGTTAGGGCTGCTTTACTCTGAAAATGATGGAAATGTGTTGGACTAATTTGGCTTTAGTGGGATTGGCTGAATATTAGTCCACTCATCCAGCGGATTATCCCCCTTCGCTGCAGTGAACATACTGCACATGCTGAGATCTGTCAAGCGCCCATACACATCTCATTTTCCTCCGGTATTTCACATCACGGGCGTGCGTTCATCCCACATGTGCACGTTCCCCGCTGTAAAGCCGTGCAGCGTCTAACTGTGGTGATAATGAGAGCTTTGGGAGCTCCTACCCAGTCAGATGAGCTTATCTGCACAGACAGGGTGTGTATTCATTTAATCTGAGTTCAACATCAGGTGTCAAGTACGATTACACACTGAAAGGATTGGTGTTTCATATTAAATTCACATGCACTGGTTTGAAAACAAAAGCCCTGACGGTGGTTCCCTTCAATCATTTACCAGCAGAAGTTGATGCTAGCTTCATGCTCTTACCTTCAGATATACATTTAATGTTGTGAGGATTTCCTCCCTAATTTCCTCCCCCTGCAGCAACTCCCGATTGGCTGGGCCATGCCGGAGTGACAGCTGGTATGATGTAATGACAACCCCTCCACACAAGTTATAAAGAGCAATATCTAGTTCCCTGGATTGAGATAAGCCGAGGTGGATTAATGCGGCGGGACACTGAAATGTTTGCTGTGTAAACGCTCTGTTTATAAAACAATGTGTGGTTTCTGTATGAGAAAACCGATCCGGCAGATGGCATGAGCTCCAAAAGTTCCTCCATGTTGAAGGCACTGCTGCTCCACGGTTCAGCTCATGAGGCTTAATGGGATTTTAAAGTCTACATTCAGATGATTTCTATATAGAAAAACTGGGATTATCTTTCAGGCTGTTTAATCTCCCTCGCTCTCTCTCGCTTTTTTTTTTTTTCCCCCGAGCCTGCCCCACCGTTTTAGCACTCGTGGAAAAGCGGAGTGACTGTGAGCGCTGCGATCAATGGACGCTAGAGTGCAGACGGCCTATCAGCTCAGAGAACCAGAGAGATGCCCTGTGGACCATTCCTCTAACGTGGAGCACGCTCAGTCGATTTGATTCACTTCAGCCCGGCTGCCGTGCCCGCCTTTCCAGAAGAGTTCCACATCGTGCTCAACAGGGACGGGAACGAGGCTTCACCAGGCTGCGCCGCCACTGCTAGACGCCGACCTGGTGTCCTCTTTCACTGAGGAGCAGCTTCATCGCTCCAAGCTCAGAGGGGGGTGGGGGCGGGCACCGGTCTGCATCTTGGACCATCTAGCTCCTCAGCAGAAAACTAAAACTCCACTGAGAACAGCAGGAGAGGTTCTCTCACTTCCTGAGCTGGACTAAGAACTGACCATCCACCTGACTCCCATCATGCCTAACTCCTTCCAGCAGAGAAAAGGTGAGACTTCTTTGTTTTTGTTACTCAAAACCACAAATGCCTCCTCCAGTGCAAGATGGAGACGTGTGGCAGGAAGAGAACTAATATTTAGTTTACCATGTGACTTTTGCTATTGCCACTGAAATCCTTCACAAAAACAATCAAATGCATTCAAAAGCGTGGGATTTTTCAGCTTTTTAAAGAAAGTGGTACATCTCAACATGTAAAATCGCTAAAGATATTAAAATCAATCAATCAATCAATCAAATTTTATTTCTAAAGAGCTTTTCAAACAAAGTGTGATTCAAAGTGCTTTACAAAATGACCCCAGATTCCCATAACAGGTTAAAAACATTTACAAACATATGCAAGCACACGCAGACTCACACACACACACAAGTAAAAATTATATTAGGCTGAGTCCAGATGAGCCAAGAATGGTAACGCAAGGAAACGCCATCAGAGGAGCCGTCTGCCCCGGCAGCATCAGGTCTTCCACACTAAGTCAGGGCGCTCAGTGGAGGGGGAGCATAGACCCCCACCCATAGAGCGCCCAGGAAACTACATTCGACCACCGCTCCCGGGGCAGAGGGCCCCCACAGAGGAAACACTGGATTAAAATGAGTAAAAATGTAATAAAAGAGCTAATATAAATGACAAAAGTTAGAAAATAAGTAATAAATAAAATTATATAGACAGTAAAATAATAATTTAATAATAAAACTGTGCTAAAATATAATTATATAGAGCATGCAAAGCAAGTAATAAAATATAATCATGCAAAAAGAGAAATAAAACCGTAGAAAATATTTAGAAGAGCTTCACAATTAAAAACAGACGCTGAGAGATACCCTCACACCAGGGCAGATTAATCCAAAAAAACTTATAAGATTTCATTTTTATGATTAAGATTTTTAAGATTAGGTTTTAACTGACGCAAAATAATCAACAGAGTCCAGATCTTTGGTCCAAAGAACGTCCAAAAGCCTTGGGCCACCAAAGAGAAGGCTCTGTGCAAAACGATCACATCTTCTAAATTTGATCATTTCATTGTCCGTATAACCGACAGGAGTTGATTTTTATTCACTTTGACACATTTTTTCAGGTGGATTTGTTGTAATGAAGTTTAAATTCATTAATCTGTTTTACTTTTATATGGGAAAAAATAAACAATTTTCCAGAGATACTTTAACGAAGTCAGTTTTCCAGTGTAGATTGTCGATGCAATCCTAAAATAAGGTGTTTTTTTCTTGCATCCTTGCAAGAAAATATGTGCAATGCCTAGTTTCATCAAGCCCTACTATCTTGTCATTTTATGCCCAGTAGGAACATCAGCACTCAGTAAACTGGACCACAGCCAAACATTCCCCGTTTGTGGAGGCCAGGAACAAGTGGCTCACTCACACCTGCGCTGATAAATCGGTATATTTCCATAGAGCCTTTAGGTCGGTCAGCTAATCTCTGAGATTTAATCAATACGCTGTTCAACCGTTTGTTCGCCCACAACCTCGGCAGGAATGCAAACTAACAGTAAAGCTGTACAGCGTGATAGAACAACTGACATCTGATAAGCAAATGGGAGAAGTAAATCCACTGCAGAATGGCTTCGCTGGATTTTATCTACATGTAAATAAGACTTTTAACGCCAACCAGGAGGCAATATGAGCTAACTGAGAGAAATTTTTGATTCATTTTTGATTTTCATACCAGCTTCACACGTGAATCCTCTCCTGTGAGCACAAGGGACAATGAAAACAAAAGGTGAGTGGTTGAGATGAAAGACTTCTTACTACCAGAGAGCCTCTTTTATTTTGAAAGTTTCATTTTAAAAGCAGCAGATCATTAAGGCACACTTCTGACCCACGCTTGGCTGGAAAATGTGCTCAGCTGATTTTCTTTTATAATTCACATGTGCTACTTTTGGCAAGTTGCTTGTGGTCTCTCGTGTGCAGAAGAAAACATTGTTTTTTCAAAGTGCAGCACATATCAAAAGTAGCTGTCTGCCTGATGAAGAGCAGATAACGGTAATGTGAAGGTGTCGAGCACCAGAGATGGCACAGTCTGAACTTCCACCCGCCATTTCCTGGGCTGCAGAGATGCTTTAAATGAAAGAGAAGAGGGACACGGTGACTGTTAGTGAGACTAAAGCTGAATTTTTACATTTCACAGAAAAATAAATCTAAGTTCATTAGGTCTAGTTTGTTTTAACCGTGGGAAATGACAGTAAACAAATGAATTCTTCATTATTAAGTTGTGAATGTCAAATCAAAGAAGTTCACAGATGGATAAAAAAAGATTTTAAAGGTCACTCTGTTTACTAATGAACAATTGAAATGTACATGGGTATGGAGTGCTGATTGCAAAGGGATCATTTGAAAATGAACAGATATCTATTTTTACATATTTGGGTTTAGATCATATTTTAAAACATTAAAAAATTATTTAAAGGTCAAACCTACATTTGTTAGATTAAACATAAAGATTTACAGTAAAATCTTAAAATTGAAAGTTGAACCTAAATATTTAGAATTCAATCTAAATATTAAAAGTTAAGCTGGAATATTTAAAATCAAACACAAATATATACATTTAAATTATATTTGACTGTTTAATTTCAAATATAAATATATAAAGTAAAAGACAAATATTTAGAATCAAATATAAATGTATAAAGATACTTTTAGAAACCTAAAATTACTACTGTGGTTGTTTGAAACTAAATATTTAATTGACATGGAAATTAAGATTGCCATAAAACAGATGTAAACCAAAGTAAACTCTGGGATTTGTTAAATTTTAAGATCGTGTGAACCCATTTAAACTTTGGATCATAGATAAATGATCAGAACAGACTTGTGCAATCGGACCATCAAAACTACCCAATGTTAGGTAAAGGATCTCGTCGCCCTGATTTCATTTTGGTAGGCTTCTTCTGCTCTAGTGCTTTATGCATATTATAGATTTGTATTTATATTTTTGTATTTGATATTCAATTTAAAAAAAATAAATTTGGACATCATATTATGTTTTTAAAGAATAAACAGGGTGAAAATGGGATAGAAAAATATTTGACATGGTCACACCTCATCGTTGTGAGGAATTAAATGTGGCAAAATGTACATGTGATGCCCCATACACACACAAACGCATGTATGTTTTTTATTATGTCAACTGGAGTCAAAATGCTGGAACTTTCTCTTCTGTGTGTTTAATTGAAAAAAATAATAGAGTTTTATATTTGATATATTTATTTAGACTTCTGAGGCTCAGTGGGATCACTTTCATCCTCACCCATCCCGTGTTTCTATGTTGGATTTAAATCCATTTACCTCTTTAGCTGGAGGAAACCATCCAAGGAGCTGATGTGAAATGCACCTATTTACTGCTGGCTGCAGGGGAGGTTTGATGCACAGGAAACCTGCTGGAAACATGGGGGGGCAAAATAAAAGCAAAAAGAATTTGATGTGCACATTTCTGTAGTGGATTTGACCTCTCGTGTCTGCATGTGAGGTAATTAAAAACGTAGATGTGCTTAGTGAGATTTTTAACAGTGCTCTGCTCTGGATTGTATTCATATTTTAGGATTTTCCCGACACAAAGGCAGCAGCGCTGACGCGGTGGTTGTGCTGAGGACACCTTGCTGCTGCACAGCTCTTGTTGAACCGTGGCCTGGAGCTAGGTGTGTGTTTAACCAGCTCCATAGACCAGTATCAGCAGCTGGCGTTCAATTCAACAAGGCTACTTTAACCTGGCAGTGGAAAAACGACTCCCTGGATGAATCTGAAATGGTTGCAATCTAAACTGGGCCAGGGTTTGACAGAGAGCAGGAGCAGAAGAAGAACAAGCAGGAGGGGGCTGGAACAGAGGGAATGACTCCTCATTCCGCCGTGTTCGCTCCATTTTTACAAACTAATAATTTGAGGAAACTCACAATCAATTTGTTGTGGGGCTGATTTTATGAATTGAAACTGGCTCAGCAGCTTTCCGTCTGAACCGTTTACATTTTTCCAAACATGTTGACAGTGAAAGTTTCCACTGCTTCCTGAGAAATACGCTCTGAAAGTTGCCTCTGTTGCCCAAACAGATCAAACGATGAGCTAAAGATGAACTCTGCACAGCCTGATCAGAAGTACCCTTTCTGAAATGTTACGATCTGGTGTTTGTGTTGTCTTGCTGTTCATAATCACACCAACAATGGTACTATTACGTCCAATCACAGTGGGAAACAGCAGGAAGTCAACCAAAATGTATTGAAAGATAACTTTTTGATTGGTTGTTATTTTTTCCTACTTTTTGAGACATGCACGCTTCAGAGGTTTGTCCTGGCGCAGTATGAAGAGGAGTCAAAAGCAAAAATACCACCGATCCGGAAAGATTCCCAGCCTATCCCGATTTAACGCTCCGCGCTGAATGGAAGACGTGTTGACAGTTGAGTGGAAGAAGGGGGTTGATTCAGACAGATGGTTCTTATTGGATCATTATTGAGGGTGGCGCGGAGAAATAAGGCCCACTTGTTTACCATATCAATCCCACCGATGAAGCGTCCTGTCAAAAAAAAAAAGGATACCTCTGTTAAAACCCCAGAGCAAAGCACTGAAAACAATCCTGGCAGAGGTTTGTTTTGAACGTGGTAACTCGTGTGCCCTGGAGCTCGTGCAGCAAATGCTCAGGCTGTAAAGGTTTGTGAGGACGGCGGCCCTTTTATCCCGGTGTTTTGTGGAAGTAGCCGACCCGTCATCCAGCAGACGGCACACTGACAGGACGCCGTGTGAGGAATGCGTGGAAAATTCCACGGTTTGACACTGCAGGCTGCATTCCAGGCTCCTCTCAGCTGGCCTTGAGGAAGAACCGAAGCTCCGAGCCTCGATTCGAACACACACCTCAGCTCACAGTCTCGGCATGTTGACTTAACGTGATCCAGTCAGAGAACTCCAAGCTTCTTTTAAAGGAATGTGGCTGTTTTTAAGTAATCTTTAACAAATCTTAACGCAGAAATCAATAAAATTACAAAACAAACATCAGAATTAGGAGGAGAACCTGTAGTGTCAACCCCAGAATGGCTGTTATGTGAGTGCAGGCTGTAGGTTTATGGTTGTGCTAAATCTTCTCGTGCGGGACGAATTATTCCCTCTAATTTCCTTTATGACATCTCCATCTCATTAGAGGTGTTTATGTTGGTGTTTACAGGTGATGCGTGTGTGTTTTCTGAGTATTCTCAAACACACAGTGAAGGAAATGGTATAAATGCACTCAAAAACTAGAGGGAACTAATCCATTCACACCTGCAGCCCGGGCGGCGTTCCACAAAGGGAAATGGAAACAAATGCAGACAGGAAAATAAAAAAATAAATGATGGGATGAAAGCTTCTGGGATGCACGGAGTTAAAAAGTGAAACTTAACAATATAGAAAGAAATTCTTTTTAAAAAAGGAACTAAAAAGGACCTCTGTAGCTAACAGCATTATCTGTTTGGTGTTACAGCGCAGTTGCATCATGCCTCTCAGAACAAAACTCTGCACTCATCTTTGCTGACAATGAACACTGAAGTTGGCAGAAATTTGCTGTGAAACGAGACAAAAGTGTGCAGTTTACAAAAAAAGAGAAAGTGAGGCAACCTCCGGGCCTCGGGCTTTTGTCAGTGGGCATCTCTGCTCGGTGGCCGGCTACGGGCGACGAGGCGGCTGAGAGATGATTCAGACTGGAAGTAAAAAAGCTTTTATTTTTTTAATTAAACGTGCAGCAACCTGCTCTGGATGTGATTGTTTCTGAACACCGTACCACTGTAACAAAGAGACCAGCAGCCTGATGTCATGACCGCTTAATTATCCACCCTGAATGGAGATCAGGGGGGATTAACCGGCATGAGCTGAGCGTATTGATCAGCTACTCGCCTCTTCACTGCCCCTCTGTAAAGTGGGTCATTTATTTTTGCAAGAAATTGGTTCAGTAAAAAGTTTGCCAAGGCTTTGCAGTCATTATCTTACCCCTGTATGGCAGGGCGCAGCATGAGGCCGTGGTAAATTACACAGCCCTCTCCTAACTCCTGGATGCTTTATGGCCGTGCATTATGCATAACTGTGCTGGAGCGCCTTTAACATCCCCCAAGTGGATTGAAATAAAGTTGACGCTGCTCTTTGTTTGGAGCTCAACACAAGTCTTTATTTGGCTGTGCTGAATCGGAGATCGCTGTAAAAAATAAATAAATAAAGAAAGAAAAGAAAAAAGTGCTCATCTTAATTATTTTGGAGACCTTTTTTCTCTTTTCTTCCCCCAGTTGGTTTGTGAACACCTGAAGTGTTTTTAGAGGGAATCCGGATCCAGATGTGGGGATGTTTGGGCGCTCCACAGGGAAATGTCACTCCGTGTATAGCACTAGTTGTATTTTTTTTTAAAAGAAGAAAGGAAGAGCTTGTTGTTCACACAAAGACGAGGACATTAGGAAGCTCAAAAGCCACAAATGCCTGAACGACAATCTGCTGTAGAACTCTCAACAACAACATATTTTTATGTTTTATCCTTTTTAAAACAAGGAAAGTATTTTATTGGTATTATAATTTACGGTGAAATAAAAAAAAATGATTAGAATTGATGAAAATGATCAACAAAAACCTCACCAACATGCTCATCCTTAGAGCTGCTGCACAACCAATCCAAAAACCAAATATGTCAAATGTTAAAATGGTTAAAACAATTAAAGTCTATGACTGGTTTGTACGGAAAAGGTTTTGTTTTCGTTTTTTTGTTGCACTATTATGTCTATTTAAAGGGATTTTACTTCTCTTCCAGCCCAACAAATGCTCCTTCTCTGCCAGGGAGTGAATGGGACGAGGAAAGACCGAGAACCTGTGGTTTGGAACCACCACAAACAGGGCTTCCAAGGTGAGTCACTGGCAGTAAGCGTGCCCACATAAACTTTCTCAGATGCTGTCACCTCACAACCCTCTTCCCCATCAACTCTCACACTCTGTGCTGGGATGTCACCAAACGACGCACGAGTTCAAATGAATATATTTTAATCTCCTGCAGGTGTGCTGTCTGACTGGGGTATGTATGGGGTAACAATACCAATAAAATGTTTATACTTGTGAGAAATAACACAATATGGAACATTCAATAATTTTCAAATGTTTTTAATTAAAAATTTTGCAAATATATAAAATTTCAACATAAGTCATAACATTAATTACTGTGGTATTATCGTTTATATGTGTGCATTTTTAGAGTATGAACGCACATTACAGGTTAAGTTACATTTAGCACCAACAACACACAGACCTGACCTTGGCATTAGATTTTACTATGTGTACAACAAGTCTCAGCTTTTGAAACGCCATTAATGACTGAAGCTTATTTGCTTTACAAGTTTCTGTTCTCTATACAATACTCGGAATAAATTCTGATACAGAAATACAGTTGCAGCTCTAAAAAGTGTACAGAACAGTAGTTACACGCAGGGAATAAAAAAAAATAAAACAAGCGTCAACTCTAACCTGAGAAAAACAATCCCATCCACATCCTCCTCCGACTGGCGAATAATAAATCTACTCAATCTAAGGAAATCTTAACAGAATCAGAAGAAAAGAGAGTCTGTGACACAGAACCATCCGCGTGAACCTAATTTAGAGTCTGTGCTGCTGCTCCAGTCTCTCTCTCTCTCTCTCTCTCTCTCTCTCTCTCTCTCCCGCGCACGCGCGCGCGTGTGTGTATGTGTGTGTGTTACACGCGACGCAAAGCAACGACACTATGCGCCGCTTCAAGTCCCGGAATATAAATTAGTTCTGAGAATTTCGGGGGCCGGGTTTCACGGAGCCGCTGACGTCGCGAGCTCGACGTGCTGTGACTGCGGGCTCAACCAAAACACGAGGTGGGTTCAGAACCTCCCGGGTCGATTTAACGCGTTATTTTACTCAGATTTATTCGTTATATCTCTGGTTTTTAAGCTAAGAAGCTGTTGATTTTAGTTTTTAAACCGTTTGGTGTCGTGCCCGTTAGAAACATTGCTGTGATTCGCGAACTTTGGCCCGAAGCGCCTCACCCCCTCGCTGGAAAAGTGGTACGGTCTCGGGCTCAAATTCCGAGAATTGTGCTCGTCTGATTCTTAGAACAGGGGTTCTTAGAAGTGGTGATGCAAGAAGTTTCTAGGAAAGCGCTACCAGGTGATTTTTTAAAATTATTTTTCCCTTTCATTTGGCGCGAAGTTTTTATCTATTATCTATTGTTAATGTTGTAGACTGTTTGTGCCGGCGGGGTGTTTGTGGAGTCCGGTTCTGTGTGGTCTATGCGGGTCGGAACTCTGACGGGGCTGTTATGAACGACAGCCGGCGCGCCGAGCTCTGACAGCTCGGCTGCCCCGGCTCGGCGCTGCGCCGGTCGGGCAGCAGCGCGGACTGACAGCCGCCTCTACCGGCCGTGTTGTAACCGCTTAGTAACGTGCCACGGTTAGAAAATGGAGCCTTTGATCGCAGGAGCTCGGTGTGTTTGTGATTTAATGCCTCGTGAACTTTAATTGCAGAATGGCAGCAGCAGATTCGGGGTATTCCTGCTCCACTGTCTCCATTCAACGCAAAAGACTGCTGCTGTTATCGTAACGCTGTAGCGGAAATATTCCTGCGGAGGGGTGTGTGTGTGTGTGTGTGTGTGCTTTCCGTGGTAGAAGTTGCCTTTATTTTTTTCCACTGTGGCTGTTTGACATGTTTGCAACGCGTCACGTTTTCACCGGGGCTTCGGGCGAAACCCAGTGTTTCATTTCTACTCGTGCTAAATAACTTACACGAGCTTCACCTAGATCCATTTAAAATATATAAAAATACGAGAAATTGTGAACATTTGTTTTAAAATGGCTAAATTAAGAGTTGTCATTTAAATTATTTTTCGGCAATTAGCCTCGTGCGTCTGTGAAGTTGTTGTCACGGACTTTACCAAAGCGTGGGCGCTTGTTTTTCAGCGGAGAGGGGTCTTTATTTACCACCCGTCAGTTGAGACCGTCCCGGTGTTGTGTCAAGAATGTGTTCCCCGCCTGAAACCCTCCCCTCAGCTGTTATGAGTGGATTTCCAGCTGTCCGAGTTGTTCTTCCGCGATAAAAGGCAACAATTGTGATGTAGAAAGATATAATAGGATATTTGCGTCATTAAGCCAGTTCTATGTCTTTTACAAATGTGTGATAGTGTGTAATTTTACTACTGAACACCTGGGAAACTCAATGTAAACATGATGTTAAGCTGCAAGGTTGTTTTTCTGTGGGTAAAAGTGTATGGAGATGCTCTTTTAGCAATCTTCTTAAAATAGAAGACCTTAAAACGGGGAGTTTGAGAGGAGAGTGGAGAGAAGCAGGAGGAAAATTTGTTTTCGGCGAGGGAACACATTTCGGCACAACACCTGTTCTATTTAAGGACGTGCCCAGTTACAAACGCGGTGTTGGAGCTGCCATAAAGCCGCCTGTGTGTGAGGAGAGGGTCAATACAGTATTAGTTTTCGCTCCCACAAAGTATTTGACCCAGAACGGCTCCACGGCTGTCTGGACTTCGGAGTGCAGTTTTTAACCACATTACGACACCTGCACGCGCTGCTGCGGGAACGAGATGAGACCCCGCGGTTAAAGTTAGGATCTTTTTGTGTGTCCAACATGAAAAAGTAAAAAAAAAAATATATATAGCTGTTTGTGTCTGATGTTTCCCTTATTTAATCTTAAGTCTGTCTGAGATGACGCGTAAAAACCCAGAAATGAGCAGAAAACTTTCTTCTGTCCCGGTTTAAACACCAAGTTTGTTCGACTCGCAGTTTTTAAATATTGTAGATATTGTTGTGTTTTTTTTAAATAATTGAAACGTTTGTTTTTGCATGTCTTAACTGAATACAAAAATACGCGAGTGGGTATAAATAGCGCATTCCCAGTTAAAAGCGAAGACGTGGACCGTCTAAATAGAGTAATATGAGCCTCATTCATCACGCCAAGCTGTCAGTCTGTTTCCGTGCGAAAGTCAGGCGGAATCTGCAGCGGGAATTAAAAACCTCGTTTCAACAAACGGCGCCGCCTTCTGGCAAATTCTTATTCCTAATCTGTCCCCTCTGTGGGGTTTTAAACCAGTTAATCCATTCGAGAGCGCAAACATACTGAAATAAAATATTATTGTATGAAAATAAAGCAAAAAGGGCTCTTTTGATTTAAAGATATATCCATGTCCGTTTTGTTTCCTGCAGAACTCGACAAAATGGCCTGTGCAGCTGACAGCTGCATACAGTTCACACGCCATGCAAGCGATGTCCTCCTGAACCTAAATCGGCTGCGGAGCAGAGACATTCTCACGGATGTCACCATCTTGATCAACAGGCAGCAGTTTCGTGCACACAAAACTGTTCTCATGGCTTGCAGGTGAGTGTCTGACTTCGGGTTTGGTGTTTGTGTTGGTTGGAGATGGAGATATGATAATCTGGTGTGTGTGTGTGTGTGTGCTTTTTGATTTGACAGTGGGCTGTTCTACACCATCTTCACCGACTCCCACAAATGCAACCTTAATGCCATCAGTCTGGACCCAAAGGTGGACCCAGAGGGCTTTGCCATCCTGTTGGAGTTTATGTACACTTCCCGTCTCACACTAAAGGAAAGTCTGATCGTGTCCATCATGAACACAGCCATTTACCTGCAGATGGACCACGTTGTGGACACCTGCCACAGATTCATCAAATCCAGGTCGGCGGAACGCAACATGCTCCACTGTAACTCCCCGACCTTCTGCATGTTTCTGACCCTCTCTTTTCCTTCGCAGTGACCCGACTGCCAAGTTGTCCAGAGATGAGTTTTTGGTCAGTCCCCTGGTTTTACCTCAGGATGTCCACGCGTACCGGCCCCACGATGTTGTCGACAGTTTGCACAGCCGCATCGCTCCGTTCAGGGATGGAAGGCCCTACGGCACAAACATGTTCAGCGGGGTCAGCACCCCCAGCAACTACCATCTCTACGGGCAGTTCCCCATGCCAGGATTCCCCTTTCCTCTCTGCAAGCTGACTGATACCAAAAATGCTTTTGCTGACCTCTCAAAAAGTGGAATCCACCACAAGCACTGTTCTCCTCATGACAGCAGTAGCATCAGGGCAGAATACACCCGGGCACTTGGCTCCAGCTACTCAAGCATCATCCACTCCACTACCTATGCATCCAGGGAGGTGGGGAGAGATGATGATATGAGGAAGGAGGGACACGAGGGCGTCGGGCAGCCTATCAACTCGAGGAAGCGAGGGCTTCCCGTGTTGACTGTCGAGCACCAAAAGGACAGGGATCACACTCCGCAGGCAGAAGAGGACCTCATTCATCAGCACTACCCGCTGGGAATCCCCTCCACAGGACGGAAGAGTCTCATGAGCAGCCCACAGAGCCCCCTCAAGTCTGACTGTCAGCCCAACTCCCCAACAGAGTCCAGCAGCAGCAAGAACGCCAGCCTGTCTCATATCGGTGGAGGACAAGCTCCGCAGGGGGCAGCCGACCCTAAAGCCCGTAACTGGAAGAAGTACAAGTTCATCGTGCTGAACCAGAGTGCAAAGGAAGACGAGACAGGGCTGAGGGACCCGGGGCTCCACTCCCCTCAGCGCCTCGGCCTGCAGCACTACCATCACCCCTCAGACTCCGAGCACCTCGACCCTCAAACAACCAGCAAGAGTGGCGATCACAGCGAGGATCTGCCCGTGCCACAGGCGAGTCGGCTCAACAACATCATCAACAGGTGAGGTGGTTTCACGCCGCTTCGCGTCACGACTCTCACACGCTTAGTGGTTTTAGCGATTCTTTCACGTTTCTCTTTCTTCTGAAGCCATAATCTGATCCTAGAGAAAATTTTAACTTCTGCATTTGTTCGTATCGTTAACGTCAGTGCACTTGAGGGGTCGCTGAGGAGCAGCGACGGCCACCCTCCACACTACCTGAACCGCCTCAGCTGCTCCACCTGTGGCTCCCAGTCCACGCAGCACTCCGACGTCTGCCCCAGCAGCTCCCGGTCCCGCCTCTCAGAGGACATGGCCGAGCTCCACTCAGAATACTCCGACTCCAGCTGTGGTGTGTTTTGGGGCCACTTCCCATCAGAACCACCTCCACCAGCCGGATCACCAGCAGCTAAACTTTACTCTGGTTTCTCCCGCACAGAAAACGGCGCGTTCTTCTGTAACGAATGCGACTCCAAGTTTGCCGACGACGAAGCTCTGAAGCAACACATGCTTCAAGTGCACAGCGACAAGCCATACAAGTGCGACCGCTGCCAGGCTGCTTTCAGATACAAGGGCAACCTCGCCAGCCACAAGACCGTCCACACAGGTCAGAGCTCCGTCCGACCTCACCTATCGCCGTTCGTGTGTCTCTGCTGCGGGAGTCTAACCTGATGCCTTCTTTTCAGGAGAGAAACCGTATCGCTGTAACATCTGTGGTGCTCAGTTTAACAGACCAGCTAACCTCAAGACTCACACTCGCATCCACTCAGGAGAGAAGCCATACAAATGTGAGACGTGCGGAGCCCGATTCGTACAGGTGCGGCTCTCTGCTGACACGTCTGCCTGCTCTTTTATCACCATAGCCCTCCTGGTCCACCTCTGCGTACAACACACGTCTAAAAATCAGATGTTTGAATTCATTTATTATTATTACTTTACACAGGCCACCATAGATTTTTACTTGGTGTGGGCATTAACGGCTTAAAAGTAAAAATGAGCCATAAAATGATCTGGTGATCAGGATCGACAAGAATTCATCCCAAAAAAAAAAAAAATCACATTCGTTCTTCCCAGCAGCTCGTGAGCTCACACACCAACAGACCTTCTTGCTCTTAGAATCATATTTTTCAAGGAAATTAGAAGTAATTTTAATTCTTTTTAAGCTAATTATAGTCATTTGTGATAAATCAGTGTTGATAGGCCAGAGATGCTAAAAGAAAACAAATCACAGTTGGGTATAGAACCTAAAACTAGAATCTGTGCGTTTGCAGTTAAAGGCTGTCCAGAAGTGAGATTTGGCTCCCGTTAACAGATTTTCTGGTTTGCTCATGACTCAGGTTGCTCATCTTCGAGCCCATGTTCTGATCCACACGGGCGAGAAGCCGTACCCGTGTGAGATCTGTGGAACTCGCTTCCGTCACCTGCAGACGCTGAAGAGCCACCTGCGCATACACACGGGAGAGAAGCCCTACCATGTAATTATAATAATTCTCCTCTCTCTGGTTAGCTTAAAACAAAACAAGGTGTTAAAACGTCTGAAAAATAACTGCTTTTGCTTTTCTTCCATGTTTTTCTTTCAGTGTGAAAAATGCAACTTGCACTTCCGCCACAAGAGTCAGCTCCGGCTGCACCTCCGGCAGAAGCACGGCGCCATCACCAACACAAAGATCCAGTACCGGATGGCTACGGCCGACATAGCCACTGACTTGACAAAGGCATGCTAGGCTGAATTGATAATCATGCAGGCAATCTTGACCTTTATAAACCCCGACGTGTACAATCTTCCAAAAGTGTCAAAAGCGTAGTGCCACACTGTGTTCAATAGACAATTCAATTGGCTGCATTTGCCATTCAAACGGGTTTCCACTACATGTGAACATAGAGCTGCTGGAGGCTCCTGAGTCACTTTACGGTTTCTATATAGATAGAAATGATATATACATATATGTGTGTATATATGTGTGTATGTTGGGAGTGTTTTTAAGCTTTGAAGGCACCTAAATAAAGCTTTATTTTGAGATGGATAAAATGTAAACAATGTTTTTGCAAATACAGTATTTTATATCAGAGAACTTAATTTTCTGAGAGTATTGAACATTTTGACAGGTGGTACATATATTTTGAGATAAAAGGCTTTACGGCTGTATACGGTCTGTACATTTTTATGTCGTCGAGTTGCCATGTTCAGAGGAAGGGATGGGACTGGAGCGTGTCGGGTGGCTGTCGCTGTCTGAAACACAAGCGTTTGGTACTTTCTCACAGAGAGCGGGCGACTGCATAACTATTGTGACATTGTGTGATTGCTCTCTGCTGGCAGAGCCAATCTGAGTGGTGAACTCTGTTTGCAGGTACTGCTTTGTAATGACCAAGAATTTGCTTCAGATGTATTTGTATAGACGTGAATTTTCTCTTTCTTTTCGGTTTATTTGCTTTTCACAAGTGAAGGTTTACAGTTTTTGCTCTTTGTTCCGGACCCTGACGTAAACTTGTGTCAATGTTCAGTTTGTAGATACACTGTGTATTCAATGTGCCTTTCTCTAGGGTGACTGAATTTCTCTGCGTTCAGCCCAGGTCTAATAAGGTACAACTCAAGGACAACGCGTGTCCTGGATCCCCGTGTGTGTGAGCGTGTGTGTGCGTGTGTATATATATTTGCAAATGCTCGGCCGTAACATTAGAACATAAAATTATTTCATTGTAAATTTTCAGGATTTTTCTTTTCTTTTGTAAAATAAATACTGAAAAAAATGCATTAAAATTGTTGTACGTTATAAATGTATGAATGTAAAATAAAGGTACTGAGTTTCTATGTATTACAACTAGAATCTGTCGTGTTTGTGGAGAATGACCACCAATAAATGAGCAGTTTTTCTCTCATTGCAGAAAGATTATTTTCACAGCATGGATGTAATTTTTACTTTAGAAGTGGGGGGGACACGTGGGGGGGGGGTATCTTTACAGTAAGCTCTAATGGGAAACAGGCTTCAACACAAATGGTTGTTTCCTTGGTCCTAGAGCTCAACCAGTGTCAAGTTAATATAGCGTAATATTGTTTTTGGATGGTAAAAAGTGCAAGGGTCAAAACTTGACTATGGAAAAAGTGTGTGTGTGTGGGGGGGACATGTCCCCCCCCGTCCCCCCCAAAATTACGTCCACGTTTCACAGTAAATGCTTGTTGCTCTTGCACTCACGTAAAATAAAAGTGCTCACATTGGCCGTTATAGCTGAGTTTTAAAGTGTTTGACGGTAATTACCAACAACAAAAATCAAGGACTCACTGACCACTTTATTATGTACACATGTTCAAGAGCTAATCGGTCGATCACATGACAGACACTCAACATTTAGGCATCTAGACGTGGTAAAAACGCCCCGCTGAAGTTCAAACGTAGCTTCAGAATGGAGAAGAGGTTTAAGGGACTTTAAACGTGTCATGGTTGTTAGTGACGGGCTGGTCGGAGTCTTTTTATGGGTTTGACAGAAACTTTTGTCCAAAGTGACGCTAATGAGGACATATTTTAGAAACAGCTGGAATTTTCCCAAACAACCATCTCTAGAACTAAGAGAATGGTCCCTAACAGAGTAAACGTCCAGCTGTGTGGATGAGAACATCTCAGTAACATCAGAGGTCGGGGGAATAGTCAGACTGGTTCTAGATGATAAAAAGACAGCCAAGGTCTACAGAACAGCATCTCTGATCCACAGCAGGTTGGGACTAACCCACATTCAGATGGTCGGGTCAGAATCTGGTGTCACCAACATGAAAGCACGGATCCATCCTGCCTTGTATCGATGCTTCAGGCTGCTGCTGGTGGTGTAATGGTGTGGGGGAGATGTTCTGGTCCCACTTTGGACCTCTCCCCAGCCTACCTGAGTATTGTTGCTGACCATGTCCATCCCTTTACGACCACATGGACCCATCTTCTGATGGCTCCTTCCAGCAGGATAAAGCACCATGTCACAAAGCTCAGATCATCTCTAACTGGTTTATAGAACATAACAATGAGTTTACTAGACTCCAGCCACCTCCACAATCACCAGCTCTCCATCCGGTCCAGAACTTTTGGGATGTGACCGAACAGCAGATTCCCATCATGGATGCAACTGTGTGATGATGTCATGTTAACATGGACCAGAACCTCTGAGGAACGTTTCCATCACCTTGTTGGGTCTATGACACTGACGGCTCTGAAGGAACAGGAAGACGTCCAACTGGTACCAGTAAGGTGTTCCTAACAAGGACCTAAATCTTGAGTGAACTCGTTTGACTGTTTAACTTATAAAATAATGGACGTGAGAACTTTGATAGCGTAGAGGCCAATCCACTCGCACGCTGACCGGGATTTTGCCGTTTCGTAAGGCTCAATTCTTCCTCACGCTAAAAACCAGAGACCGCTCTCTGTTGTTGAACTTACTGTGGATGAACAGCAGAAAACAGACAATTATGCAAAAAATAGACATTAGACATGTTTAGGGTTAGAGATTTAGAAACCTTTTTGCATTTGATTTTGCAGACATGTTTCTGTTGAGAAATAAAAAAACGATTTCACAACCAACAGGACCTGGAGGAATGACAGCCGAGCAGCTCAACGCTGCAGATCCTGCTGCTGCTTCTTCTCAAATAAATGGTACATGGCCTGTATTTGATATAGCGCCTTCTAGAGTCCTGGAACCCCCCAAGGCGCTTTACAACACAATCAGTCATTCACCCATTCACACACACATTCACACACTGGTGGTGATGAGCTACGATGTAGCCACAGCTGCCCTGGGGCGCACTGACAGAGGCGAGGCTGCCGAGCACTGGCGCCACCGGTCCCTCCGACCACCACCAGCAGGCAACGTGGGTTAAGTGTCTTGCCCAAGGACACAACGACAGCGACAGACTGAGCGGGGCTCGAACCTGCAACCTTCCGATTACGGAGCGAGCGTTTAACTCCTGTGCCACCGTCGCCCCGTCAAATAAGCACATTATAGTTCCACTCAACTATACTTTCCTACTAATCAACTATTTAAAACCCAGACAGTTGTGTGATTAATGCGAGTAGTAAACATGTGACAGTATAAATACATACTGAAAATAAACTTAGAATTTTTAGGCCAAAAAGGAACAAATCATCTGGTTTTTATGAAGTCCTAAAATGAAACATTAGCAGCGTAAAATGAAAACACCTTAAGTAATCCACAGGGGTCCAGGTGCCTTCACTGGATTACCATGAGCTGTGTGACTGAGAACCTTCCCCAGCATAACACCTGAAGTACGTCATCATTTCGTTTTTGTTGATGCGAGGCCGAACGGGTAAACACGAGATTTTTACTTCTGGTAGAAACAAGAAATTGTGCTGATGATGACACTCCTAAGAGCGGTGTCCACATATGAGGACATCGACTTCATGCACTATATGATTCTATTCTCATCATCTTGGACCTTCTTGTTAGCCACACACAAGAATTTTTTTTATTCTTTTTATAGGAAATTTGACTTTTTAATTGATCTTTATTTTGTTCCCAATTATGAGTCAACTAGTCTGTAAAAGCTGTTTTTTCTTTAAAATCACACCAAACACAAAGCTGGGTCTCAGGTTAACTGAGCTTCAGACAGTTTTAACTACAGGGAGTGCAGAATTATTAGGCAAGTTGTATTTTTGAGGAATAATTTTATTATTGAACAACAACCATGTTCTCAATGAACCCAAAAAACTCATTAACATCAAAGCTGAATGTTTTTGGAAGTAGTTTGTAGTTGTAGCTATTTTAGGGGGATACCTGTGTGTGCAGGCGACTATTACTGTGCATAATTATTAGGCAACTTAACAAAAAACAAATATATACCCATTTAAATTATTTATTTTTACCAGTGAAACCAATAGAACATCTCCACATTCACAAATATACATTTCTGACATTCAAAAACAAATCACCGACCAATATAGCCACCTTTCTTTGCAAGGACACTCAAAAGCCTGCCATCCATGGATTCTGTCAGTGTTTTGATCTGTTCACCATCAACATTGCGCGCAGCAGCAACCACAGCCTCCCAGACACGGTTCAGAGAGGTGTACCGTTTTCCCTCCTTGTAAATCTCACATTTGATGATGGACCACAGGTTCTCAATGAGGTTCAGATCAGGTGAACAAGGAGGCCATGTCATTAGTTTTTCTTCTTTTATACCCTTTCTTGCCAGCCACGCTGTGGAGTACTTGGACGCGTGTGATGGAGCATTGTCCTGCATGAAAATCATGTTTTTCTTGAAGGATGCAGACTTCTTCCTGTACCACTGCTTGAAGAAGGTGTCTTCCAGAAACTGGCAGTAGGACTGGGAGTTGAGCTCGACTCCATCCTCAACCCGAAAAGGCCCCACAAGCTCATCTTTGATGATACCAGCCCAAACCAGTACTCCACCTCCACCTTGCTGGCGTCTGAGTGGGACTGGAGCTCTCTGCCCTTTACCAGTCCAGCCACGGGCCCATCCATCTGGCCCATCAAGACTCACTCTCATTTCATCAGTCCATAAAACCTTAGAAACATCAGTCTTGAGGTATTTCTTGGCCCAGTCTTGACGATTCAGCTTGTGTGTCTTGTTCAGTGGTGGTCGTCTTTCAGCCTTTCTTACCTTGGCCATGTCTCTGAGTATTGCACACCTTGTGCTTTTGGGCACTCCAGTGATGTTGCAGCTCTGAAATACGGCCAAACTGGTGGTAAGTGGCATCTTGGCAGCTGCACGCTTGACTTTTCTCAGTTCATGGGCAGTTATTTTGCACCTTGGTTTGTCCACACGCTTCTTGCGACCCTGTTGACTATTTTGAATGAAACGCTTGATTGTTCGATGATCACGCTTCAGAAGCTTTGCAATTTTAAGACTGCTGCATCCCTCTGCAACATATCTCACTATTTTTGACTTTTCTGAGCCTGTCAAGTCCTTCTTTTGACCCATTTTGCCAAAGGAAAGGAAGTTGCCTACTAATTATGCACACCTGATATAGGGTGTTGATGTCATTAGACCACACCCCTTCTCATTACAGAGATGCACATCACCTAATATGCTTAACTGGTAGTAGGCTTTCGAGCCTATACAGCTTGGAGTAAGACAACATGCATGAAGAGGACGATGTGGACAAAATACTCATTTGCCTAATAATTCTGCACTCCCTGTATTCTTAAATGCATTTTAGTCCATTTGTTGATCGTGTGTGTGTGTGTGTGTGTGTACGCATTGCCAAAAGGGAGTTAATACCAATTAAATGGAAAGGATAAGGTAATTTCCTAATTATTTCACTTAGTCATTCTAGAATGTAAAAGACTGTTCATTAGACAAAATCATTAGACAGCCGATTATCACTCCAGGAGTGGACGTCCAAGGAAGTTCACCACGAGGTCGGAGCCTGCAATCGTCAGAGAAATGACCAAATCAGCTGCTGCGTGTCAGAGTCCACAGGCGTTGGGTTACAAGTTCACAACAGTTCACTAAAAAAACACTGAACATGTAAGAATTTCTTAGAAGTGTTTATCAAGATGCCAAAGATGTTCTTTGTTAGTTATGGTAACTTGAATCTTAAAGCTTCCAATTCCAATTTTATTTATAAAGCGCATTCAACAAGGCGTTACAGCCAAACAAGGCGCTGTACACTAAAAATGTTAGTTAATTAAACCGGTGTTATACAAACATGTAGAACAGAGATAAAAGATAAAAAGGAAATACAAAAAAAATTCCCAAAACTAACAGCTAAAAATCAATAAAACACAGGGAGAATAAAAAATAAGAAAAACATTTTAAAAAAGAACCTCAATAGTACGGAATTTGATATTGTGAAGTCCATTTTTAAACAATGTCGTTTTAAGTGAGGTTCATAATTATGTCAAAAGCTTAAGCTAAAGGCCAATCAGAAACTATTAACCCACGGAGCAAAATTTGTTATTTGCTGTTGACTTGTTTTCATATAAATAATGAAAATGGAAGAAAAGGGTGCTCTAAACTTTTATCAAGAGGCCATTTTTACATTAAGGAATAATTATCCTCGAATCTAACGGGTTCAGTTTTAGAGTAAAGCTGCTTTTCTTGTCTGACAAAACGTAGCAAACGTGTGTTGCACCGGTTGATCATTTTGTCAGAGAAGTCAGAAGACCCGATCGAAGGTCAAAGTGACACGGTCCGAGGGCCGCTTCTGGCCTGCGTGTGTGGTGTCAGGCTCCCGGAGGTTATCTGAGGCCGTGTTTACCTTAAAGAACTTCTAAAAAGCCTCATTTTGTGAAGCCGTAACACAAAAACAGGTGACCGCTTACAGAATGACTCACTAATGTGAGACATGGGGTCATGGAGTCCTAAACAAAGTCAACGATTATGTTTCTAAGAGTAAGCGGTTTCTCTGGAAATCTAATATTCTTTTGAAAGAGTAACACAAACCACCTTCTGGATCTGAGTACACTGAAATACTAAAGTAGTGGTATTAACAATCCTAACCAAAGGGAATGTAAACAAGTCAGCAGTCCCAATAAGTAAACCATCTTCCAAATTAACCAGAAACACAAGAGGCCTGTGGTCACTGCGTGGTTTCATTACAATATTAGACTCCAGTCATTTCTCAAATTATGGCTAAGTCAAGGTCAACCAGGTCATGAGAACTTTATTTCCTCACAGTCCATCCTTCAAAAGTCAACGCTGATGACAGATTCTACACGTTTTGATAGTTTCAGGATAAATAAAAAAATCAGTGAACACGAGCAAAATATAAATACCTTTATTTCTAAATGGCATAAAAAACAAGTTTTTTTTCATCTCAAACAGAAAAATGAACACAAACACCACAACAGATCCCTGTCTCTCCTCTCTGAGCTCTAAACTGAATTTGGATTTATTTTCCACGAGAAGGATCAAACAAACTTCCTCTGAGCTACGGACCTTCAGTCTGCAAATTATCGAGCATCAACAATGGGAATGCATCTAAAATTCTGTGACAAACAGAAGAAATTCAGCAGTTCTGCCAACAAACAAAAGCTGATCAGAGTTCGTCAAACGTAAATGATCAAAACCCAAAGTATCCAACCCCCCACCCCAACCCCACTGCCCCATCACTGCTTCTGCTGCATGGCTTCCTTTCGCGCCGCATCTTGCAGAAGCTGAGTGTCCACCTCGTCAGCCGGCAGCTGAACGTATCGGACCACCGATCCACGGATGAAGCAGTTTTTCACAGACAGCTAGAGAGCAACACAACAGGAAACGGCGGAGTTCAATGCAAAGACAATGCAAAACAGGGTTGGGTGCTAAAATGAGGAAACCTTCATGCACGGCCGTCTAAAAACAGCTTCTGTTTTATTTGAATACTATAATTAAAACCTTTCAAGTATACACCAGCTGTTAGCTCACCGACTGAGCAGAATAGTTCAAACCTGGGTGCTTATGTCGGTGTGTGGACTTCCTGTATGATTTCAGGAGCCATTCCTGTATTATCTTTGCTGCCATCCTTCTCAGTGGTATTCACTGTCTGCTCATTTTATCGACACATAAATGGATTAAAAAGATTATTTAGAGGCAGAACATGTAAAAAATATGTGCAAATTGTTGCTTTCATAACTGGAACTGTAGCGACGGAAGCTCAAAAATTATTTTACGCAATGTTTTAATAGATATTTGAGAATTGGTTTTGTGTACTTTATATGGTTTATGTGTACTTTGTTGTTGGCCATGTTCTGCCACCTTTTATAAATGGTCACCATCTTCTTGTTGTAGTAAGCAAAGTCATTTGTATGTTATGCGAGCTAAAAGCACCAAAAGTGAGAAAAATATGTGTTTGTTTGGGTAAAACTTATTCTTTTAAGCAATAAATCTTCTTTTATATATACTTATTTACACACTCTTTCCTTAGTACTATGAGAAACACACACAACCACCAAGCAAATGAAAAAAAAAGAGTTAATACCAAAAGGAAGACATTGCAGGTGACTTTTAATACTTTTTCTGGTGACGCTCCATAAGCCCGGATTTCCACCTGACGCAAAAGCTGTGCGTCATGAAATAGAGGCGTTTTACCGGCGAGCTCCCTTCCCACCGGGAGTGATTCTGCTGCGAAAAGGGAGCTAAAGTGTTCCACGCAGCTGGTCCTGCTATGTCACTAAACCACAGGAGAACAGCACATGTGATTTCAGAAGACCACACAATAACAGGCAAGGAGAAAGACAGCTGCAGGTATCCACAAGGTCTGTTCTGTTCCGTTTACATTGGCTACGGGGGTTTCAAAGGAAATGATGTACGTCTATCTGAACGTGACTTACTTAGAACGTTTTGGGATGTTTGACACCGCCTCTGTGTTCTGCTTCCTGTCCGGCCGGTTTGATGGTTTTGGAAGGGTAGCACTAGGGCTGCTCAATTAATCGAATTTTAATCACGATTACGATCTGAGTTTTGAACGATTATAAAAAACAAAACAAGCCGATTATTTGCTCCTCCCGCTTGCGCTGCCCTGAGTTGCAAATGAAGCGCTCCTCCCACAGTGTTGACAACTTAGTGACTGTGACGCTATTTCTAGCAGCTTTTCAGGCCCCCTTCTTGACTTTTTAAATCTTAAAAGTACCTAGCGAACACCTCAGAAACATCTCTAGTAACCCTTAGCTACTTTCTGGATAACTGTCGTCGACATTTCCTGCAGGTTAGCTAAACACTCCGTCTGCGCTCCGGACCGTTCTTCAGGACATTAGGAAAGGGAATGATGTAGTGATGTGTCAGTCGCTAAAGAAACGGCTCTCGGAGCCGGCTCCCTGTTGGATTAACCAGAGTGAGTGACACACACACACCGCACCTGCGGACTCCTGAGCCGCTAAAAACGGCTAAATGTGCGCGTGCGGCGTGCTAAACACACGTGCAGCTTGCCCCGATTGCTGTGAGACCGGGTTGGGGGGTGGGGGGTGCAGTTGTGGTTGGGACAATTATTACATTAACTGATGGACTTGTAAATAAATAGTTTATAAATAAGGTAGAAATAAGTTCCTCACGCTGATAAATAATAACTAATCTCTCTGAGGACACAGTGTTAGTGCACTCCTACAGCACCTTGACACGACTAAATACGTATTATGCAACATTTTGTGAACATCAATTAATTTGCATTTATTTGTTATAAATGCCACTGTATAATTCTTGCTGTCAGTATTTGCAAGATATTGCTATTTGGGTCTGTACTGGTTAGACTTAAATGAGTTAAACCAAACCCTTGGGTCATAAACTATGAGCTATAAGTATATTGGTCTTTTTATACTGGGAATCAGGAGTTCTTTTAGTGATCATCTTGTTTCTTATTTTTGTCCTGATTGTGCCCTGAGCAATTTATGACTGAATAAAAACAAATAAAATCAACATAAATTGAAAAATCGTCCTAAATAATCGAGATCTCAATTTCAGTCACCATAATCGTGATTATTATTTTTGCCATAATCGAGCAGCCCTAGGTAGCACATAAACAAATAGCGTAACGATGGCGTACACTTTTGCCACTTACACACTAGCCGCCGGTAGAAAGGAACCTATTCACTATAACGGTGGCTAATTGCAGCGAGGTAAGTTTAGCGTCCATTTCATGACGCTTTCACGTTCGGTGGAAAGCTCATTCAGTCTAACCCTTGTGGTAAAGGTGAGTCCTCGGAACGTCCGAGTAAACGTATTAACTAAAAGCATCTTTGCTGCAGAGAGTGTTAATAAAACACAACCGTTTGTGGGCTACAAATCCACAGGTTTGTGAGTTAATCTAGACTATTTAAAAATCACTTTTCCTTGAGTTTTTATGACTTCAGGTAAAAATAAAACTAGTTTGTCAAGATTTGATACATTTTTAAGGAGATACCCATGAGCAAGCCAAGTTGTAAGTAAGTATGGTTGAAATAAATTTCTAGTTAAAAACCCATTTACTTTCAGTTGTAGGGCTGAGATTTTTTAAATGTGGATATAATTTCAAACAAGAAACCTGATGACTCAATATCTTTACATCAATATAAATATAAAAACAGTGAATTTCTAGCATTAGCAGGTGCAGCTATTGCTATCCACTAGCTTGTTCTGTCTCTGTGCGATCATTACATGTATTCTCACGTGTCTGCTCGATCAGGAAACCTCTAGGTCAATTTTCTGCCCTAAACTTTGCATTTGGATTAGTGGTTTTTAATTATTTGGGGACATTTGTTCGTGTTTTAGTGAGCCTTTTCACTACGGATGTGTATTGGTGAAATTGTGGCGATACGATACGTATCACGATACAGGGAAGACGATACGATATATCACGATATATTGCGATACATTCAGCCAGACGATATCAGCGATTTTTTAGACTGAATTTATTGTAGAAAATTTCAATAAACAGTCCAAACTGATACTTAACATGTTAAACATGAGGTATCTGAACCATAATAGAGGGATTTATATTTCAGTGGTGGAAACAAAACCCAATGCACACTGCTGCTAGCTAGCGGTCAGTGTTTGAATTGCACCAAAAGAAAAGAAAATACACAAATGTTTGCATGTAAACTATTCCAAAAAGTTCAACACATGGCTTTTGGATATCGATATAATATTGCAGGAAAAAACATCACGATATAATGCCATATCGATATTGTCTTACATCGCTACTTTTCACCGTGGCTGCTGACGGAGATTTATTTATCCTGCTGGTGCTGAGAGACGGGTCAAACCAGCGGCATAAATATCTAAACCTACATGTGTGTTAGCATACAGCTGTACAAGTGTTTCTACAGCTCAAACTGATAGAGAATGGCACTTAGGTTGATGTTTGACAAGAATCTGATTAAATTGTGCATTTAATCTGCTGATGAATTTATGATTACACTTTCTGTAGACAGCTTGAAGGGAGTTAACTTGCAAATATTTACAGAAGAAAAAATATGGAGGTATAATATTGTAAAATTGGAATTCTGCAAAAGGACACTGACAAATAAGTTTTCATCCAGCCCTATTAAGTTGTATTTTTATTTTCTGAGGACTAGAGGTAAGGCTTTAGTACTCGACCTGAAAACAAAACAAAAATCTGTCGCATCTTTGGTTTAAGTGAATAATCACACCTTTTTACCAATTAGAGGGCTGAGTTTGTGTTTGTTAACCCTGCTGTGAATGTGGAAAACACTCGTAGTGAGATTAGCCTCAGATTTCTACAGACATCTGAAGCAACGTGACCTTAGGACCGATGTGTCTCAAGTATGCTACTTACCATGTGTGGATATTTCTCTGGATCCGTCACACTGATGTCTGTCAACTTTATGTTCAGGTACTAAAAACCAAAAAGAGTAGGAATGTAAATGTCAAAAAACTGCAGAAGTTTGTCTGAAAGAGTTTCAAAAAGTGTATTTTCAATACCTGGTCAACAGAATGAAGCGTTCCGCAGATGCTGAAAACAGATGTGTGGATAAATATTCAAGAAAACAAACATTTGGACACTTTTGAATAGGCTACATGGCTCGTTTAGCTCGGTTGCCTTAATTTCCGAGTCAGACTCGTGTAGAAACGTCGCAGTACTAATAAGCTACAAGTCCATTGGAATATACAAAGAAATATCTCAAGCTTTAGCAGAAGTTCATTCAAAGCTTCGCGTTTAGAGACCACTTGTTTCCAACGTGGTGCTACAGTGGGTCGAATTGCTAGCGTTCTTTCCTGCAAATGAACAACAGCTTCAACGATTTATCACAGCAGTGGAGGCCAAGCCGTAAAACACTAACCTCAGATCGTTCTTGAGCTCCACCACTACGTCCTTCCCAACCAGAGACTTGAAAAACGAGTAGAAAAGCTGCGGAGCACAACGACATGCTAACGTTAGCGTGTAGCTGCACGCTACACGTCGAGCACGACAGTTTATGAACAAAGAGAGAATGGAAACACTAACAGTTACACAAAGACTAAGGTAACGACTTATTTAACTGTCATGTGTTTGGTGTCATGCGAAATACATTTTAAATATTGAACGAGGTTAGCTCACCATTTTTGCGGTAGCTTTGTTCAGAAGTCGTGTCCGCTTTTGATGACGTATTAGGGAGCGCTGCAAATACAGGCAACTACCACCAGGGGGAGCCAGAGGTCTTCAACATATTCAGTTTGAATTGTATCCATTTCTTTGACACGTTTTGCTCATAATTAATCAACATTGTGTTTTTTTACACACTTAAGTGTGATTACAGCATCTAATTTGCCTCTGAAAAATTAAATCTGCCTTAATATCACTTTGCGTAACAAACCCTAATAGTCCACGTCCCTACACACACACACACACACACACACACACACACACACACAGAGAGAGAGAGAGAGAGAGAGAGAGAGAGAGAGAGAGAGAGAGAGAGAGAGAGAGAGAGAGAGAGAGAGATGTTAAAATAAAGACAATCTCACTCTGAGACTATTAAAAAAGTTGGCAGCCCTGGTAAATAGGATAAACATATGTGTGCCTTCCCTACGTATGAAATATATGTAAATGGCCCTATTTTGCCCAGCTGTGTGCAGCAGGTTTGTTTTTCTTCTAGAATAATGAAAACTGGTGAAAAATAGGTCTAAATCCTAATCAGCGTTGATTTAAATTGTGATTAGATGACACACATTTAAACAGATGATGACAGATGTGCTCAAACTTGTAAACAGCCTTAACCCATTAAAGCAAGGACATAAGATAGTCTAATAATTAGGTGATAAGATAAACCCAGCAGAGAAAAGAAGTCAGTCTAACAGTGGGATAAAATGCAACAAGATTTATGACAAGCTCACATTTGGCGTTTGTCTGCTTCTTTTATTAAAATAAATAAATGAATAAAAACGGAAACTGGTATGGTGCAAAACAGGACAGAATGGTTGGTATAGAGATGAGTTCCCTTGTTTTATCTATTTGTTTCTACTTCAATGTTTTACCCCCTTTGCACTATTTTAATTGCTTTTATTTTCTATTTATTCATTGTGATTTATGTTTCTTATGTACTGTGTACAGCACCTTGGGCTCCCTGACAGGGTCGCGGAAGGCACTTTATAAACAAAGCTTTGAGTTGAATTGAATTCACATTTTCTTCAAAAAACTCAAGGTCTGGCTGTAAACATAAAAACTCTGCAGCAAGGGAAGACGGTTTCCTCTTATATGAAAAAGCCAGTCGTAGGAGAATTGATCCCTGGTGGGTACCACATAATTCAGTCGGTGCCTTAAAAAGTACCACATCTGGAATCCATCCCTACTCCTTATACTGGTCACCCTGGTGTGGGAAGGCTTCCAGTCTCAAACCAGTCATCCATGCTGATTGCCTTGGTCCCTCAGGTTCAAGCAGGTATGGTCCCATCAGTGTCTCTGCTCTCCAATCCCATCTGTCGGTGGTCTCTGATGAACTGGTTTTGGCCCAGACTGTGTGCAGAATCTCACCATGATCTTTCTAGAGGAGTTCACTGGTTCTCAAAATTTCTGCTAACGCTTTGAAACCTATTTTTTATTTAAAATAAGGTCAAACCAGGGCTGAAAGTTTAACGATTAAATATGTTTTATTTGCATGTTTTGCCATTATGATAAGCAAACCTGGGTTCTATAGGCTGACACAAGTAAGGTTTGACCCATATTTGCCTTGTTTTTCAGGTTTTTAGGTGACACCCCCCCCCCCCCACACACACACACACACAAAGATGCTAACAGGCATGTTCACAGTATGGCACGGGGGCCATCTGTGGTACTCAGGGTGATTGTGTGCAGCCCCCTCTTGCATTTCTAGAAATGTATCTCTCCAAAAGCCTGTTGATGTTTATCGACACTTTTTATGTTTATTTTGTAATATCAGAAATGTGAGTAGTAAAATGAAAATAATAAAACCATAATAAAATAATATTAGCAAATTTTTATAATGAACAAAATCTCATTTATGAGGCCCGCAAGGACTTTAACTTGATCATTTGGGTCTTTATCTTGATCTGCTACTATAATGTTGGTAAACGGCCTTTTCTTGCTGCAGTAAGGCTTAGCTCAGTGATCATAGCGATGCATTCAGGTAATCCCTTCTTCATCTGGCAAAGCAGAAGGTCCCTTAACAAAGAAAACAAATTCTTTGTTGAAGAACAATAAGGAACCTGCTTGCTGCATCAGAAACAATGAATAAAAAAAGTAATAGCAATAATTAATTATTAATAATGAAACAAAATTAACTAATCAATTAATTAATTAATTAATTGAAGCTTCTAGAACTGGGTAGACACAACAGACGAGTCTGCGTCTGCGTGGGACATCATAAAGGAGCGTCTGTGTCCAGAGACTATAAAAGGCCATCAAGCAGCACTTGCTTCAGTCTTGTCAGAGCTCCTGCTGAGAACACATCGCTGTCTTTGGACACCCAAGTAAGATTGAACAAACAGAAGAAACATGTCGTGGTACGATTCATGTCTTCACCCAGAAGAAATGGATTACGATTCAGTGATCGACCTTGGTTCTGATCGTGAGGACGAAAACTCAGAACTACTCTCACAAACTGAAGAGATGGAGAACGATATGCTTCATGAAACAGATGAAACATCCCTCTTTGGTGCTGAGACAGTCTCTTCAACGTGAGACTAATTTATTTGCTGAGTTCTCTGGATCTCAAACACACACACAGAAGGAAAAAAACAGGGCAGCATGGTGGCACAGTGGGTAGAACTGTTGCCTCACAGAAAGGTCACTGGTTCAAATCTTACCAGCTTCCCTTCTGTGTGGAGTTAGCATGTCCTCCCCATGAATGCGTGGGTTTACCCCCAGTGCTCGGGTTCCCCCACAGGCCAGAAACACACGTTTAGGTTCTTTGGTGACTCTAAATTGTCCCTAGTTGTATATGCGTGTCCCTGTGAAGGACATGACCTGCTTGCTCAGTAGGAGGGACTGTGTAGAATCACAGACACGAGTCAGTGACTCGATAACATCTGCTGGGTTTCCGTAGATAGGACAATTATAACTAATTAGAATGATGAACTGAACTCAATACGCTGTTTAATACGAAAGGTTCAACTGCACGCTGTCGCTCGAGCCATTGGAGGAAGAACAATAATGAAGATAACAAATCCTTCCCTTTAAGGGGCAGGCCACATAATTAATCTGGAAAGCTAACAGTTAACAAACTCAAAGCAAACCAAAACAACACAAAACACACAAAAAACACACATTTTAGTAGTAAAAACACCCTCAATAATTTATAACAGAGAAAATTTTACAAAATGCTAAAGTAATGCATCTTAAATTAGGCCTAAACTGTACATTTTCCAGCATTTTGAGAGGATTTCTGAACGTCTTGTTGCAGCTTTTGCTCTCCTCAGCAACACAAAACGTTAAAGGCACTACTGGTAGACTGAGACAGGGTTCGATTCCCTGTGGTGCCCTGCTGACAGAATCAAACGCTGTTTAAGGTAAACCTACATTTTTCTAATGTGTGAGCCGTGTTTTCTAATGGCTTTTTATCACCTGGGAGATGTTATCACAAAGCTGAATGCTAGTAATGACCAGTAAATATTGTGTTTTGTGGACTTGACTGTGTTATTCTATCATTTTCAATCTCAATCTGGGCTAGAAACTCCAAGTGGACTTGGATAATGACCTGCTGCTTCCTCAAACGGCAGCGTGCCCCCCCCCCCCCCACACACACACACAACCACACCTCACATCAAAACGAGCCTTGTTGCCAGGCAACTATGCTAATTTAAAGAGCAAGTTCCCCCACCAGATTCTTACTCAACTTCCACTTCCTGTTTGAAAAATGCAACAAATGCTGTTGCCTAGCAGACCGAGAGGGTGGAGACGCTAACAAACACACACACACACACACACACACACACACACACACACACACACACACACACACACACGCACGCACGCACGCACGCACGCACGCACGTACGCTGTGTCTCAATTCAGGGTCTGCATCCTTCGAAGGACCCAGCCTACTCGTCCGACGAGGGCTGGGTCCTCCGTCGGCCCAGTAGACCGGATGTTAACGGCTGTGAATTTGGACAGGCCTAGCCTTCATGAATTCCCGCCACTCTCTTGGCGAACGTTCTGTCGCCTAGCAACCGTGGAACCGCTGAGCAGAAGGGAGGAGGAACTTTAAACGATGGAGCTGGAACTTTTATTTAGCTTTTTAATCATTTCCTTGACCGTTGGAGAGCTAATTCAGAGAAAATTCTTTCGACAAGCTGAGCCTGAGCAAAGATGCGATAATAGTTTTTCATACTTTCTAAGGGTCTTGACCAAAACCGATTTATCACCTGTTTGGAAAACGTAAAATAAACACACATATGGCAATAACTGTAAATTATATTATTATAGAAAGAGTGTATGAAAATACATTTCTGGGTGTAATCCTTCATCTCAAATTATGTTGGAAACCTCACATAAAATATGTTAAAGGAAAGGTAGCACGGAGTACTGGGGTGTTGGGAAAAGTAAGACATTTTGTGGATCAAAAGGCATTGTGTATACTGTACTGTACACTGATAGCACCGTACCTAACTTACTGTGTTGAAGTGTGGGGAAGCATCTATAAAACCACCCTATATGCACTTTGTACGTTACAAAAACGAGCCATAAGGTTGGTCAGTGGGATAGAATAAACACACAAATAGCTTGTTTATAAAATTACAAACCTTAAAGTTCAAAGATTTGATAGAATTTCGGACTGCATTATTTATGTACAAGGTAAATAAAAAAAATACTGCCTGAAAATATTCAAAAGCTGTTTGCAGAAAGACATGGTGGATATAAGTTGAGAAGGGAATTAAATATGAAACAGCATTATGCTTGAACAAAATTGAAAAGTATGTGTATTTCAATTAGTGGAGTTATTTTATGGAAGGCTTGAAGAAAGAATCAAAGAAAGTTTAAATAAAGTACAATTAAAGAAATTATATAAAGAATTAAAATTTCCAGTTATAGAAAAGAGGATCACTAATTTGTCTCTGTACTGTAGTGATAATATATATTAACGTTGTTGTAATTGATGTTGATACTTTTGAGTTGTTGTATTCTGATATTTTAATTTTTTTTAAGTATGAGTAAATTGATTTAGGGATAGGTGAAATAAGCTATGCTTCTTCCTATTCCTTTTCGAACCTGTGATAAGTTATCTAAGTTGGAAATTACTATATGCATTGTTTTATTTGTTTGAAATAAAGAGTAAAAAAAACAAATAAAAAGAAAACAACAGTGTTTTGGTTGATCTATTCTGGAAATTTGTAGAAACACTCAGCAACAACACTGTAGATTTAGGTGAACTGGGCCCACCTTGTAATGAAAACAATGCTGCACCAAACGAAAACACAGCTATGCAATGTTTATTTAATGCTCATAGATTCTCTGAAACAGAAAATTTGAAAAACAGTTTAAGAAGTTATGAGATAAACTTTTTCTCATTGCTATAAAAATTCACCGTATCTATTGAATGTGAAGGTAAAACCACAAACCAGTTAGGTTAGCTGGGAATAAAATCCTGAAACAGAAGCTCCAATGTCCAGTAGGATGAATACGATTCAGAGGCGACTGTCAACTTTTATCGAATGCTAAGCTTACTGAGATGAATTAAGCCTTGAATCTTTTCTATCTCTCAGGTATGAAAAATGTTGCACTGAAGTAATAAGAAATAAAATGGCACTGAGTGACAGAAAATGACAATAATAGGCGGCAAAAGCCTTGACTTCAAGTATTTTAATTCCATAATGCAAGCAGCTGTTCTGTCGACGCTATTCATCGTTGCAGCTTTCTCTCAGTTCACTTGACGGCCTGTCTTTGGATGATCTGGATGTGCTGAAAAAGAAAAAATATTTCGTGTCATCTTACATGTTTTGTTGTTTGTCTGGGAGTCTAAAAGTGTTCCTTACTGTCTCTGTGAGTCGAGAGCTGATTGGGTCTTGCTGGCAGCCTGTGTTTGCTGGGGAGCTCAGAGCTGTCTCTGTAGTCTCTGGGTTTGGTGGCCTGCGGCTCTGGCCTCGACTTAATGGGCAAAGGAGGTCGGCTCGATGTCAGCCCTCCCTCAGATCGTACAGGAACCACTGGTTTCTTTTGTGCCGGGAGGTGCAGGTTCATGGGAGGTGGAGGCTGAGGTTTGACCTCAGAGCAGGTGAAGGAGCGGTTGCGTGGCGAGGGCAACGGACGGCGGTCTGCATCTCCGTCTGGAGTGGGAGGGAGACGGTCTGTCTGCAGGTGGTCTTGGTCCTTAGACTGATCATGTGCTTTAGACCTGGAGCCATAAAGAGGATTGTCCAACATGTCTGATAACTTCTCATCCTCGTTGCTAGCAAACAAAAGAAACAGCTTTAATTCAGGTCCATTTTATCTAGAAAGTACAATTTACGCAACCCAAGGTGCTTTCCAGGACAGAACAAAAAGCATTAAACCACTCAGTAATGAGACAGTAGCAATGAAAGTGGATGAGAATCAAACAACACTCTGGCCAGGCTGGCTTGCATTAAAGCCCAGTCAAATCCACAGGTCTTAGGAAGAGACTCTAAAGGCTCCAGACTGGAAAGAAAGGAAGAAACTATCTTTTACATGGCACCTTCCAGGATAAAAATCAAGAGGTGCTTCACACAAACAAAAAAGAATTAAAATGTAAAAAGTTTTCAATAAATTATTAAAATTATGTTTACAATGAGAAAAATATTGTGATGAAAAAATGTAAGAAAAGTGAGAAAGAAACTGAACAGGAAAGAGGGAAATCAGTGGATCCCGGGGAAGGCGGAATAAGAACAGAATAAGGAGAGGGTGCTGATGAAGGTCACGCAAAAGCCGGCTTGAACAGGTGAGTTTTCAGCTGCTTTTTAAAAGAGACCACTGAGTCCACTGATCTCAGGCTCAGGGGGAGAGAGGTCCAGAGTCTGGGGGCCACAGCAGCAGATGATCTGTCACCTTTGACCTTTAGCCTGGTGCTGCACAACCAGTAGGCTTTGGTCACTGGACCTCAGGGACCTGCTGGAGGTGTAAGAACTGAGAAGATCACCAATGTATGATGGTGCTTGTCCATGTAAGGCCCTAAAGACCAGAACCAGGATCACTAATTATGTGTGGTCCTTAGATGTAATGGAACATCCGTTACATCCAAGGACCACGTTACGGAAGCCTGTTCCACAACTTTGGGCCAGCCACAGAGAAAGCTCTGTCACTGCGGGTCTTCAGATGAGTCTTTGGAAGTAATAAAAGAAATTGCCAGCTGGACATTATGTTTCTGACAGACGTATAGTTAGCCAATAATTCATTTGTGGATTGTGGAGCCAAGCCACAAATGGATCCAGAGTTGCGCAGGGCGCCAGTGAAGGCAAGCCAGTACTGGGATTATGTGGTCACGCATCCTAGTACCAGTCAACAATCTAATGACATTTTCACATGTGGCCTGGCCCGGTCCGGTCTCTGAAACATTGGTCCAGCTCTGCATGGCCAGGTTTTGTTCACACGGTCTTCTCAAGAATGTGGATGTCTCCGAACACGAGGGTGGGGCAAAAGAAGTGTGGAAAAGTCCTTGGTTCCTCCTTAAATGTATAGCAATTGATGTTTTTCTTCCGGGTGGATCACGTCAACCATTGGTCCGCAAAAATGTCAAATTCTGGTGCAGCCAATCCTGGGTTAGTTTTCACTTCCTGCGCATGCGTACTCTGTGCACCCCCGCACTCTCATGGAAATCAGGAAGAGGCTATCGCGGTCCAGCCCGCTCCCCACAGACGCCGCTGTTGCCGGTTTTATGCTCGAGAGGTAAGCTAAAGCTCTGCATGCTATTTTTAGAGCCTCTTATTACACATTACGGCCGACAGCTACTTGTAAACAGGTGCTGGGAGAGTGTTGTGCAATGTGGAGAGGGCGGTTCTTTCCTGAAATTCAGAAACAACGATTGCTATACCTTTAAATTAATAAACAACAGTGGCCGTAAGCTGTGTTGCTTTTGGAGACTTTGATATGAAGCACACTGCTCCCTACTCTCTCACAGAGACTGCTCTGTGCTCCTCACAGCAGTCTGTCTTTAGGCTGCCATGGCTGGAGCGGTGATTCTGAGCTGCAGTCAGAAGATGTTTACTTCCCTGCATTCAGACTGAAAATGAATCTCGCATGCAGGAAGCTGCCGCTGGTTGATTCTGCCAGCTAATCATAGGCTCCCTCTAGTAGGCGTGAACTTCAGCCAGCCAATTTAGTGGGTAGGTCCGAAAATTACTCTCAGCTGTGCATGGAAAACGCACAGACTACCCAGATGTGAACACAATTTACCTACCAGGGTTGGGCTGGGCCAACCCAGATGTGAAAGCCTTAGGACGCTGGTTTCACACTGGAAGCATCAGCGGCATGAAATGTCAGCGGAACGGTTTACTCGCGAACTTCAAAGCTGTCCTTTTTCACACCGGGAGAGTCTTGGCAGAGGCACGGCTTCCTCACTGTGCTCTTTGCTGAACTCGCAAGATCACACGATCCCTCGAGACTTCAGGTCACGGTTTGTTTTGCAATCCACCACAAAACCAAAAAGAAAGAAATCACGTTGATATCGCTGTTTGATGTCATAGATCAGGGGCGGATTTAGGACTGAAGAAGATCCGGGACTTAACACACACACACACACACACACACACACACACACACACACACACACACACACACACACACACACACACACACACACACACACACACACACACACACACACACACGTGACACGCACTAGTCAACATCATATATATATTTGTCTTGTACCACATCATTTTTAATCTGAAGCTACATATTAAGCATTTTCAGGGCAGAGTATTGTTCCTGTTAGTGTTTAGTGTGAGATGATAGTAAATATTCCCTTTCTTTCTCCAACAACTTTACCTGATAAGCTAACTTTAGGCAAACCAGCAGCACAACAAATATTTTCAAATAAGACTCACGAACCTGAGTCAGCACCAGTCTCATCAAAGCTGGGGTTCTGTCGTTGTTCTTTTGGTCTAAAAAACGTCCTTATGTCCATCTTCACTCATGCGTTTCAGGCAGAGACTGTAGAAGAAGCCGGCTGCTGAAGGGCTTCTTCTTCAGTGGTGGAGGCTCAGGCAGGCTGTATACAAACTACTGCCAGCAGCGCCCTCTCTGTTGGACTTTGGTACTGCATGTTTTAGATGCCATGTTTTAGATCCGGGGCTTTTCATAAAACATCCGGGGCTTGAGCCCAAGTAGCCGGGCCTAACACCGCCCCTGTCATAGATGATGTTGTTTCTCTCCACTGCCAGGATTAAAGCCATGAAAAACACACCGCTGCACTTCTGGAACAATGCGGTGAGTAAGTAAGTCATTGGGTCCCACATAAGCTTCATATATATGAAATTGCATCACTGCAGTATTTTTATTTTGATATTACCGGTGAAGGTAGCGCGACTCGTGTTGCGAAGGACCACAGTCACCAATTCTTGTCATGTGTCTTGCCCATGAATGTCTTGCACATGTGGTAGAACTGACAATAAAACTTTTTGACTTTGACTTTACACTGAAACTGTGTGTGATTTCCTGTCTAGCCTTATCTTAACTGCGGAAATTGACGTATCCAATAAGCGACACGTGGCAAAAATAGAACCCGATCCTATCTTTAGCGGTGCGGATGGTGGGTGAGTGCTGGCAGTTCATTACACAAGCACAAGGTTCGGGGGCCACAAAGACGTGGCCCGCCTGTGGGGAGCTGTGAGCTGCAGCAGTGGCTGTGCTTGGGAACTATTTGGTGGTTTAACCACCCAATCCAACCCCTTAAAGTGGAGTTGTCAAGGGGGGAGGCATTGGTTTAAGTCTCTGGTATGACCTGACTGTGGATTTGAACCCCGATGTCCCAGGAGGGACGGTCATACCACTAAGCCACTGAGAAATTTTTATACTCTTCACTGCTCATCCAAAGTCAGACTGGAGAAGCTTTTTCTAGTATCTCTTGGGTGCAAGTTTTACAGAGTTTAAGCAAAAATTTCACGAGTTGGCTGAGTAAACACAAGATCTTTAACACTGAGAGACAGATTTTAGGAAGTAATGAGTCTTTTATCATAAGGATGTTTTCCAGAGATTAAATGAAACAGCTTGACTGGAGTTCTGATCAGGGGTGTACCTGGTGAAAGTTTTTCCAGTGGGACTGCGTGTACTCAGATCATAACCACTCTTCTTGCAATCCTTACTCCCTTGTCCACACGGAGCATTACGTGGTGTCATGCTGTAACTCCAGCCCTTATCCGTCACGTTTCCACTTTTGAATGACACTCCCATGTAGCTGGGGTTAGAAATATCATGGGGTGGAGTGGCACAAGACCTGCAGACATGATGACACATCTGTATGTTGGAGTCATGCATGAGAACCGGTTTGCAATAATGTGAAAATGCCGTACTTGTTGAGGTCTCCCCCTTTGCATTTTGAGGGAACGGGATCTTCTCTTTCAATTTTAATGAAATCTGAAAGCAAAATAAAGCACAAAAGGCAGTTTTAAGAACCAAGGAGACGTTTAACAAGTAACCACTGAGCTGGTTTCCAGCCTCACCGTATAACTTCTCAGTGGGCTTGAACTCGGTGGTGCGTAGCTGCATGCCTCCGGTCAGCGTGCCAGTCTTCTCTCCGTGGTGAGTCAGAGTGATGTGAAACTCTCTGTAGCAGAACTGAGCAGCTCTCAGTGCGATACAACCCGCCCCTTTGGAAATACCACACACTTAGAGTCATCTTCGGTCAGAGCGGCATTAAACTACAGAGTCTCCGTTTACCGTACGACTCATCACTGTCGGCTGATTTGACACAGATGAGGATGTGCTGATCCAAGAGGTACTCGGGGTCAGATATGATGGGGGTGAGCTTTGACAGACAGATAACACGTGTCTAGTGTTATGAGATGGTTAACAGTCTTTACTACCAAAACTACCTCTAATTTATTGTACCTCTACTTGGTTCCCGAACCAAACTTTTATGGAGCCGCATGCTTGTTCTGTGTTCTCTCCTTCTGAGGTCGTTGTCATTTCTGTAGGAAAATCTAGTTTTAATATTCTTCAACTGTTCATAGAAGAAACCAGAGATAGGTGAGAGAATCAGACATACTTTCCAAGCAGCTGGAATGGAACTCTATGAAGAATTTAGTCTTTGATTTCGTCAACAAGATGGCCACACAGTTCATGATTTGGATTCCACCTTGAGGAGCGCTGTTGAGATCTAAAAAAGGAGAACAAAGAAGACGTCAAACCAACGTCTGAAGCTCATTCCGCCTTCCTGAAGTCAACTGGTGATACTACCTTGTTTGGAGACAAATTGTGACGCAACACCGACTTCAAATGAGGCAAAAACCGGAGAGTGGTCACTCGTCATGATGTCAGTTGTGCATCCTACCGTGGAAACAGTTTCAAAACCAAATTACAATTAAAGCACAATAAAAACATGTTCTCCCACGAAACCATTTATAACAAGTAATCATCTTCTCAGACACGTGTTGTGGCTGCAAATTGGTGTTAGTTTTCATTCAGATCAAAGTTAAAGCTAAATCTTTTTCACTGCAATGAGATGTTTTCGTCAGCCTAACACTAGGTCAGTTAATTTCCAGTTATCAATACCTAAATGAACCTGTCATGTCTCCTAGAGTTAGTGTCCAACGCACGTTAACATGGTCCGCTGATCGGAGCAAACCAAGAACGAGAAAATAAAGAAATAAATAAGACAAAAAAACGATCTGAAGAAACCAAGATCGGTAGAAATCTGCACATTAGTCTGAAGAGTCTAAATGTCAGAGCTTTGGTTCTCGAATCATTACATTTGAAGACCAAAAATGTTAAATCAATGAAAACCCATCTGGGATTTAAAAGGGTTCGATAGTGTGGAGACACAAAATCCAACAATGAACTTCTGTGATTACCACAGCTCTCCCTTTTTCAGTCAAGACCTCCGACCCCAGATTTCGGAGGATTTTTTTAATTTTTAGAAAAAGCATCTATGGGTTTGGAAAACGCACCGTATGCTTGACAGACAACATGAACCAGAGGGTAAGACTTCCGCAGGACGCGATCACACCATGAAGGCAAATTGTATTTGGTCTGCAGAAGAAACAGTCATTAGTTAAACAGTTCATGTCAGTGTTCATGAAAAAAAACAGTTTTGGAAGATGTTTGTGAAACACGTGAAAAGTTTTATTAGTCGACAATTATTTCTGATGTTTGATATCTTTTTTTTATCCAACTATGTTGAGAAGCAACATGTTTTCTTTAACTAAAGAGTGTTCATGCAGGACTGATGTAATCTGTGTTAAACATGAATTTGTTTATTACCCTCAGGAGGTGTCCTGTGTGGCAGCCATTTTGAAGCAGCTAAAGAGGAAGCCCACCTCTAATGCTGCCTTTATATAGTGAAATGCCTGAGTGGACTGAGGTGATTGGCCGACCTGAATTGGAGGGGGGGTCGGAGAGTATATAGGTGGACTGCTGGGTATTAGTGATGGGAATTCCGGCTCTTTTGAGAGAGCCGGTTCTTTTGGCTCAGCTCACCAAAAAGAGCCGGCTCTTTCGGCTCCCAAGTGGCTCCTCAGATTTTCTGTTGCGTAGAGTACATTTATCACCAAAATAATGCAAAACTATATGTATAATAATTTACTAATATAAAAAAATGCAATATATCAAACATTTATCATTTCTATGGATTTAATAACTGAACACTATAAGAAATCTCCACTTTCCGACTGCTGGCGCTCATTTCCTCACCGTCTTCGTCGCACTCTCCTCTCTCGCTCTCCTTTTTCCTCCTCCTCATTCCCTCTCGTCTCCCTCCACCCACATGTGCTCTGCTGTGTGTCTGAGTCTGATCCACCCCTACTGCTCTGTGTTTGGGCAGTCTGGACACGCAGTTACACATGTTGACCAATCGCCTGTAGCTTTCACCAAAGCAAGAGGGGAGGGGACGGCTCCCAATGACGAGCCGGCTCCCATCGTTCACTTCAAAGAGCCGGCTCTTAGAGCTGGTTCGTTCGCGACCGACACATCACTACTGGGTATGGCAAGAGATCTTTTCTCTCTGAAAGTGACTGGAGGAGAGTTGGATGGGTGGCCATTTTGAAGACAACTGGGATTTTCTGATTTTTGTTTGGACCAGAGGAAATAAAATTGGTTTTCCTTGTTTATCAACCAAGTCATCATGCTTCTTGTGTCCTCACTACACTTCACCGTGTAACAAACTACTTTATTCCTGGCAGCTGACGATGCCATCATTTGGTCTAAACACTGAAAATGTTTTACTGAGACCAGATGAGCCTAAAACAGACCCCATACATGTCCTTTTCATTCCAAAAGGTGAATGCTTCCATGACAATGAAATTAAGTGAGATAAACTGTATTTTGCATTCTTGGTGAAGCTGTTTTGAGAGGTTTGAAGCAGAAGCCTCACAAGGGACAGACTCCTGACTAAACCCAGGCTTACCCCTGTGGCTTTGGCCTTGGTGTAGGCATACTTCTCCCTTGTTTCTCTTTCAAAGCGATACGTGGGTGGAAATGTGATTTCCTCTTCATCTAAAACCAGTAAAAATATGGCTTATTATAAAAAACAAGTTGATAATGCACATCTGTGTTTATTTATATTCTCTGGTGCTCACCAAAATGCAAGAAGACCTTTCCATCATTCCTTTCCATGTTGAGCTGGTCTTTATTGAGGAGTTCCTGGTACTGCTGCTGTTTGATCTTCGTCACAATGTGCTCAGCTTCCTGTAAAGGGAAGCAGTGTTCATGGTTCAGAGCGTTAGCAGCTCAGAGCTCAGTCGCTTGACAACAGCACTTGGGCTGTGTAAATGAGGTCTTTAGTTGTTTTTGTAAGTCTTTCAGTGGCATTAAAATCAAAAGCCGTTTTTGAAGATGTATTCATTAGTTTGTCTTCTGTACTGCTCAACCCTGAGTAGGGTCACAGGAAGCTTGCGTCTCTCTCCAGCAGTCGCCAAGTAGGAGGTGGGTAGAGGACACCCTGGACGGGTCGCCAGTCCATCACAGAGACAAACAATACATAAAACCATCCAAACACTCACGCACAACCTAGAATTGATTTAGAATCACCAATTAGCCTGACATACATCTGTGCGAGGAGTCTGCAGATGCAAGAACATGTTAACTATACAAAAACACTCCAGTTGGGATGTGACCCTCTAACCTTCTTGCTGCAGGGCAACAGTGCTACCATGCTGTTCTTTTGCAAGAATTAGCAGATTAAAACATTAGCAAGTAAACTGATGTATTTATCTATTCTTTATTTAACCCTCTGGAGGCAGGCGTTGCAGATTAGCAAGAGTTTGCCAATATTTGCCTGGCTCGTAACACTGTGGTACGGAGAATTAAAGATGTTTCATCAGATATTAAGAGACAGTTAGAGGCAAAAGGAACTGAGTTTGACTTTTTCTCGTTAGCCTGCGATGAAAGCACGGATGCATCCGACACCGCTCAGTTACTGATCTTTCTGAGACGAGTGGACAATGACATGAATGTGAGTGAAGAGCTTCAAGCTCTGCAGAATCCGGTTAATCACCTGCTGATTGAAATCAGGTGTGTTGAAAAAAAATAAACACACCTGATTTCAACATGCTTCTGCAGAGCTTGATGAGCTGCTGAACAGGTGAATTAACTGTGTTCGAACTGGGAAACAACAAAAAGATGCAGGAGACCGGCCCTCGAGGACTGGAGTTGCCCACCCCGACCCTCGCCTCCTCTCCGACTCTGTCTCCAGCCTCGCTCTCCTCTGGTAAACTCCACACCAAATAAAGATTTTAAAGGTGCTTTGCAGAGTTTGGTGTCATCACGGGTCCTTCTAGTTCAGTTCATGACATTTTCAAGGGAGTCCTGGCCAAGTGGCAGCAAAAGTTAGTTACAAATTTTCAGCTCGCAGACATGTTATGCACAAAATTACAGAAGGCAGTTAGAACAAAGGGAATCCGTCTCAAGGGCTCTCAGTCTGGTTTTAAATGTATCCAAGGAGATAAATCCGGTTAATTTCCAGTTTTCCTGCAGCCTGATCCATGCAGAAGGAGCAGGGTGAACTTAAGCCCTTTAGCCCCGTTCGGTGCGAGCAAACCGAACAAAACTAACAACTGATCGTTTGCATGCTGACTGTGAGAAATTCCACTTCTCCGTGAGATTAAGTTACCAATGTAGGTGAGTAGTAATCCATGACAGACAGGTACAATGTCTGTCGTAATGAAGGTGCACCAATGTCCCAATCTCCTGGTAGATAAAGAAGGCCCTCCCACTCGAGAATACAATTCACAATGACGGGTCGGTGGTCTACAGTTGGTAACAAACCTCAGCAAGGCATCATAAACCACATCATCTTACCAAGACACTGTGCGGAGGCGCTCGTATACAAAAGTTCTCTATAATCCAGAATAGACAGAAATGTTGCAGTAACTAGTTTTTTTGTTTTGTTTTTTTGTTTTTGCATCAAAAGAAAAACAGTTTATTTAAAAAAAAGAAACCCAGTCTGAGTTTGAGTTTCTGCACAAGATGATCTAAATGGGGCTTGAAGGAGAGGGAGTCAGTGAGCCAGACACCAAGGTATTTGTATGTGTGGACAGCCTGGTGATTAATAATTGTACTTAATCATTTCAAAACATACAGATCTAGAGCTCCTGGTCAATAAAACATGAAGCTGTTTCCTTCTGATGCTTTACTCAATACAGTGACTTCATGGATGAATCACGGTAAAATGAATCACAACTGCTCATCATGCTACGAGCTCATTTTTAGTTGAAAACGTCCATCTCATCATTCACATGATGTTCCTCTGACATACTCAACCTTCTGCAGGCTCATCAGAAACACTGGTTAGGAGGACGGGAAAAAGACAAAAACAACAAAACACCAGTTTAAGACCGTTGCCTGGCCTTTAAACTCTCCAGATGTACCACTGGAAACCAACTCCCAGAAACAGATCCACACCTTTATTAGTCAGAGTGGTCTCAGTGGCAAACAAGGAATCTGTTTTGTACCAAGTTTAGAACAACTTACCGATGACGGAAAATCCACCCGGTAGTTCAAGTCTCCGAGCCAGATGAGGTGTGTGAACTGATGAGTGACGTCAAAAGGATTAAGCTTTTTGTCTCCCAGGTTTAGCAACCGCAGGATGTTGAAGTAATTTTGGTTCCGTCTGCAGACACAAGCATTGAACATGTGCTAGTCCTGATCATTGTCTCAATAAGGTATCTCAACATAGATGTAACCGATACTGGATTTAGTTTCCACTAGTTTTTCTTTTCAAGCTGTAGTCCTCTTTAAACTGGAGGAGGTGTACAGGACACAGAAAGATGGACAAAGAAACAGCACACTTAAATCCACATGGGTATCTGTTTTTCTACTTTCAAGTGTACACAATTGGTTTAAAATTCATTTCAAGGGGACATAATATTACATTTTACTTAAGTTATACTAGTTCTATGGTCAACACAGAACCTATTTATGAAATTTGTTTTACAAAATCCCTCTCACATGAAGCGATTTCCACAGTTTTATTCTGGACAGTTTCAGTAACTTCCAGAATGAGCCGCCTCAGGGCTCTGTCACTTTAAAAACACAAGCTAGAGCTGGCCACGCCCAGCTCAGGTTGCTATGAGCTGAGAAGCTCAGATATATGAGGTGGGCTCAAAGTAGAGTCACTGCACCTCCTCCAGCAGCTCTCTCTTGTACATGAGAGCTGGTTCTATTCCAACTTCCCATTTGTGACATCATAAACAGAGACTTTTTGAAGCAGCAAGTTTAATTACTAAAATCATTCCATTAAAAAACAGGACTGAGGTGCAATAGCAACAGACAGCATATAAATACACAACAATAACAACAACCCACACATGTGTACACAAGGTTTCCCTATGGGAGTGTACAAAAGTGAGTGATCCATGGAAGATATGGAGTAAATCCAAGCCCTAGACATCAGAGATTTCTTCCATGTATGGAAATCCCAGGAAGATCACTGTAGGAACAGCCTCATTCCTCTAGAATAGCAGAGGGTCACCCCACGGGGGCTACCCAGCAGCCACCATTCCAAAGACCCAGGAGATCATAGTAATTATCCCACAAGCCCCTGCCAGCAACCACTCACATCAGGACAGGTCTAGCCCGGATGACCCATTGACCCTGGATGCCCACAGACCCTGACAGAGCCTAGGCCGCCAAGCAGCTATGAGGAGCGAGCTGGCAGATGCCATAACACCCGGCATAGGATCTGTGGTTGACAATGAGCACATTACCCCGCCCACTGCTGTGTCCTGATGGCCAGCTCACACTCTGGGCTCTGGGAAGCGAACAGAGAACAAGGGTGTGAGAAGACCCCAAGTCTAGCTCCAATGTGGTGTTGAAGTGTGTTGTTATAGAATGCATTAAAACAGGGCAGAGGGGTGTGACCCTAGTTCTAACCCCGCACCTAACCAACCACTGACTCTGGATGCACAGGTTTTTTTCACGTTTGGAATGTTTATAGAGGCAGTAAAGACCAACATGGCAGCACAATAGGATGCACAAGGCAAGTTTGACATGTGCCCCCCCTTTAAGCAATTAGAACATTTTACTAATTGCTTAAAGCCCCTTTAAATACCCAGCCAAGTGAGCCAAGACGTGGACTGATCTCTGTCTCCTGGCTTTCACACCAGTTTAGTCTGGAGGGCTCAGTACAATTGGGCGGAAGAAGATGATGCATTTTATCCCTTCATTTAGTTTTGTTCACATCAAATCAGTCAAACCATCGTCAGCTCAAGCTGGACCCAACTGCCTGGACTATGTTGCACATCCACAACAGCTGCTTGTTTGAAGGTTTTGCCAAAAACAAGCAGCTGATGTGACAGAAGATATGATGAAGAACCTCTAGCACCAACTGGCTCGGACCAAACACAGATCCCTCCTTCAGCTGGCTTGTTCACAACAAAAACAAACGTGTAACCATGGTATCTAATATCTTTTTCACTGTTAATCTTTGTTGAGGGTCTGGGCTGCTGGCTCTGGTGTGAAATGGGTTAATTATTTCTAAATACTTCACAAAGCCCTCCTGTAAACATCAGCCTTGCAGTAGTTTATTTATTAAGCAGACACTTTTATCCAGTTTCTATTTATTTTATTATTCTATTTTAACTCCAGCAGATAAGATAAGACCATCCCCCCATAAACCCTCTCCTTGGACTCTCTATATATTTAATTTTTATACAACCAACACTTTAGTCACTTTATTCATTGACTCAGTGATTTTTTTACTGACTTTATTCATCTTCGTTATTGCATTTAACTTTTTGCTTGCATATTTTACTGATTTTATCCATCTTCTTGCTGCGTTATTACTTTTCTTATCGCCTATTTATTCAATGTTCGTATGTCCAACGTCATGCTGCTCTGCTGTTATTTTTTAATTGCCTCTTGGGGATAAATAAAGTTTTTCTGATTCTGATTCTATTACAATTTTAAAGATACCCGTGCAATGAATTAACCCAACATGCAAGGGTTTTGTCAATGGAAGGAAGTCAGAGCGCCAAGAGAAAATCAACACATGCATGGGTAGAACATTCAAAATTCACACAGAAAGCCTTCCGTCAGGATTTGAACCTGCAACCTTCTCGGTGGGAGGCAGCATTGCTGCTAAGCAAACTTGGCAAACAGAAAAATGACAACAACTCAGGCCCTGTCCACACGTAGCCGGGGATCTGCCAAAACGTAGATATTTTTCTACGTTTTGGCCTGTCATCCACACGAAAACGGAGTTTTTTCACACGAAAACGGATCTTTTTAAAAACTCCGGCCAAAGTGAAGATCTGCGTTTCCTCCGTTTTGGGTGTCTGCGTGTGGACGGACAAAACCGGAGTTTTAAGGTCCGCAACGTCACTTTCCGCGACAAAAAAATGCTGACATCACGTGTGCGACCTGTGTTTACACTAGCCGACAGCATGGATGCCCTCAGAGCTGCGCTTGCTTTATTAGTTGTCCAAGCGCTTTTTGCTTGTTTGTTTTTGCAAGCGGAATTACTGCTCCTTGTGGAAGACCACAGACGAAGGACGAGGTTAAGAACGGGGGAAGTACTGCCGCCTACAGGTCTGGCATGTCCTTAACAACGTATTTATCCGGGTACGTGTGGACAGAGTTTTTTTAAAAAACGAGGTGGTGTGGATGCAAGTTTTTGGAGGGGCGGATATTCGTTTTTAAAAAAAACCCAGCTACGTGTGGACTAGGCCTCAATTTCAAACCGATTGGGCTGAAAGCTCCTGTGATCATCATAAAAAGCACATGCAGTGTGCAATATGAGATCACTCACAGTGTTATTTTTCAAAGATTTGACCAAGACGGCCACCACCCCATCAATAATCAATATTATATGGTCTCAGTTTAAAACTGAGATACGATATGGGATATTCATGAGATATGTGTTAATTTAAGAAAGCTAGGCCTTTCATTTAATATGGGGACTTGAAATGTAGTAAATGAGAACACGTTTCTTCATAATGTACAGACGATTTCAGTAGTCAGTCTTGACCAAAACCCTCAAATGTTACTTTGAATGACATCCCAACAGTAAATAATAAAATGTGCTTTTTTTAAATGATAAAAAATATGTTGTTGCAATGATCTCCAGTTTTAGAGAAGTTCATTAGGACAATATTTTAGGAAGGTCAGACTGGTTTAAAAATACTACACAATGTCTGTATCAGGACAAAATTCTGCTTTATATAAATAAATAAAATTATTGTCTTTTCTTTTGTATAATACTCTACTATTCACATTCTATATTCTTCCCCTAGCTGGCATCATTCAGTCTTTCCCAGACATCTCCTACCACATCTATGCTGATGATATTCAGCTCTATATGTCCTTTATGCCACACCAGTTGGACAGGCTGGCCACACTTGTACTCTGCCTGACCCAGATCAGTAACTGGCTGTCCAGCAACTTTCTTGTCCTCAATGCTAACAAGACAGAGACCCTGATCGCTGCACCCCTGGAACTTCAGCCTAAAATCGAGCAGGAAATTGCCTCTTTTTGCCCATCAGCCAAGACCAACATTAGAAACCTGGGAGTTATTTTTGATCCAGCTTTAAGTTTAGACTCACACGTCAAAACCATCTCCCGCTCTTCTTCCAACTGAGAAACATTTCAAAAGTCCGTAAACTGGTTTCCACTGCAGATCTGGAAAAAAATCATCCATGCCTTTGTGTCATCACGCTTAGACTACTGTAACGCTCTTTTTACTGGTCTCAGCAAAACCTCCCTCTCACGCCTTCAAGCCATCCAAAATGCAGCAGCCAGACTCCTAACCAAATCCAGCAGACGAGCTCACATCACTCCAGTTTTACAGTCCCTCCACTGGCTCCCGGTAGAATATAGAATACAGTTTAAAGTTTTAGTCCTGACCTATAGAGCTCTTAACAACCAGGCTCCAAGCTACCTATCTGAGCTTCTATCCCCACACACCACCTCTCGGAACCTTAGATCCACATCTGAAAACCTCCTGGCTGTTCCTCGAACCAGACTGAAAACCAAAGGGGACAGGGCCTTTCAGACTATTGCCCCCAGACTTTGGAACAGTCTACCTTCAAATCTCCGTCTCTCTAACACTGTAGAGGTCTTTAAAAATCATCTAAAAACTCACCTTTTCATCCAGGCGTTCCCTCCCTAAATGTTCAGAATGATGGCTTTGTTCTTGTTCACACCTTCACTTTGTTTATACTCATGATTTTATTTTCTATTTTATCACTGCTATTCTTTTTCTGATGTTTTTATTGGTTAGAGGTATTTGCCCTGATCTTTATCATGTTGTACAGCGCTTTGTGATTTATATCTGTGAAAGGCGCTGTATAAATAAACTTTTACTTACTTACGTACTTATAATATATCAATGAAAATATCTGTTCTCACTGTTATAAATCTAAGGATGCTGTAGTGTTTGTTATGTTGACCAGTACTTTTAAAAGGGCAGTCTTCAGTTCACCTGAGCTTCTTCTCACTTCCAGAGGTCAAGTGACTGTTAACAAAACCGAACGATGTTCCGTTGAACATGAAGGACACGCCCACAGCTCCCTTGTTTCCTGCAAACAAATCAGACGTTACAGACTGAATCTTTATGATGGCTCCTTCACAGCCTGGTGGAGAATTGGAACTACTTACCCAAAGTGTTAGCAATCCCCGTCTTCACGCTATCTGAAAACACATGGGAGATCCTGTTTTCGTGCTCCGGCTTGGCCAGCACCACGATCCGAATGTTCCACAGGGTCTGAATCGCCACCTGCGTGTGTGGAGTCACAATCCTCTGCTCTTCTGCTCATCACTTCAGCTGTAACTTTGTCACAGTTACTCACTTGCTTGAAGCTGATGTTTGTGATGTTCCTCAGGACATTTTTCACCGTATCCGACCACTCCCGCTCGCCCAGTGGGTCCTCCTGGGTCCCGATGACGTAAACATCGTGAGGAATCTGATCTGCGGTGTCATCCCTGGTCTTCCCCTGACCCTTACACTGAAACCAGGAGTCAATGTTTTGGGGAGGGCCAGCATTTCCTGTGTGTTACAATCAGGGTTTAGATTATCTTCATGGCAAAAGGGATCCAATTACCAACCGAGGAATTGTTGTTACCCATGTTCCAGGTGCCAATAAAAACTGTTATCATGTCAGGTTCAGGTTTTTCTGAGTGTTTGTTCTTCATTTGTTGAAGAAGTTGACAGAAACCTTCTCTTTTCTGTAAAGACGAGGAACAAAACCCCTCCTCAAATTGAATAAACAGCACAAAACTGAGACATGAAAAAGATAGGTGGATGTGTAGCTTACATACCAGAAAGTCAGACGCTTACCTTTGTGTCATTAAAAACAAACTCTTTACGCTGAATCTTTTCCCTCTCAGTCTCCACCACAATTACAAGTTTTGGATGCATTTTGTGGGATTTCACCAGCTGCAGAACTGAGAAACAATCAGAGACGTATTTTTGTGTTCGAGAAAGACCTTACCGATGGATAGCCATTAGGGTCAAAAATCTCTGGGAGCGCAGTTTTCTAATGAGTATTACATCAGATCGTTCAACCTCCAGCAAAACGACGTGCACATCAGTCTCCCTTTCATAACTGGCAACGAGCGAAGAGGTAAATGTGTAAAACAGCAACGTTTGTGAATGAAAGTTTTGTAACCGCTTGTTACAAATCAGTAAACGTGTTTTGTCCTCACTGGCTCCTGTAGAAGAAAACATGGCATCTAATATGAAGTCGATCATAGGCTTAGACCAGCACACGTGTATTTCAGACCCAATTTGGTTACGAATTTGCCAATAATTTTCAACAACGGGGATGTTTCCAGATGGTAAAAACTAAACGTTGTCACTTTAAGTTACCACTGGTGTGAACAGATGCATCTGTTTCCTCTGCGGGTGTGAGGACATACACTTGTACACAGTGAGAAAACAATTTAGCCGAGGGATGAATTGACCAACACTTGTTTATTTTTGTTATCAAAACAAGTTGAAACATGATGTGGTCTGTGTAAAAAAATTCCTCTTATCAGGACTTAACTCTGTGAAAATAAGAGTCTACAAAAGAAGATAATCTGTTAAAAAACACTTATTTCTAATTTACACCAAACATGTTACTAGACACCACTGATGGCAAATGAAATGAAATGCATCATTTAAACGGTAAATGGCCTGTATTTGTATTAGGGCCTGCACGACTTTATTTTTTTTAAAGTCGACAGTCAAGTAATGAAAGTCGAGTCGACTTCGACTAGTCGTTGATGACGTCATACGCCGGAAGCGGCGGGGGGGTGGGGGGTGGGGGGGTCGGTCGGTAGGTTCGCTGGCGTTTTTGACAATTAAAATTGCGCCCACATTTTCTAAGTTAACATCTCTTTTAACAACGGTAGTTTCTGCATCCTGCTTCAGCCCTCTCCCCCCTCCCCCTGCTTCAGCCCTCTCCCCCCTCCCCCTGTGCAGCGGCTGCAAACTCACTGATGCGCCTGCAGCCTCTCGGAGTTCCTGCTGCTCTAAACATTAAAATAATTATTTCATTTTCTGTTCCTCACTTCTGATTACCTTCAATGGTGTCTGTTTGTTGCAACCAGCAGGTACAAAAACTAACTTGTTTTTATTTGACTATTTTTCTGTCCTGCCTGTTTATTATCTTCCTGCATCTCCTCTCAGTCCTAAAGAGAAACTGCTACCTGGGTTCATATATATTCACCTCATGAGTTACCTTTGAACTGCAGTTCTAAAAGATCTACCGACCGCTAAAACAGCGGAGTGCCGCTGCTCGCCGGCCGACTACAACGGGACCGTTTTTGCTGCGGAGTTCATGCCGGAGCGGAGATAGTGGAATCTTGGGGGTGCGTCACCGGAGGACAAAACAGGTGATGCGCCTCGCTCCACAGCAGCGAAACGCATCAGGCACAAATAACAGACAGAAAACATGAAAGGAAATGAGTCGACATGAACGATCGCGTGTTTACTTTGTTTTTGAGGTGGTGACACCTGATTTGGCCGTGCTCAGGACGCAGATGTCTGGAGCGCACGTCAACGATCAGAGCTTTGCATGCGCAAACTTGTTAAGATTAGGATGGGGGTGAGGGGAAGGTTAAATTGCAAGAGGGAAAAGGACACAGTTTGGTTAAATGTCCGTTTTACCGCCGGTGTCAGTACCGCACAGCGCGTCGCCTCCGCCTCGATCCAGACGCGCAGGGGCTCGTCACCTGCTGTCTTTTCCGAGGACTACATCTTGTCAGTCATTATCACGTGACAGCGACTAGTCGATGACAGGCATAAAAAGTCACTACAGAGCCGTGAAGTCGACTAGTCGACTATTTCGTACAACCCCTAATTTGTATAGCACCTTCTTAGGGCTCTACAACCCCCCAAGGCGCTTCACAACACAATCAAACATTCACCCATTCACACGCTGGTGGGGATGAGCTACGATGTAGCCACAGCTGCTCTGTGGTTAATGATTATAAGAACTTTTTTACTGCATTTGATGAAATGAAAATAGTGTTTTTAGCTTAAGCTGACCATCATCTGACCCAAGCTGACAACAAAACCATGCTAATGAATAAAGTCAAAGATTACTCACTCTTATTGTGTACAAAGTATTTGTCTTCAGGTCCATCTTTTGACTTCTTAAAGTAGAGTTTCCCACTTTCAACGTCCACCTTCAGAACCATTTTTGTAGAAATACCGAGAGATTCTTGTTTGACCTGCAAGCCAAAAGAAACCAGGAGGCATAAACCACAAACCTCCAGGTGTTTTACTGCGTCTCGTTTTATTTGTGTCACAACGTAAAAGCAATGGGAAGCACCTCAAAGGACGCAACTGGTATGAGAGAGTTTCTGTGGCCTCCGTCATATCCAACCGACTCAAAAACAGAACCTTTAGCCTGGAACAGGAACAGAGAAGTCTTTTTTTCATCCACAAGCAACATGTGCTGTTGGTGTGTCTGAAAACAGGGGAGCAGAAAATGCTGGACTGTACCTTATCTTCTATTGAGTAGAGCAGTTTAGTGAGTTGCTCGAGCCGATAGGACACACTCTGTCCTGAATCTGTTAAAATCTGGAAAATGAGGACGTGACACCGGATGAGGCAAACATGTTTGTGTGTGGTGACAACAACTCTATGGATGAAGGACACCCACATGTCTTGGTCCAATCCCAGGGGAGAGCTGCTGGTCCATTGCTCTGTGGAGCATCTCCAGAGTTGGCAGGATTCTGGAAATTTCACTGTCTCAAAAAAAGGGATATCGTTGTGGTTAGACGAACAGAGTCGCCAAAACAATATTGGATGTTCTTTTGACTGGATGATGCACCTGTTTAGATTTTTACACACTGCCTGGATTAGCCTCTTGAGGCCAGGGAGGTTAGGGTTGCCGTTCTGGACTTGCTCAGCATCTACGCAGATTGCAGTCCTGAAGTATTCTTGGATGGCCGTTTGATGTTCCTCGGACAGTCTGGAGGTAAAACACAACAGACGAAAATTAATGTCATGAACCTGCAAAGTCAATGGAAAATAACCACAACTCCATGTTTCTGATAGTGCTGCATGCTCAGTAATTTTCTTAAATGTGACCGTACACAGACAGGTCCATGTACTGCAGCCTCATGAGGTACGTGTCTGATAGGGACTTGCTGGCCTGCTCGCTGGTCTTGGATTCACTTTCTGAGGTGAAGTTCCTGGGGGGGAGCTGTGGTGGATGGTTGGAAGTTTCTGTAATATAAAGAGCACAAAAAGCTTCAAAATGCATACAGTTTGATGTCTTTTATTAACAATGCTTCTTGGTACTGCTTTATGCCACATGAAGGTTTGTGAAGTCATTCTCTTTCCTCTAAAATTGACTTGGCCATCTTTAAGATCATTTACGACTCCAGTGCTACGATGAGTCAAAGTATCTGCTACGTAGAAAATGTAGGAGAAAAATGGGTTGCTAATACTGTCCTGACCTGACTAGATCAAATCAAATCAAAGATACTTTATTAACCCCAGAGGGAAATTAGAGTAGAATTAGATACACCTTTAACTAACTCATAGTAAAGTTTATTGAATATGATTCATTACCAAGAAACAAAAATAAAATACAAAAAAAATGCAATTCTATTGAATGAAATCAATTATATTAAAACACATTTCTTTATGTTTTGTGCTTATTTAAGCTGCAGTAACATTTATTAACTGCTGCATAGATAAATAGAGAGGAGGTTTCTGACCTTGCTCTTCATCCAGCTCCACCTCCCTCTGGACGGAGTACTGTAGATGCGTGACCAGACCCATGTTGGGGCTTTGATAAGCCTCCACCAGCTCAGGCAGCATGGTGAAGAACCTGATAGGAACGCCATCAGAAGCCTGCAGAGCAGATCAAAGCAGAAATATTCATTCTTAAACTGCTAGTATAGACTGAGAAAAATTTAATGTCACATGTTTGTGACAGTTTCAGGAATTTGTTACGAAATTACATGTCATCATTTTTCAGTGGCAACTTCCTGTAATGATATGTGAAGGTTTTAGATGTCAGCGGTTGAGTTACTGAACAGACAGTTAGTTGACTTGGGTTTCTTTGAGTAAACAAGATACAGAAGTTAGAATAATTTAGACACAAATAGAGTTGAAAGGGCACAGCCTTATTTAGGAAGCCCCCATGAGAATCCTTAAAACATGTATAATTCATGAGGTAAATTTTAGACAATAGTTTTTATATAAAAGAAAGTAGTGGTGTATTATATACCTGAAACATTGTATGCTCATTTCAATACACTTGATGTGGTCTCTTTGAATAAATGCCTTGTGAGTTGCTTTCAGGGTAAAAAAAAAAAGCTCTGGCGCTCCTATTTCAGGAGGTCCTCTTTGTGTTTGGGAGTGAGGGGAGGAAAATGGCAGGATTTGGAGTTCAGCATTTATGATACACAAACATCTCGCCACTGATTGGCTAACAGGGGAAAAAATTAATGAGTGCTGGTGCTCAACAGCTGGAACTAGCAACTGAGGAATAGAAAAAGGAGGCTGGAGTATTCGGGTCAGATTAAATATTTAATAGGTGCAAATAAAAAGAAACTAACGTTTTGACATTGTTGTCTTCATCAGAGTGGCTAACAGAGGTACTTTGACTGTCGCTGTTTGCTCTGCAACGTTTATGTTTTATCTCCACAAACAAAACAAGCGTAAATGTGTTCTGTATTGTAGTGGAGTTGCTAATGCTAACAGTTAGCTTCTCCTAGCCGAGACAGGCTCTGCTCTCTGTGGGTGTGTCCGAATCCACGGGCAGGATGCTTATGAGTACGGGTCCTCGCCGGTGCTAAGACAGGAACCCAGCGGTTCTGAAGTCGGACAGTCTAGCCTTCACCTCTACGGTGGCCCGTAGGTCCCATCACAGCTGTGGTGGTGTTGTGCCAAAAAGCGACTGGCTGCCAAAAAATGATTAGCCACCACGGGATCGTGCATGGTTAGGGTAATTGCATTTTTAGATGAAATTCCCTGGGATTTGGCCTTAAAACTCGGCATATCTAGCAATATGGACATTGAGAAAGCAGAGATAATCTCGTCCGGTACTTAAACAGATGTTTATCACAGATATTAGTTTTTTCCAGTTGGAAAGTGGTTTTAAGTGTTGCTATTTGTCTTAAACGTTCGCAATGAGGATAAATTAATCCTTTTTGCAATATTTGCGATTGAAAGATGGTTTGTGGTAAGAACTGGCTTTCTTTATGTTACAGCCTTGATACTAAAAAATAAATAAACAATGTAAAATGGCGCCCTGTATTGAATGTAAACGCTGTATAAATGGAAATAAACAATTCTCCAGCGATTTGATTTTTTCCCCCTTCCTTTCTTTGGTCCACTTGACATGGAGCCACAGTTAACTAGTTTGGGGCACATTTTACTTGGAAAATAGTATTTAAACTGATCAAGCTTTGGCTTTACAATGACACTGTTTAGGTTACTATCCATACATTACATTGCTCTATTCAAAAGTTTCAAGATAAAAGCACTTCAGCACATAAAATTAAGATTGTCACTTGCCAAATAGAGACTTCACCCTCCTGTTTACCTATAAGAAACGCCTCAAAATATCTTTAAATTCTTTATTGATGATTTAATTGTAGACAACAAAAAAGGCATTTTACTTGCCAAAAAGTGATTGGATCGCTCAGTTTTTCATGGAGGCTAAAATTGACCAAATAAGGGTTTTATGTATTATCTGTTGATGCTATTGTACTCATACTGTCTACTGTATCATCATAAACACCCCCAAAATGGCAAAAAAAGATCATTTCCCTTGCCAAAAATTGATTACAGTGTCCTGGTCACCTGTAAAGGGTTACATTTACCTAAATATTACTTTATTTATTATCTCTCCAAGGGAGTGTGAAATAATGAATGACCCATGGAAGGCATGGAGTCCCAGACATCCAAAGATCCCTTATGGGAACCACAGGAAGATCACCCTCATTCCCCTAGAAGAGCAGAGGATCACCCTGTGGGGGTTACCCAGCAGCCAGTCACACCAGATCAGATCCGGTGTCGGTACAAGATCGGCTCGGTGTCCGTCGACTGCCGATGACGTCTAAGTAGTTGATTGGCTGAGCCTGAACCTTACGGAATTACGTAATCACGTTACGTTGGTCCAGGCAAATCTTTCTGTTGGAAAGATGGACAACTTTTACAAAGAAATCCATCATTACCTCTTTGAAAATACACTTTTAGCATAGAGATGCATGTATATTAGGGCTGAACGATTATCTGCATGTGCAATTAAATTGCGATGTGACGAAAGGAGATTTTCTAATCACAAAGGCTGCAATTTGGCAGCGAGTGGTTAGCGCAATGCTAATATACATGGAAAAACCCATAGGAATGCTAATGCTAATATCACCGATTACATTCTTACAAATTATGAATTAGAAACGTGCCAAATGATTACATTTGGAGTCTAATAGAAAGTAAAACTACCATCAATCAAATAAGTACAGACAGGTATTTTAATAAAGCCAGAAAACTTTTAACTCCAGAGTTTTGGCTAGCAGCTATGAGCGTAACTGAACTACGCATGGACAAGACGTCAAAAACTCTAAATACAAAATACTTCAATAAACGGGACACACTTCTTTCCTGCAAATACAATTTCACAGGTGTTGCTAATACCTATGATTCTTCAAGGGATGTGCTCAAAGAGGAGTTCAACATTATGAATACAATATAGTGTTTTATTTTACAAATACCATAATAAACACAAACTTACGTTGTAAGAAACATTATTTTAATAACAAAACTGCTAAATTCTTTCCAACAGTATAGATGAGTAGTGTATTTTGTCCGAGTGGGTTTGCCGTACTTTGACGTCGATCTTGCACCCGAGCAGATCCGTACCGACACCGGCCCAGATGACTCATTGACTCTGGGTGCTCAGACCATGACAGAGACCTAGCAGAGGCTGACAGCCTAGACCACCAAAAAGCTGTGGGGAGCAAGCCAGCAGGTGTCCTATCACCCAGCACAGAATCTGGGATTGATAATGAGCACACCACCTTGCCCACTGGAGTCACAAAGCAACAGATCATCACAGACGCTTAAATGGCCAGCTCCCACTCCCAGCCTCCAGCTCTGGGGAGTGAGCAGGCAACTGGGGCGTGAAAAGACCCCAAGTCTTTTTCCACCAGCTCCAATGCGGTGTTGAAGCCCTCTGAGCCAGGCAGCTCCCCCACTGACCCCAACACACACCCTTTACCCAAATCCACCAAGGGGAGAGCCCTGGCCTCTCTACCCAGGGCCCATGGCAGCAGCACCAGAGCCCCATAGAGCCAGAGGCCACCTTCTCAATCCCACCCCAAAATGATATGTACATCCAACCAACCAGACCCCCCCCCCCCCCCCCAACTCTTCCCAAATGCATAAGTCATTAGTCAATTACCCTCTGGATGGAGCTGATCAAAGGGCCCAAGAGAGATTGGTTTGATGTGGGAGCAGAGACTGCCTCGAGGCTAATATGGTCCGATAAAATATCTGTATAACGGCTCAAAGATAAGTTTTATTCTTCTAGTTAATGACGAACAATGGGGTACCATGCAATACATATTTCTACTCTTTTGCCCTTGATGGAGAGTAATTTCAAGCTTTCGTACTCTGAGGACCATTAATGTTGTTAAAAATCAACAGTGCAAATGTAACCAAAGACAGCTTCTAATAACCTTTGGAAGACTAGATTGCACCTTGGTACATCTGTCCAATAGGTTGCAGTTTAACAGTAACAGTTGTATCCGAAGACCGGAGATCCTGTTTTTATTTATTTATAGACATTTACATCATCCTGTTCGTTTAATCGTCCGACCTTTAGCCAGACTGTTTACCTACCTCAACAGAGAGCTTCTTGTCCTCGTTTGGCAGGATTCTGTACGTGTACACACAGTTCTGATATCTGTGGTTGGCAACAAAATGCAAATGTAAGTCGGTGAAATAAAGCAAACAGTATGAAGGATGAGAAACTTTAGCCAACACATTCAGTGGCTTCTTAAAAATAAAGTTCACCACGTCATGATTTTACACAAAAGAGGCGCAGCAGGCAAAGGGTGAAGTTATTGAGCACCACAGGATGCAAAAAAGGGGAACCAGTGTGTGAGTGTGTATATGCATACATGTGTGTGTGTTTGTGTGTGTATGTGATGTGAAAGTGCTTAACATAGGAAACATGTAAAGGAGCCATACACCCCTCCTTCAGAGCCCACAGCACAGGTGTTCTGTGAACACGAGTCATCAGGTTAAGAGATAATCTATTAGCTACATCTCTATTAATTAAATAAAAGTTACTCACAAAACACAGAGGGCGTAAGCTCCCTGTACAGACTCGCTGTCCCGGATTAGGAAGCTTCCATCTCTTGCTGCTTTGGAGAGTAAATCCTCAGCTTTGGATCGAGTTAAACTGTCATGGTACCAAGGTGGAAAACCTGGCATTCTGTTACTCATCCAAGAGCCTCAGCTCAAGTTTTTAGCATCTGCTCTAAAATTTTAGAAATCAAACAATCTAATACAGACTTCTTTTTCTTTGGCAACTTTTCAGCTTTCGGCTCTAGCGCTTGATCATTCTGCGCCTCTTCTAGCTGCAAAAGGAAGCAGCTTTGAGCTCTGCTCTGAACTTCCTCATTTGAGAAGTTACAGAGAGGAGGGCCCTGGCGCTTGCTGTCTTGATCTCAGTGTTGTAAAATGGAGATGCAAAGTTTCATTTGCACAGGAACAGCTTTCATCACACGTCTAATAACTAACACACGTCGCTTGGTAGGCCCTGTGTACTAATATACCATATGTAAGTGTTTATTCTGATCAGGAAATGTCAAATATGGGAATAAATAATTAAATAACTGAGTTAGATGAAGTGAAAGTGGGAGCATAAGCAAAAACCCAATGACACTTTGTAATTGCACTGTAGCGGTAGAAAAGACTCCAAACGACAGGTTTTTGGAGGTGTTTTTTATTTTTTAAAACCCTGATAATTCTTGGTCTCTGACAGTAAAAACCCCACACTTATCCACGGAAAATCCCTCAGCCTGAATGGAACTGGCACCATTTTTAATCCTGGGTAATGAAAATGCCAGGTTCTACACACAGCATGTACGTTCAGGAAATACGCATTCAAGGTGACTGGCTGTGTTCATGTGATGGACAGGAAGTCTTGCAGAAACAGGAGGAAAAAATGAGCCGCTTACAAACCACAGCATGGGTCACATGACATGAAAACAGAACTACGTGGTGGCAAGTCTTGGAGGTTACTGGGCCTCCATTTAAAGCAGGTTTAAGGCTACTGCAACCTTACTCAGAACTATAGAGAGCAAAATAAGAATCCGTGTCCAAACTGAACCGTTGTTATACCTCAGTAATGCTGCCAAACATAATCATTGAAGTGTTCAGTCAAGTCATGCAACAGTGGAGCAGAAAACCTGAAAAACAACATATGTACACCAGAGAATCATAGAGGACAAACAATGAAAACATTAGTTTTTTTTTTCAAAACTCATGTTTGCATTGCTATTTTGCATGGAGACAGTTCATATGTTCCACATGCAGGCATGCGGGGTGTGTTTGGAGCCACAACTTCCAACAACTCCAAGTATCTGATCACATCCTAAAGGGTTTTGATTCAAAAGATCAGAAAACCATCATAAAGGTTTCCAGCTATCAAAGCACAAAGAGGACTCAAATGCAGAGCTCACACAGTTTTAATCAGCAGAAGGGATTCCTGGCAGTACAGCACAACTGAACAAGTCCAAAACTAACCAAATACACTCTCACAAAGTGTTACTGAGAGCAGGTTCACAGTACTCAACTGAAGAAGACAAACTGGCAAAGGAAACTGTTGCAAAGATGCTTAAATGGAGAAGCCAGGACCCAGGTGCAAGACATGAGGCAGATTAGTGAGGAGCCTCATGTCGTGAAGCTGCCTGTAATGAGACAGGAAGTGAATGCACAAAATAAAACAGGAAGTACCAAAAATACAATAAAACCAGAAACAAAACTGCAAAGCACTCAACCTGCAGAATCACCCATGACACCAGCTGATAACAGAGCTAAATACAGTTTAAATATAAACAATAGCGACGATACTAAAAATAACTAACAACAGTGTGTTTCATTCGTCTTACGATTAATGTACAAGATTAAGATTGGGCACGTACACATTTCATTTTGAAGTTGTCCAACACCGACGTCACTGCAAGTCATCACACCTCTTCCCATTCATGATGTAACAAAGACACACAACTCAAATATTCATAAGCTGATTTGATTGCAGGTTAATTAATTAGACAAGAATTTATGAACAAAGGAGGATTATACTTCTACTGTAGACCTTTATCACACTTCTGCATTTTGTCTTCGGCGGAAATGAATGAATAATAGTTCACAAAACTTCCAAGGGAGGCAGCAGCAGGATATTTGAGTAGTCCAAAATAATACAATAGAAAAAATAAAACATGGGGTCTTGGGATTCAAAAGTTTTTAAGAGTTTTTAAAGCCTCTTTACATGACTTGTGTATAGCTATCAACAGAAAACAAAAGAAAAGTTAGTTCTTAACTCAATCACTGCCATTGTGGGAATGAGCTTGCGCACCGTGAGAGTTAACATCCCAGCTCTAAAAGTAGATTTTCATCCATCTGTGTCGCACGCCACGTGATCATGAAGCGGGCAATCCATGAATTAGATCGTTTTGTGACGAATGATGAATGACAAATGACCCGCACTTGTATGGCGCCTCTCAGAGTAAGGACTCCAAAGAGCTTTACATTCACACACACATTCACACACTGGTGGAGATGAGCTACGATGTAGCCACAGCTGCCCTGGGGCGTACTGACAGAGGCGAGGCTGCCGAGCACAGGCGCCACCGGTCCCTCCGACCACCACCGAAGCGAGGCGCTAACCAGGAAATCTTCTGCAGCTCACACTTCTACTGTGGATTATGAAAGAAGGGAAAAAGCTAGAAACAAGCTGATTCTTCCTGATGTAAGAAGTGAGTCTCTTCTTTCTTTTAGGTAGTTTTGTCATGATCATGCCCTGATCTCTGTGTTTTCCTGTCTCCCTGCAGCAGCAGTAATCTCGCTGATTAATCCCACCTGTGCTGCTCCCTGTTTCAGCACCTGGCTCCTGCTGCTCAGTGTGAGGTCGTCTGCTGCCCTGTCACAGTCCTGAGAGCGTTTGAGCCTGCCTGCCTGACCACGGAACCTGTCTGTCTGTCTGTCTGACCACACAGAGCCTGTCTGCCTGCCTGATTGACTGACCACGGAACCTGTCTGTCTGCCTGACCACACGGAACCTGTCTGCCTGCCTGACTGACTGACCACGGAACCTGTCTGTCTGCCTGACCACACAGAACCTGTCTGCCTGCCTGACTGACTGACCACGGAACCTGTCTGTCTGCCTGACCACACAGAGCCTGTCTGCCTGCCTGACTGACTGACCACGGAACCTGTCTGTCTGCCTGACCACACGGAGCCTGTCTGCCTGCCTGACTGACCAGGAACCTGTCTGCCTGCCTGACCACACGGAACCTGTCTGTCTGCCTGACCACACGGAGCCTGTCTGCCTGCCTGACTGACCAGGAACCTGTCTGCCTGCCTGGCTGACTGACCACGGAGCCTGTCTGCCTGCCTGTTGCCCAACCTCAGTCTGTCTGACCACGGAACCAGTCTATTGCCTCGGTTCCAGCCTGAATCTGAGTACTCTCCTTCATCGGCATCCCTCACCGCTGAACACCGCTGCTGTTTTCAGAAGGCCACGCCACCCGGAACTGACTCCAGCTGGTCCCTATCGCTTTAACAAGTCCTTTTAAACTCTTTAAAACTTTCTGTTTGGCTGTTGTTGGATCCGGCTGATCGTCACTAGGTCTGCCCGAGACAAGTTTTGGTGTTTACATCATCACAGAGCACAATGTTCTGTGACTCTTCAAAAAAAAAGCTAAATGTTGGCAGTCAGGGGCTTTCTGTGCAGATAGCGGCTGGCAGTTATTGAGTTAATCAAATAAAGCTGGGCCATATCACATGGATCGACTTCTTGAGGCTAAACCCACTCACGGTGACTCAATGCCATTAACATTAACATGAATTCTGTGCTTTTATTTGTTGAGAACCTCATTAGCTCCCACCATAGTGTGGAGCTATCCTTCCAGCTTTACACTATATATACAAACCCAAAGGAAATAGCTGCATCTGCTTTCACTAATCTGAGAGGAGAAACATGGTGGATTGCTGCCACCTTAAACTATTATCAAAAATATCAGAACTGACATGTAAACCTTTTTGTTCTGTCTTCTTTTGCTGTTTTTGTACACTTTTCACCACCAACAGTCATTTAGTTAATTCTGTTGCAGTCCTGATTTGGTCCAAAATCTGTCAGCTCTCTGGGAGCCCCTGGGGGCCCCAAGCGATTACCGGCTGCCTTGCCTATTGGCACGCGGCGCCTCTGAGAAGAAGCAGACACAGTCTTTTATGGCAGCGCCTCTCAAGATAAAGATCACGTGGTGCCGCTGAGCTTTAGCATTGCATCAGTGAACAAACTGAAGTTTTTGATGTCACAATCAAAACTAGTTAGATAGCATTAGCTGAAAACTATAACCAGGTGTTTATATAAATATGGTTACATGAGGCTCAAAGTGGAATAACAAAAGTGACCCATTAAATGAGAAGGTGAAAAATGAAAGAGAGCACTCTGGCTGCAGTCTTACCCCGGGTTTCCACCGGAGCCGTCAGCAGCACGTTACTGCAGCAGCACGTCTTGCTCGCGTAAGCTGCTGCTTGGCCCTTCCCACGAGACGCGAAGCAGCAGGGGAGCAGCTGTCACCGACCGAGCACGAAGTCACACGAGTGACTTCGTCAGTAAACACAACAACAAGCAGGAGAAAACTACAACATGGTTTGTGTTTTATGTTCTGTCCGTTTTATAATCGCCAACACGGACCTGAAAAACAAAGGAGACCGCTAGCTAGGTGATAACTTCTCACGGGGACGCACAGTTAGTAACCTTTTTTAAAGTAAAGCAACCGGAAGGCAGTACGTTCTTTATTCTGAAAATCTCGGTAGCTTCTCTCCTTTTCCGCGTCCGATTTCCTGTCTTTCCTTCCCCAAAAATGCTGAACTTGACCCGTTTCAGAGGCGTCGCGCGTAGAAAATAGAACCGGCGCGTAAAGGCCGCGACATGCTGCTCCTGAGACGCGGCCGACTCGCGCTGCTGACGGCTCCGGTGGAAAAGGTTCTGTTGACCACAGCGGTTCCTATCAGCAGCTATGACGTGCTGCTGCAGTAACGTGCTGCTGACGGCTCCCGTGGAAAAGGTTCTGTTGACCACAGCGGTTCCTATCAGCAGCTGTGACGTGCTGCTGCAGTAACGTGCTGCTGACGGCTCCGGTGGAAAGCAGGAGTTACTCCAAACGTCTCTTGGAAATGTACAATACTTTTAACAATGTCTTTCACAAACTGTTAGAAGCTAAAATAACTTGACACAAATTAAACCCTCAATTATTAAAATACAAATATCTGTGGCTTTTACCAGTTAAAAAAAGAAAAGAAGGGGGGGGGGGGGGGATTTGACCTCAGTTCATTATAACCATACTTTTACAAGGATTTATCTGAACATCATTTATAATGCACCCATAGTCACAACAAAATGTTACAATAGGTTGTTTGTCTTTGTGTCTTTTGGTGATCAAATACTTAAGGTTTTGGGGTTTATTGATGCGGGTGCAGGGAGCACACTGCTTTCGGTAATGAATGTCTTCCAGCAACTGTCCGGTAAAGCTGGTTTGGTTGGAAACATGTTTTGATGACAGCTTTCTTGGTCGTGATAAAATCCAATAGCCTCAGAACTCAGACTTGGCACTCAGAGAGCTCTCGTGTGTTCCCTTTAACTCTCCACTGGTGGCTCCAGACATTCCTGCCTTATCTCTACAAAACAAGTGTTTAAGTGTGCTGCGGAATTTCTCAGCCCCAAACAGGTAGACCAGAGGGTCCATGGCTCCGTTTAGGCTGGTGAGAGAGGAGGTGAGGCGGTTGGCCACGCTTAGGGCTCTGCGTACCTGGCAGGAGATATCAGGGTGGTTGTAACCAAGGATAAAGGTGGCCCTGCTCATGTGATAAGGCAGGAAACAAACCACGTAAATGAGCATGACCACACCAATGGTGCGCAGAGCTCGCAGCTTTAGAGCTGGTTCGAGCCTGGAGCCTCGATGCAGGCTGCGGATGATGAGCAGATAACATGAGAGGGTGACGAGGAAAGGGGGTGTGAAAGCCACGGCAAGAGAGATTAGGGCTTTACGCGAAGCCTTCTCTCGGTACAGCTGCAAACACACGGTGGTGTTGTCCACCTGAGCAGTCTGATGGGTGATAAGCAGTGGTGCCATGGAGATGGTAACCAGCACCCATAAAGAGAAGCTGATGATGTGAGCATAGCGAGCATTTCTAATCTTCATTGACCTCACTGCGTGAACCACAGCCAGGTAGCGATCCCCTGCCACACAGGCCAGGAAGTACAGGCTGGCGTACATGTTGACATAAAACAAAAAGCCCACCACCCTGCAGGGCACCTCGCCGAAGGGCCAGTGGCCTCCAGTGAAGTGGTAGATGGCTCGAAGTGGGAGGATGATCACGTATGATAGATCTGCTACAGCCAGATGAATCAAGAAGACGTTTGCAGGAGAGAAAACCCCACGTTGGCGAGAGAAGATCCAGAGAGCCAAACCGTTGCCACTCAGAGCCAGAACAAAAACCAGGATGTAGAACCATCCAAACAGCTGGTCCTCCACTGTTGTCTCTGCTGAAGCTGCTGCACAGCCCTCTGACGACTGGTTCAACAGAAGGGACGGTACTTCCACTGCAAAAGACTCCATCTGGCTCCTGAGGAGACAGAGATGTAGCCATAAACTTCAATTGAAACAGTTTCCAACTTCAATTTTACTTTTCAGAAAATGTTGTTGAATGTGCATGTGGCAGAACTGATGAGAGAAGATGTTTGCAATGTGGTTTTCTGACTTGAATTAGAAAAGGTTTGGTTAAAACTATGTTCATTTTCCAGAGCAAACTCCCTCAGAGACAGGAAGCCACACCAGCTCAACCTGCTACCTACCCACATAACAGACAACAAGAAGGGGGTGTGTGTGTAATTGTGCCAGTTTCACAAGGTAACAATGGCTGTCAGTGTCCTGGTTGAACGTGCCACTGACCCTCGAGAGCATAATTGCTTCATTCTGACTTCCTCTGCAAAGTCCAGGAAGTCACTCCAAGTCATGAGTTCCTCTCTCCTCTCTTATGGTCCAGAACTCAAGCAAGTAACAATGAATTTATCTGAGCTGGTAAACAGATAAATATGTCCATATTCCTGCATTACATTTTGTCAGCAGAAAGAAAACGGTACACATCATTCAATTGAGTTATTTTTAGAAAATGTCAAAAGTTGTGTGTGTGAGGGATATTTGCTCTTTTGTGAAGTTGCCATACCCTGATTGTTGGTCCTTGAGGGCCACCATCCTGCACACAAGAAGTTCCTCTGCTCCAAGACACCTGGTTTTAATCACTGGCTGATGTTTGTTTCATTACTATTTATTTTATCAATGCCACAAATTTTCAACCGACTAGTTACAGAAGACAGGATGTGTGAAGGGGTCACCCCAGGTAAGCTAAAAAAAGCTTTTTTTATCGAGGGCCCAATTGGTAACCATTTAGATACCGGCCAGATATCCATTTGGAACAATAGTAAACATCAAAACATGAAAACCAAGGTTTTAAAAAGGGTAAGAGGTGAAGGAAGTGAGAGTAAATGTCTTCGTTTGGAAAAACGAAGCAACATAAAAGTGAACCTTGAAAAATCTGAGTATGGTTCAAAAGTTCATCAGTGAGTAATTCTGCTTAAAATGTGAAACTAATATATGAGATAGACTCATTACGTGCAAAGCCAGATACTTCAAGCCTTTATTAAAAATAAGCAAAATAAGAATACCTTTATTTGTCCCTCGGTGGGGAAATTGCATCATTGCAACAGCTCAGGTACAGCAGGATTGCAGCAGTACCACACAAGATATGACGCAAGAGTTTATAGCAATTGTAAATGAAGGTAAATATTGCACATAATAACGAGAGCAGTAGTAGTAGTATTGCACATGACTTGAAAGATGATATTTGTAGTGGAATGTTACAGATGTATAGGTTCCAGATGTTGTAGGAATTGTGATGATTCTGGCTTACAGCTGATGAAAACCCCACATTCAATTAGAATATTGTGAAAAGGTTCAATAGTCTAGACTCAAAGTGTCACACTCTAATCAGCTACTGAATCCTGAACACCTGCAAAGGTGATCCTTTAGATGGTCTCTCAGTCTAAGCTGGATTACAGACATAAATGGAATTATGCACCATATTCACATTTTTACAGTTTCCCCTGTATTTGGATCACTACAATGCTAATTTCACATGCCTGAGCATTGTTTATGTTTATGTGTTTAGCAGACGCTTTTACCCAAAGCGACTTACAATTTTTTTTAACCCATAGGGTATGTTATGATCTGTGGGGGAAACCGGATTACCCGTAGAAAACCCACGCATGCATGGGGAGAACACGCAACTCCACGCAGAAAGGTCGCAGCCGAGTTTCGAACCTGCGACCTTCGTGTTGCGAGGCAACAGTGTTAACCACTGCACCACCATGCAGCCAGTAAACAGTAACAGTAACCTTATAGCATTGCTGCTATAAGGCGTCTTCTGACCAAACCACCTTGTTTTCACAAACGTGAAACCATTTCTGACTCAGCTTCATTGGTTCCTGAGTGCATTTCTGACACAGTAGGCACCAAGTTATATCAGAGAACGTCTGCATGCACGTGTGCTACATAGGTCACTGAGAACTTTAGTCCCTCTATGACTTTACATTTTTTCCAGCTGTTTAGACACACCTAAATGACCACACACCCTGATGTGCAACACCGACTAAGTCCAGCTGCTCCATTGTGTTTGTCTGTATTTATCTGCTGTTTTCTGTCTTTTTCACTGGACGTCTAAGCCTGCAACATGTTGTACTGACCACAGTCTAACTCTATCAAATGCAAGCCTTAACTGTGAAATAAAACCAGTATTAAAACATCTGTAAGTCATGAACCAGCTATTCCAAACCTCACAGTTCTAAAGCTGAGGGGGTGTTGTCAAATATTTATTGTAGATGGCTGCACATGAGAAAATACTGTTCAAAAACAGAAAGGAGGAATGCGGGGTTGCTTGTTTTTGTCTGACGAGGCTTTTCTCTGTTTTTGGTTCATCAGGAGCCAGCCAGATGCACCAGAGTGACTCTATTCAGTAAGCAACATGAGACCTGCAGCCGAAGGAAATTCTCAGCTGAGGCTCAGACTCTGAGCTCTGAATCCCCTGAAAGAAAAGGGCTGAAGCCCCAGCAGGGACGAGCGGAGCGACTGAACAGGAAAGCATCCGTTAACGCTGCTCTCCGAGGGATAATCCCGAAGTTTGTTTTCATCACAGATCTGGTTAAACAGATTTGTGTTCTCCCAAGGAGAGGAGACGTAATATCGTGGCACTGGTCCTGAGCAGAACTCACAGCTGTTTACAGTTTATCATTTGAAACAGGAATAGAATAAATGTGAAACGGATTAATTGGATTTAAAATATTCATTATTTCACTTTATTTTACTTCATTTATTTAACATTAATTAATCTGAAAATAGCGTGAGCAATAAATTACCTGCCTAGTTATAAGACTAGAAAAACAAGATGTAAGAAACTTGACAAATAAGTGCAACAATGAACATCATGATTATCTCTTTAGCTAAATAATAAACTCACACAGTCATGAGAACAGACTTGGTAACACAAATGCATGCGTTATGTAAAAAACTTACCAGAACTCCTCAGAAGGAAGTGGTACTCGGAGCAAAGTGAAGACAGGGGAGTTTATCTGCTGCTCCGAGAAAGAACGTGTGCTCTGACACCAGGAATGCTGTCCTATAACCCCTCTTCTCTCCCTCAAGATGCCCCCAGGAATGAGACTGTAGCTCTTTTTGTCTCTCAGAAATTTTGATAACCGAAAAAGAGTCCCAACGGGGTCTTTCGTTTGAACCTTGACCCCACCCTTTCTCTCTCCATCCCCTTCTCTTGTGAGAGCCACTTGTGCGCTCCACAATAGCTTGAGTCAGAATAAGCGGTGCATTTCAGCAGCAGGGAGAAGAATGGCATGCCTCAGTCGCAAAGACTTGTCGGGTATGACTCCATGGAAACCGGGCTGGTGCTGCATCAAAAAACCCCCACCCTCCCACTGATGGATCGAAGATGGACTGTGTTAATTGTGAAGTTTATGACTAAAGTCTCAGAGATGATCTTTTGTAGATGGCCTGGTGAATTCTAAAGAGAAGGCCCCTTTCCCTGTGGGGTGGCTGGAAAATAACAAGCACAGGAAAGGCGGGGGTGTTTGGCAGAAAGAGGTCCCTGTTGCTCTCCTGCCTCTTGGGGGCATCTTGAATCAGAATGCCCAAAATAATCAGCCACATAGTCATCGGACAGATGTGGGGAACGGAGCCTCTGGCTGAGGGGGATAATATTTCTTTCTTGTGTGAACTCCACAGCTGTGTGTCGGGGACATGGGTCCCTTTTCTCCACAGCATGTTCGACATGCAAATTATATTCTGTAGACTTGAATGGGAGCCCTATCTATGCAGCGTTGTGGAGATGCTTTGACATCACTACACTGTTAATCTACTGCCAAGTACTAATTGGGTCTCCTCCCCCACCTTTGTTTGGCTTGTCTACTTTCTCTGTAAGCACACTCGTGGTGTGCATGCTCACCATCATCAGTTTGTTATTCTTCTTAATGGTGGGGTTGTGTGGGCTGAAAATGATCCTTCTGACGACGTTAAGAGGGTTCTTAAATAGTTGTTGATTTTGCAAAATTGATGTTTGATTGTGAAAACCTGCTTTAATTTGTGGGGTCTTGCTTTACTAACCCATTCACTGCCATTGACGACTGAAGTTGTCATTTGCATTTTTTTTTACTGCGTGGGCGTCGGACGAGCCCCCACACCGTGAGAACAAACATCCCAGCTCTAAAGCCGATCTTCATCCCATATGTCACACGTCATGTGATCAGAAGCAGAACGTCCATGTGTTAGGAGATCGTTTTGGGCCGCTGCTGTAAAAAAAGTGAGGCGCGAACCGGAAAAGGGTCTGCCCATCACAAATCAACATCGGATTATGAAAGAACGGATAATGCTCGAAACGTGTGGATTCTTCCTGATGTAAGATGTGCGTCTACTCTTTGTTTTGGTTGTTTTGGTGTCGACATCATCCTAGCACACCACGTTCTGTGACTCTTAAAAAAAGCTGTAAAAATGGTGAGAAACACTGGCAGCAAAGGGCTTTACCGATCAGGAAACTGTGAATGAGTTAAGGATTATAAAATCAGAAATGCTCTTTATAAGACAAACTTGAAATGGTCATCCATGCCTTTATCTCCTCCTATCTAGATTACTGACACTTTTCACATGTTTTAACAAAAAAAACCTTGACCTCCTTCGGTTGGTCCAGAACTCTGCAACTGGAGCAAACAAAAGAGCACACATCACCACAGTGTCTCTACACTGGTTATCCATTAACTGTAACCTTCAAGGCTCCACATGGGGCAGCAGTAGCTCAACAGGTTGAGCAAGCTGTCCAGTAATCGGAAGGTTGTTGGTCGGAGGGACCGGTGGCGCCTGTGCTCGGCTGCCTCTCCTCTGTCAGAGCGCCCCAGGGCAGCTGTTGCTACATCGAAGCTCATCACCATCAGTATGTGAATGTGTGTGTGAATGGATGAATGATACACTGTAGTGTAAAGCGCTTTGGAGTCCTTACTCTGAGAGGTGCTATACAAGTGCGGGTCATTTGTCATCATTTATAATTTATATTACTGGACTGTTAGGCTCCAACCCAAGCTCTCAGGTCCACACACCAGAACCTTCTAGAAGTTCCTTCCAGAAGACCAGATAGATATAAAAGTTCAGGTGATCGCTCCTTACCCATTAAACTAGTTCAATACCATTCCAGATACTGCTGATGCTATTAAAGGGGAATCCTAAAGCCCCAACAAATATAGCAGCAAAATATTTTCTCTTGTTTTTTAAGAACAAATTTAACATTTTTGACTTTTTAAGACAGATTTAATAAAACAAATATGGGGAAGTTGGTCTGCTGGTCTACTGAAACCAGGATGGAGTCTGCCTAAGGGTGATTTGAAGAAGGTGTTAAAAGAAGAGCAGGAGATCCCAGATCAGAAAGTTGCTGTTTCTTCTATTTATCCATCTTGTTTTTGAGTAGCCTCATGGAGAAACGCCGATGCAAGCAACATCCAGTGAGATACCAGAAGTGGTGCACACCCATTGGTTTGCATTGTGAAGTTTTGTTGTTAGTAGCAGTTTTTTTTAACATTTGAGCAGGATTTAAAAAAATATTTTCCCCAAGACGTGTACTCAGGTGGCTTGGTAAGATGTTGCACTTGTATTAACAACCTGAGAAAATGTCATTTGTTGCTAGAATTCAATTCAAAATTCAATTCAAATATAATTTATTAATCCCAGAGGGAAATTCAATTGTTTCAGTACAGACAATTCAAAGATCAGACATACATACATAGACACATGACAAGAATTGTTGACTGTGGTCATTCGCAACACGAGTCACGCTACCGTTATAGATCAAAAGGGTTTATATGAGGATAGAGTCAGGGGGAGGGGGAAAAAGGCACTACAGAGTTACCCCCGACAGAGAGGACAGCTTTGCTATGCAAAAAAACACCTCAGACAGAGATGCACACAGACTTCAGACGATACACAACACAAGTGTCCACTAGGTGGGGATGGAAGGTTCTGGGACTCTCCTCACTTCAGAGAGCGCAGCCGCAGAGCAGCGCTCACCACCTCCGTTTGGACCGGGGAGGGAGATAATGGGTTAGAGAGCACAGTGACTCCTAGAGACGGTTCCACGGCCTTCACCGGTCACAGTCCCGCCCAGGCTGGGATAGGGAGAAAGGGTTTCCATAGCGACGGCAGCATTCCACATTTCTTCTGAGGGGAGTTTTCACTTCAGCCTCACAGGCTTCAGGGGCACCAGATTCAGATAGCAAGAATTGTTTCGGGTACAGGCAGAGATAATTTCCTCTCTGCCTTAGAGTTCTGTCGGTCTTCAACCCCTCCAGGTCCAATAATGGCGTTATCAAACGATTCCAATCCGTGCTGATCCGTCAACTCTCTCCTTGATCAAATCAACCTTCTGTGCCAGAGCCTGAATCTCAGCCAAAGTTCCAAGCTTACGACTCATCTCGACAATTATCTGAGTCTGAGCTTACAGCGCGATGTATTCCATACCTGAGTGCCGGGATTAAGCCAATATTCCTCGAATGCTCATTAATTTTCCGGTAAGCTAGGTGATCGCTCGGGCCAAACAGCAGGAATCCCGACACCAACACGACAAATATCCAAACATCTTCAGAATCCTCTACAGACAGTTGAGAGAGGCAGATCAAGTTCCACTGTTTCCAGGAGTCCATGATATACCCCGCTGGCTCTGTCCCAGAGGGGCATCCAGGAGCCCCTTCTCCCGTTCTCATCGTTGAAAAGATTTTGTCAATCGCGTTGAGAGACCAGCTGACCAGATCCATGTTTAATAATTTCCAGTTTCCAGAAAAAATGCAGAGAAGCGCAATGCACAGGCAGACAGTACACGAGAGCCTTGGGAAGAGCAGGGAGGGAGAGGAGGAAAAAGCCTCTCTACTCTCCAAGAGCCGGAAGAAGAGCGATATTTAGAACGTGCACCTCCAGAGTGAGAGAATGTGCAGCTGCGAGCGTCGGTAACAGCTTTCACCACCTCCACAGAGACGAGGAACCAAGATGGATGTGGCTGAAAAATCTTAACTTGAAAACACCCACAAACTTTATTTGTGCATTCCTTTCATTTTATTGTGAAAACCCAGAGAGGAACACCCGCATCCGACTTTGTTGTTGGATGTGACAAACCTCGGGAGAAGCGGCGCCGAGTAGAAGAGATGTGGCAGCAGTCCCACAAGAACAACAGGTATGATTTCATGTGTACAATTTTCTGATTGGTTATAATGTAGCGTGTGTTTAGACTACCGTTATTAACCTAAAAGTGCCATCCTACTGACTGTATTTCACCTGATGTAGAAACTAAAACCCCAAATAGATGATGGCTTTAAGGCTCTGGCTCACCTCTACGTCTGCTTGTAAGTAAATAAGACAGCATCCCATCCCACCTCTTTCAACAAAACACGGCCAACCTCATTACTGTTAGTACTGATCAGCCTCGGAGCTTTTAAGATTGTTTACTGCCTCGCTGTTAGATGCTACTGTACGTTAGCTTTGGCCAGACTTTAAGGTCATCCCCCCACCTTTCTGCTCCAGTAAGCAGGAGGAGTGTAACGGCGTCCCGTTTGAGCTGTGACAGCTGGGGTTCATGCACGTTTTCAGTCTCTAAAAGTCCATAAAAATAGGGTTTGCACAAAGGGATCAAGACCGGAAGTGGCTTGCCTCTTTTGCGCAAAGCATGATGGGCCGTAAGAATAAGGTGGATACCCGGTCTCCAGTCTTCTGTTCATCTTTACCTTTGAAAATAGAAGTTTAGTGAAAAAGACAAGTAGGGAATGGCACTGGATTTGTGACTTTGCATGATTTACAGAAAGCCAAATCTGACAAAAAAAAAAAACAACAGTAGAGAGTGTGTCTGACACACACACACACACACACACACACGCGCACGCAAAAGAGCAGCAGAGACTCTGAGATAAAGCAAAACAAGTGGGATGTGAGCTTTTGACTGAGTAGATAAGCACAAAAGTGATTTTTGTTTAAATATTATTTCAGGTAATCACCCCTAAGATGATGTTCAGTATGCATACTAAAATACCAACAATAGAATATTATTTGCATTAACTCCCCATGGGGAGGTTACATGAAAACTGAAGGAGTGTTACGTAAAAGGCCAGAGATAAGAAGTTCCCTCAGTGGTTTTCAGCTCTTCAAAGTGCAGAGACAAACATAAAAACAGAACAATTTTTCCTCGCTTCCAGTTATTTTACATGCATATATGTGGCTTGCTTCAAATAACTGGAATCATGAAGTGCCTTCCGCGTGGTAAAAACAAGACATGTGATCAGGCAAGCACGAGCCGGGTTGCCTTCACATATTGAAGCGCCGGTTCCTGGTTTGCACGGACGTTCTCTCTTTGGAATACATGTTGACGTAGGAAGTGATTAGATCATCCATCTTGTAGCCCTTTATGAAGGAGACAAGGAAAACCAAAAAGCAAATAAATGGAATGAATTCAAAACCAGTTACCAGTCATGCAGTGAAACCTCACCAGAGAAGTTTCACACAGGAATTTGCTGCCTTTGACCAAGTTGCCAACAGTCATGTGAAAGTAGGTGCTTCCACTGCACCAGTTAGCCATGCGATTGTAAGGGTAGTTTCCCAGGACGTCCTTGGAGGAGGAAAATGTGTCAGTGGTGAGAAGTAATGCCGGAATTTTGATTCAACGTTATTTTTCTGGTCCTTTTGTACCTTTGTTTTTGGGTGCATGATGGTTAGTCCGATCTTGCTGATGGCTATCCGGACAATATCTGGAAAATTTGGCTCTGACGTTTGCTGAGAAGAAAGTTAGAAATGAAAATATGGCAAAGCGTCATCTCTATGCTGCATTTTCCTGCAAGTGCAACACAGTGAGAGTTTGCAAGTGACCGACAGGGGATGAGAGCGTCTGATAAAGAAGCCGGCCATCTAAATAGACAGCACCTACCTTCACTTCAAAGAAGGCACAGCCAAAGGTGGGCCAGCGGTAAACTGCCTTTAGAAATGATATTTTTGCTTCTTCAACAGTCAAACCAGCTTGTTTGTTATAAGCAGCAACGATATTCTGCAAACAAACAACAAAAAACATGATAAGATGCAACCTTCTTAATTTGTAAGGAGGCTCTGCCCTGCTTTAATGAGGTTAAGTTTCCTCCAACCCCCACAGCCACAACTGTGTGCTCCCCCCATGCTGAGAGAGGCATATTGGGATAATGGATATATTGTTCACTCAACACAGGAAAATATATGTCCTGCCATTTTCTTCTGCAGTAAGGAGCTCCATTGTTGTCCATTATTCGTGCAACATGGTCCTTTTTTAAAAGTCGTTAATTCTGCGTGAGTTACGCGTGAGCTGGTGTGAAGCCAAATGAGCCAACTGTTTGTGAATTAACCCCGTCTGTGAGCCAAATATGAAATTACATCTGATGTTCTAGTACAGACTAAACAGCAAAGATGTTAACGACGTCCAAAGGATCTGGTGAGTTGGCTGTTTTTGTTTTAGAACACAGAAGTTGTGATGTAGAAAACGCTCGTGAGAGGACACTAGCGCTGCCACGATTAGTCGACTATTAAAATAGTCGTTTGTGGCAGTCCTGGTGGACACTTTATAACGGATATTAACAGATATGTGTACAGAGGTTTTATTTCGCATTATTTTTGGTTCTTATCCATACACCGAATGGCAAAGCTTTGTTTTTATCTACTGCCCACAGATAAGCAGACGGAAGTGACACCGGTGACCAGGGATGTGTATTTTTGAAATTCTGGTGATACGATACATATCACGATACAGGGGAGACGACACGATATATCACGATATATTGCGATACATTCAGTCAGATGTTACAAGCATTTTTTTTACTGAATGTATTGTAAGAATGTTCAATAAACAGTCCAAACTGATATGTAACATGTTTAACATGAGGTATCTGAACCATGATGGAGGGATTTACATTTCAATGGTGGAAACAAAACCCGTTGCACACTGCTGCCAACTAGCGGGTGGCGATTGAATTGCACAAAACGAAAAGAAAATACACAAAAGTTTGCATGTAAATTCTTTCAAGAATTAGATACACGGCTTTTGAATATCGATGTAATAATCGCAGGAAAAAAATCACGATATGTTGCCATATCGATATTTCCGATACACAGTTTTTGAATATCGATATGATATTGCTAGAAAAAATATCACGATATATTGCCATTTCGATATTTTCTTACATCCCTACCGGTGACGCTCTGACGGTTAGGAGCTGAAACTTTCAGCAAAATGGTCAAAACAAAGCTTTGCTACTTCCTTATATAAATGAGAACCGAAGATAATGAAACTGGAAAATTAACCCAGAATGAAAGTAACAAGGAAATGTTACGTCAGTGTTGGAGCCAGATGATGTTAAAGGTTGAACAAGGAATAATTTAATAAAACATCATATTTTTTTAAATAATACCACCACGGGACGTTTAGAGGTGTACAGAAATAAGGTAGGGTACTTTAATTTGAACCTTTAATTATGTTTCTCAACCACAAAATAATGCTGCCCATCACCGCTGCCTCAGCTGTTCGGGGAATTCACTCAGCATTTCTTCATGCGTCACCAACAGTGAAAACTGATCACGATTATAAAAAACTTTGTATTTAGACTCTGAAGTGAACATGATGTAGCTGAATGAGTGAATGAATGTTGAACACATGTTATTTCCGTCAGTATTTAGTTTTATTATTTTTGTTCCTAACTATACATGATGCGGGGTAATAAGTATATCTTTTCATGTAAAATAGTTTTTCTAAATATTTTTGAATTAATATAGTTTTTCTGTGAAACTTGTTTTGCAACCTAGCTATTATCATTCTTCTGCTTCGCTAAAAGAACGTATTAATATTCTGAATTTTTACCGGAATAGCAGTTATTTTTTAAATATATGCTTTAATGCTTGCATTGTATTCCGTTTCTTTCTGCTTGAGAACGTTTGTATTTTATCGTCTTAGTTTTTTTCCAGGTGTTCACTTGTGTTGATTAGCATACTTTTTAAACTGCTGCTGTAAACATTGTTTGTATACGTTCAGCTGTAATTAGTTGTTTGACACTTGGGAACATCCTGATTGTGTGCAGGCGAACAGGAAGGACTACCAGCTCTACATCCTTTAGAGGAATCCTAGGTCGTTCCCTGGCCAGCCGAGAGACATAGTCCCTCCAGCGTGTCCTGGGTCTTCCTTTGGGTCAACTCCTGGTTGGACGTGCCCATAAAACCTCACCAGGGAGGCATCCAGGAGGCATCCGAACTAGATGCCCGAGACACCTCAACTGACTCCTCTCAATGTGGAGGAGCAGCGAATCTACTCCGAGCCCTTCCCAGATCAATCAATCAAAGCTTTATTTATAAAGCGCCTTCCGCAACCCTGTCAGGAAGGCCAAGGCGCTGAACATGGAACAGTACAAAGTTAAATAAAGTGAATAAATCAGAAAATAAAAGCAGATGACCAAGCTTCTCACCCTACGTGGTCAAACGCCTTCTCCAAATCCACAAAACACATGTAGATTGGTGAGGCAAACTCCCACGCACCCTCCAGGACCCCCCAAGGGTCTAGAGCTAGTCGAGTGTCCCACGGCCAGGACGAAAACCACATTGCTCCTCCTGAATCCGAGGTTCGACACTCTGACAAACCCTCCTCTCCAGAACCCCTAAACCAGGGAGGCTCAGCAGAGATACTGCTCCTACATATATATTTCCTTGCACTGACGACAACATGCTTCCATATGTATTGTCTTTATGGTGTACTTTCACTTGTACCTTCTTCCAGTCGTTTTCAGACATGACTTTTAGTTGGTCGGTGGGCACAAGCTCCTTCAGCATTTTGGGAATCATGGCCAGCTGACTTTTGTCGCTGCTGGCCTTCACCCTGAAGAGCAGGCCTGCGATGTTGAGCATTTCTTCTTTAGTACAAACGTGATAGCCTCTCAGGTACTTGGGTAACTCCTGGAACATACAAATGGGTTTGATGGGAGTTAGCTGAGAGATTCTTACTAATGCTAATGCCTGAAAAATAAAAACATTGATAAACCTGTTGGTCAAAGAAAGAAAAACTCCCAATGCTCAGTGAAACAGCCTGAAACGGACAAAAGTAATGGTTGAAAAGAGTAATCATAAATGAAGCAATCAAAATCTGATGGTTTTTTTTCATTATTGTGATCAACAGAATGATTAAACACTAGTGAAACTGGAACAAACTAAAAGGCTGGGACATTTAACGTGGTTTGTAGCTTGACCTTCTGAGGCAATCGAGTGATGTCTTTACCTGTCCATAGGTATTCTAGTCCAATCCTCAAGAGCAAACTGCTCCAGCTATCTAAAGGCTCCCTTCTTCAGACGTGTCAGCTTCTTCTACAGATGATTAGACCAGGATACACAGCGTGGTCTTGTGTTTGGTTTTTACCCATGGTAATCTTTCTTATGCGTTTTGGCTCATTATCCTGCTGGAGGAACCACGACCTGAAACCCAGATCAAGCTTTCTGACCTCTGGGCAGCACATTTTGATCCAAAAAGTCTAGATGTGATCTCCTAATTCCCATAAAACCTCTGAATAATCTGTCCAGCTGTAGTCACAGAAACATCAAGCGGCTTGGAGTGTCACGATCCGCCCCTGCCTTCCTGACTGTGTTCCTCTCCTGCCCTGATTAGCCCTTATTGTTCTCACCTGCCCCTCGTTAACCTGCCCATGTGTTCCTGATTTCCCTGTGTGTTTATACCTCCCTCCTTGTGCCAGTCTTTGTCAGATCATTGTTGTTTGCCGTGTTGTTCTCGGTGTTCCTGCCGTATCCTGTCATTAAAACCCATTTTTACTTTATCCGTGCCTGCATTCCTGCCTCCTGGTCAGCTCCACCACCACAACATGACATGGAGATCAATCAATCAATCAAATTTTATTTTTATAGCACCTTCTACAACATTATCCGAAGCCCAAGGTGCTGAACAACATCATTAAAAGAAAAACATTCCCAATGCATGGGCATAAAAGCAGGATAAAAACATAGAATCATAAAATAGCAAGCAAACAGCATTACAGATAAGAGATATTGGAATAAGACCAATCGATAAAAAAACAAATGTCGGACAAAATAAAATCAAGCATCCGGTTTAAAAAGAAGAATAGTTAAAACCATAAAGTTAGGGCAATTCAAGTGACCCTAGCGCTGAAACGCAATCAGATAAAAATGAGTCTTTAAACGCGTCTTAAAGACTTGAAGGGATGGTGCCTGCCTAATGCTCAGTGGCAATTCGTTCCACAGAGTTGGAGCCAAAATAGAAAAAGCACGACTACCCCTCAATCGAAATTTCGACCGGGGGACCACCAGAAGTTCCTGCTCGGCTGAGCGAAGAGACCGAGATGGAGCATAGCTGTTCAAAAGCGCAGTAATGTACGAGGGGGCACTGCCCTGGAGGGCCTTATAAACGAGAGTTAAGATTTTAAACTGAGCCCGATATTTTACCGGGAGCCAGTGCAGAGCAGCCAGCACTGGGGTAATGTGCTCTCCACCACCATAACATGACATGGAGATGGCCTCCTAGCATTTACCTTTCATATGCTGGTCAATCGTTGTCTTTGACACCTCTGTTGCCGACGCAACACGCCTCGGTTGAACATGTCCCAGTGGTCAGTTTATTAAAAACCTTTTTTGAACAGAATGGAACCAACTATTTATCAATGAGTGTGAATGACAGCTGACAGTCGGTCAGAAAATGAAAGAGCCCCTCACTTTTGTGTCTGTAGCATGTTGCCAGAGCTGAATGACCAGTGATATAATCTCCCATGGTGTGTGAGGCATGGGTTTGTTTATAGAAAACAGAACAGAAATTTGCTGCAAGCTGTTTATTCAAATGTTACCTGAGGGAAATGGAAGATCAGATCAGCCTCTGTGTCTCGGCCAGGGATTACGTTGAACCACAACTTCCTCATGAAGTACACCAGATAGGATAGGCTGACAGGCCCACCTGAAGAACACACCCAACCACACACACACACATTCTTACAAATAATTAAAGATGGTCTGATGTCACATTTTCTTTCCATGTAATGCTCTGTTACCGTCTTTGATCCTCTTGGCCTGCTTCGACCAGTCGGTGATTTGTCTCAGACTGTCAAAGAAGTAGTCCGTTTGATTCAAACTTAAAACCTGAAATCAATAAAAGCGTTGACAGATTCTGTAGATTTCTAAAGAGGTTGTTAAGCATGTTTACAAATAAAAAACAAACCTTGTCCGGGGTTTTGACAAAAATGCTGAAGCCATCTGAGGAAGTCAGGTTGAGTTTTTTGGAAATGTTCTGGATGAGATCCTTGATTCTGGTACTGGTTGCCACCTCAAATATCTGGAGATGGATGAGAGCAGTAATGGAGGACCGCTGATGAACCCTTGTTCTGTTTCTTCATCATGTGGCCTGCCTCTTAAGAAAGCTAAAATGTTTTTGCCTGTTTCTGTGTGTGTGTTCGCTTGTCTGTAGTAGAGACGTAACGAGATATTCAGCTCACGAGACAATACACAATACTAGGTTTACAAAATAAAGATGAGATCATATTTTAACATCGTTATGTAATGTTCAAATTTAAATTATATGATGTAGACCCAGATCACTGTTGGTTTACCACAAACTCAAATGAAACATATTACATTTTAATGCCGATATCGGCAGATATTCATGGTGGACCGATAACGAGCATCCCTAGTTCAAACCTTTGATCATCAGCGCTACATACCATGGTGGTAAATCATCCATGCTCCTACCTCATCGGTGTCGTTGGGGAAGTAGATTTTATGGAAGATCTGGGTGCGGTTCTGTTGAATGGCGTCCACCTCCACCTGGTGTGGTGGAAGCTTCCTGGGCTCCATCCTAGACACAACCAGGGAATTCTCAGCCATTTACCTTCCACATGCATGATATCCACACACTAATTACCAGTACCGTCAAGTGGACTGTATATATTAAGTCTGATATTTTTATTATATCATTTACTCAGACTTTATTAGGTTTATTTTTATTTGTGTGACTTTACAGCTGCTACATGAATCATGTTGTTTCTACAGAGAAATGCTTGGGTGAAAGTGAATGATGTCATAGTTTAGGACACTGAATGTATTTATAGACAAAGCCATGCAAAGGCTGAGGGTTTCTGGCCACATGGGCCTTGGCAGATCAGCTCTTAGTCTGCTCATTACTGCAAGTAGCTTCCGTTCCTCCCTGCCAAACCCGCCCTGAAACACAGATTATTCTGTCTTTATCTCAGTTTAGCTTTCCATGATAAAAACTCAAGATGTCACAGTGTGACATTTCCGTTTCTCACCGCAGTAGAGTGACTGGGGTAAGAGTGATGCAAGCTTGGTCTTCATCAGCTGGCTGAATGCCATCTACACAGACCTGTTCTAATGCGCCTATACACGTGACTATTTCTTTTGATGCTAGACCCTTTTATTGCTTTAAAAAAATCATGAAAATGTGGCTTCTCTGACGTTTTCTTCCTTCACAATAAAAGCCCCTGTAATGTCAAAATGAAAACTGAATTCTAACAGTGACAATCAAATAGGAGAAACAAGATGAAATAAGCAAATGCATACATATTTCCCTCCTGCAAGTCAGTGTGAAGTGGGTGCACCTCATTTGTCAGTGATCACAGAGTCTGAGTGGAAACATCCCAAACAGGGTTGCACATCTGGATGCTGCAGTTCTACTATATTGTTCCTTGCATGGTTGTTCAGGTGAGACTGCTGCAGGATCAGGTGTGAAGAGCCCTATGGAAGCCTATTCACAAACTATCCGATTGAGGTCTGGGCTTTGACCAGGTCACTTCAGAACATCCACTGTGTGCTTCAGCTCATTCTCCAGCTGGGAAGTCAATCTTCTCCAAAACTGATGTTCCCTTTGAGAACAGAATAAAATGACTGTCTAGGATTTTCCTATTTCATGCTGCATTCACTTTTCTTTCTACCTTTACAAGCCTTCCAGGGCCTGCTGCTGACAAACATCCCAAAGCATGAAGCTGCCACCACCATGCTTCACAGTTAAGATAGTGTGTTTTTGGTGATCAGAGGCAGTTCTACATTGAATCACTGCAGAACCCCCCACCCCATTGCACACACTCTCAAACAAAACAAAATTAATTTAGCTACCTACTGATGATTTGCACGAACAGGATGTTTGAGCTCACGATGGCTGTAGTCCTGTGATGGGAGCAGTGCACCTGGAGCGAGCTTATACAGGTGCTGGCCAGTAAATTAGAATATCATCAAAAGGTTGAAAATATTTCAGTAATTCCATTCAAAACGTGAAACTTGTACATTATATTCATGCAATGCACACAGACCAATGTATTTCCAATGTTCATTACATTTAAATTTGATATTCATAAGTGACAACTAATGAAAACTCCAAATTTGGTATCTCAAAAAATTAGAATATTCTGAAAAGGCTGAATATAGAAGACACCTGCTGCCACTCTAATCAGCTGATTTACTCAAAACACCTGCAAAGGCCTTTAAAAGGTCCCTCAGTCTTGTTTTGAAGGCACCACAATCATGGGGAAGACTTCTGACTTAACAGCTGTCCAAAAGACAATCATTGACACCTTGCACAAGGAGGGCAAGACACAAAAGGTGATTGCTAAAGAAGCTGGCTGTTCGCAGAGCTCTGTGTCCAAGCACATTAACAGACAGGCGAAGGGACGGAAAAAATGTGGTAGAAAAAAGTGTACAAGCTCTAGGGATAACCGCACCCTGCAGAGAATTGTGACGACAAACCCATTCAAAAATGTGGGGGAGATCCACAAAGAGTGGACTGCAGCTGGAGTCAGCGCTTCAAGAACCACCACGAGGAGACTCATGAAAGACATGGGATTCAGGTGTCGCATTCCGTGTGTCAAGCCACTCTTGAACAAGAAACAGCGCAAGAAGCGTCTCGCCTGGGCCAAGGACAAAAAGGACTGGACTGATGCTGAGTGGTCCAAAGTTATGTTTTCTGATGAAAGCAAGTTCTGCATTTCCTTTGGAAATCAAGGACCCAGAGTCTGGAGGAAGAGCGGAGAAGCACAGAATCCACGTTGCATGAGGTCCAGTGTAAAGTTTCCACCGTCAGTGATGGTGTGGGGTGCCATGTCATCTGCCGGTGTTGGCCCACTCTGTTTCCTGAGGTCCAGGGTCAATGCAGCCGTCTACCAGGAAGTTTTAGAGCACTTCATGCTTCCTGCTGCTGACCAACTTTATGGGGATGCAGACTTCACCTTTCAACAGGACTTGGCACCTGCACACAGTGCCAAAACCACCAGCACCTGGTTCAAGGACCATGGTATCCCTGTCCTTGATTGGCCAGCAAACTCGCCTGACCTTAACCCCATAGAAAATCTATGGGGTATTGTGAAGCGGAGGATGCAATACGCTAGACCCAACAATGCAGAGGAGCTGAAGACGACTATCAGAGCAACCTGGGCTCTCATAACACCTGAGCAGTGCCACAGACTGATCGAGTCCATGCCACGCCGCATTACTGCAGTCATTGAGGCAAAAGGAGCCCCGACTAAGTATTGAGTGCTATACATGCACATTCTTTTCATGTTCATTCTTTTCAGTTGGCCAACATTAGAGAAACAAACATTTTTTCATTGGCCTTTAGAATATTCTAATTTTCTGAGATACCAGATTTGATGTTTTCATTGGTTGTCACCTATAAATATCAAAATTAAACGTAATAAACATCGGAAATACATTGGTCTGTGTGCATTGCATGAATATAATGTACAAGTTTCACGTTTTGAATGGAATTACTGAAATATTTTCAACCTTTTGATGATATTCTAATTTACTGGCCAGCACCTGTAATGAGGGCGCGCATTTTTGCTGCTTGGACAGTGCAGAGCAGTTGGGGAAACACATTTCAACGATAAATGGAAGCAGTAAATAGGTAAAACGTCCAGGGGGATGAATATTTTTTATAACCACTGTATGTGGTTTCTGTTCTGTGTAAATCGGGCAAGAAGTCTCTTTTGAAACAAACTCATTTGACCCCCAGTCAAAAGCCTCTCTGCAACGCTGCAAGCCGATACAGCCAAACAGCTCTTTTCAGAGCGACTTCAACTCTCAGACATTCACCTTGGACGCAAATAAGCATTCCAACTTCCTGCCTTCACCTGGAGGGATCTCAGACTGGATGGGTCCTATCGGAGCGGTCTACGGGTTCCTGATATCAGAGGTTCACTCCACCGGCAGTGATCTGCACGAATCCCCGGATTGACGAGAACCTCCACACCAAGGGTGCGTAGACTTGGCACGACAGATTGCGTCTGATGCTGTTTTTTAAAATAAACAACTCTCTAGTTTATAAACAAATAACAAATTCTTTTACAACCTAGACTTCGCAACTTTGTCAGATACAAAGAATGGTTTTGCTGAACATCCAGCTTCCATTACATCATCTCACATCCACCACACCACATCTCATTATTCATATCTTGTCATGTATAATTAAGAATTAATTAATTAATTGATTAATTAATTAGTGAAGAAAATAATTAAATTCATTTTATAAACTATAAACCTGACTCTGTCTGAATTAATACGAAGCGTGTTTATGGTCACCGAAGAAGCTGAGAACCCTAGAATCTTCTGATTAAACATTCAAAGATCCATCTTATATCTCATATTTATGTGGAATCATCACATTTTATTGGTCATAATTAACATATAGTCTTTCACGCTACATCTGTGTGTAGTTCATGAGTAATGTATCAATCCAACCTCAGAGAGCTCTGCAGCCGCTGCAGACAGTCAGAGGCCAGGGGCTCCCTGCGTCGCGACTCCAGGAATTTCTGCGTGTGCTTGAGGAGAGCTTGGCTGGGAGAGAACAGCCCGCAGCAGAGCCACAGCAGCTGCCATCCCTGCTCCATGCTGAACCTGGACATGGACCAGGAACGTTCAAGAACAAGTCATGAAAGTGTTTTGAACATAAACTCGCACCAAAACATTAGACAGTTCCATTTCAGTTTCATTTCTAAAGGTAGTTTAGTTTTTTGTTTTCCAGCTAAAGTACAGAACGCCCATAGTACATAAACAATAACAGCTATATTTTACCATATTTAGCTTCAATTATCTATGTTAAACCTAAATATTTACATTCAAATCTAAATGTATGAATTTAAATCTGAATTGTTTTTACTGACTAAACCTAAATACGTGAAGTTACAGGCAAGAACTTAGAATAACCTCAGGAATCTCTTCACCATGCTTTTATTTTGATAGTCTGAATTTTCTTGTTAGTTGCATTAGTTTTAAATCACCACTTTTTTAGACTTCAATATCAGAATGTAAGATTTTATTTTCATTTTTAGATTTTATTAAAATATTTAGATTTACCTTTACAGATTTAGATTTGAGTCTCAAACACCTTATTTGTCAGACAATGTGTAATTTTCCAAATAAATGTGGTAAAAAGGTAACAAAACACTTCAAATATTGTTTTTATTGTTAAGAGCTAAATGTTAATCATGAAATGTGGTAGTTAAGGTAGTTAAATATTAAATGTGTTAATGATTTAACGTTTAAATCTTTTTTGTATTACTTTACAATCAGCCTCCCTCGCTGAAAAGGCCTAAATCACCTGAGTTGCCAGCAGTATGCAGGTGTTTGGATGTCCATACACAGATCAATGAGACAGTGTGAGGTGGTAGGATGAAAATAGTAAAAACACCACACCTACCTGTTGTTATTGCTGGTCATCTGCTTCATGATCTGGCAGTAGATCTCGTCTCTGAGAGCCTCATGTTTAGTGGCGGGGCCAAAGATCAGGTCGGTGAGCTCGAGGGGACTCTGCACCTGCCTGGTGGGGTAATCTCCCATATACTTCAGGATCGGTACGCCATGGTCAAGGAGACGCTATTTAATAAGCTGACTGACTTAAATTTAAATATGACTTATCCAAGTTCCTATGATTGGATTGATGCTGTTTTTCATTTTAACACAGCTGTGAGTTTCAAGCTTTGAGTTCTCAGATGTGCTTAAAGATAGAGCCGCGTAAAGAAACATCGCTGAACACCATGACACTTAACATGTTGGGATCATAAATGGAAAATACCAGAAGTGTGTTTTTTATGTGCATTGTGAACATAATCCCATATTCTTGGGTGGGCTTGTTTGTGACAGTAGCCTTTGGAAGTGGTGCATGTATGCATCACGTGGAAGGAAGGCCTGCTAAGAAAGTGAAATGTGACTAAATCATGTCAGTGGCGTAGCTTTTGTGATCAGTTGGAGCAGAATCAGTATAGAAATACAAGTTCTAGAAACTGGCACAGCCCTACACAGGTGTAGCCATCAACACACAGACATCCAGGTGATAACTGATGTTTCCTGTGTGTAGAGGATATCGGTGAAAGCCAGACAGGCTTTGTGGCTGAGCTCCGAGTTTCCCACCAGCTTCTTGAGCAGAGGCTGCCTGATGGGCTCTCTGGAGTGGGCCCATAGCCTCTCAGGGGCAGCGTTCCTAGAAATCACCTGACGGTTCACATCTTTGGTGGGTGGCCTGCAACGTCAGGGAACCAGGATGGAAAAAATCAACTGATGGAGATGATTACATCTAATAACTGGTGAGGAGGAGACAAAAGTTACCTGAAATACTCGAGAGAGAATTGTTTCAGCGTGGCCAGAGCGATCCTCTCCACCGTGCCCATGTCCTTCTGCGCTGCCTGTATGAGGTTCTTTCTTTGGTTTGGTGACAGGATGAGCAGATTCTGAATTAAAGAAGCACATTTTTACTAATTACTCACACATGCCATTTTTATTTAGTCTCTCTCTCTATTCTTGTGCGCGCGAGCATGAGTGTGTGTGGTACCATGACTTCATTGGTGGGCTTGCTCAGCGTGGGCAGGATAACTATTGCCTCCGTGGAGACGGCTCCCGTTTGCTTGGTACCGTCATTCTGGCCCTTTATCCATCCTCGCTGCGGAGAGAGCTCATCGTCTTTGATGAGTATAATCAACTCTCCTTTCTTGAAGCTCAGGATTGTGGGGTCATCTGAGTTTGGGAGAAGATGACAACTCAGTAATCAGTTAATGAAAAACTATTTAAATGAGTTAAGCAAGTTCATAAAACAAAGGAAAACATGTCGAAAGGGAATCAGGGCATCGACCTTGGCTGGTAACGTCTTTCAGGGCCACCGCGTACTGGGAACGCTCCGTCAGTCCACTGAGGAACATGGTGATCAGCTCAGACATGTCTTCAGCCGTGGATCCACTCAGAGTAAAGTCTCCTTTGAGGGTCAGCAGACACACGGCCTGGCCAGATGTTTTCCCCTCCCTGAGCAACACAACAACTTCCAGTGAATTTGTTTCCATTACTAACTGGTCCTTTTTCACCAGTAAGACACCATCGTACCTAACGGTGTTGACTGCAGTCACTTCTGGGAAGGAGAGCTCCAGCAACCGCTTCTCTCGCTCATCTAGGAATGTGATCCCGGTCCAGTTTATGGCAACTATGAACTTGCTCTTTGGGAGCGGGGGACCTAGGAACGTCATTAACACATTTTATATTGTTGGGATTTCTCTGATCATCAGAGACGATGTAAAGAGTCTCAGCAGCAGCGTGTCATGGTCAGCTGGACAGCCTTAACATCCTCACTGTTGGAGTTATTTTAAGGTAATGTTTAAGGAAGCACACATAAGAGCTTGCGCAACGTTCCCTACAAACAGTTTCCTACCTGACAGCTTGGTAACCTCAAAGAACCTGGAGAAGAACATGGGCCACCTCTCTCTGGCGTAGTCGACCATTTCTGCTTTCACCGAGTCGGGTTTTTGCTTTGACCTCAGGAACGAACCCTCGGGTGTTTTACAAAACATGTGAATATTTAATCGACTCAAAACGATGTTGGAGCATTGGCAAAGGCTTTGACTGACCTGCGCATGAGCTGCGGTGACCATCTGAACCAGCCTGGCTTCTGATTTTGCCTCCAACAGAGAGTTGTTGATGCAGTCCTGCACAGCCTCCCTCACCTTGTCTGGGCTGCTGTCTGAGCCATGCTGGATGTACAGGTGCTTTGCAGCTAGATCAAGTATATCGTCCTCCTGCGTGAATGAAACATTTGGAGAACCTGGTCAGTTTAGAATTCGATAAAACTCTTGTTTATGATTCAATTCAATTCAAGTTTATTTATAAAGCGCCAAATCACGACAAGAGTCGTCTCAAGGCACTTCACATAATAAACATTCCAGTTCAGGTCAGTTCATTAAGCCAATCAGAAATAATGTGTCCTATATAAGGAACCCAGCAAATTGCATCAAGCCACTGACTAGTGTCAGTGACTATACAGCAATCCTCATACTAAGCAAGCATAATGCGACAGTGGAGAGGAAAAGTCCCTTTTAACAGGAGGAAACCTCCAGAGGATCCTGATCAAAGTGAGCCAACCTTATTGGTCTGATATTCTCCAAACTTCAGACCGTGGATGACTTGTTTGTAAATCAGATCCGTGCTGATCTTGTCCTCCTTGCAGTTGTGCCAGGGCGTAAAGACCTCCTTACGGAAGAAGAGCCGCCATGGAGCATGCATCTCCTGGCCTCCTTTCCTCTTCACTTCCTGTTCACACTGGGAGATGGCATCCATCACATGCTCCCGGCCGCTGCCCAGAGCCCACACCTTCAGCACAAGTGAACAAAACATTGTTGGGAAAAGAAGAGACCGTTTCTAAATGTATTGAGATAGAATGCGTTTCTACTTTTTCATAAATGTAAAAAAAATCTGTAAGAAACATTAGAAGAGACACACGAGGTGCTGTTGGTAAAAGTAACAACAGCAAAGTGACAGCTACACCAGGGGTTGGGAACCCTGGTCCTAGAGAGCCACTATCCAGCACATTTTAGAGGTTTCCCTGCTTCAGCACACCTGGTTTTGATCAGCAGGTGACTAACAGGCTTCTGCAGAGCCTGGGAGCTGCTGAACAGGTGAATCAACTGTGTTGAAGCAGGGAAACATCTAAAACATGCTGGATAATAGCTCTCCAGGACCAGGGTTCCCTACCCCTGAGCTACACTGTTCAGTTCAGTTAGTTTATTATCCCTCTTGGAGAAATTTGGAGCACAACAGCGGTCGGAGTGAACAACACAGCACAATATTCAACCTTGACCCCATAACACTCTTTGTTAAGTCAATCTATCCAAAATAAAGGATTCCATGAAAACAAAAATAAAAACATTTACAGCATAAAAGGCAATGTAGAAACAGTTAAGAATAGTTAAAAACTATACAGCGCAAGACAAAACATCTAAAATGTCTACTGCAGATTTATAACTTTTATAGCCATCGATTCAAATGAATGTTTGTATCTATCATATCAAATAGGAGGCAGCCTCTACCTTCTCCCCGGAGGGAGGAGGACAAACTCATCCAACGGAGGACGGTTCCTGCTGGTTAAAATTATCTTTGCCTTCCTGAAAAGTTGTCTGTGCCAGATGCCTGATGGGGTGCCAGGGGCGTGTCCAGGGAGTGGCCTGGGGTGGCACATGCCACCCTTGGAATCTGACTGGCCACCCCAGGTGCCACCACACTAATTTACCTTTAAACAGGCTTTTCATTGTCCACAAAAGGCTTGGGGGTAAAACAAAAAAAGCATAACCATTGGTGCCACCCATGCACAAAGTTGTGCCGCACCTTGGCCACCCCATTTTAAAAGATCTGGACACGCCACTGCGGGGTGCACCGTTTTGCTCCAATTATTTTACCAGACATGTCGACTATCCCTACCAGGCGGGACTTATTTTTCACTGACAAATTACCAAACTAGGCAATCAAGCAAAAAGTTAAAATGGGTTCAATAAAAGATCTGCAGAATAATATCATCAGGGTTCAATCCACACCAAAAAGATTCATCCTGCATAAGAAAAAGAGACTTTCTGCAAACCCTTCCCACAGATGGCTGATATGTGCCGTTTAACTGTTTAATTAAAGAAGGTGTGTGTAAACACACAAATGAAAATAAACTTAAAAATGAACACTTCAACCAAAATTTATTTATCTAAATTTTCTAAACAGATTCTGAATATTTCATGCTAAATTCAAATAATTTGTGTTAAATCATCACACGTATTAATACATCAAAGTGTTCAAATCTAAATACCATTGTGGGAGTTTAAAATGAGATATTTAGTTAAAATACAAATTCATATAAGCATAAAACAGAAGGAAACCAGCTAAATTATAGTGGAGTAAAGAGATTTCCTTCATGATATCTCATCGTCCCTTCGACGGAAAGACTGACAGTCCGTTTCACATGGATCACAGATTTCCTGTCTCCTTTCTCCCGCGGTTGAGCTGACTCAGCCAACCTCTGAGACTTTACATAGGAGATCTCTGATTTCTTCTGTTTTACAGCTACATGTATTGCTTCATGACTGGTGCCTCTTCAATACATGTTCAGCCATTCTACTGTTGTACCTTTTCATACATGGCGACGTAGAGAGAAAACCCAAAGACGTCTTTAAGTTTGATTTTGTTGGATACCAGTTGGCAGACTTCTTTGGATGTAGATGCCGAGTCGAGAGGAACGTTAATAGAGCGGCCGTCCATCAGTGCCACGGTTATTATCATCGGCTTCTTTGTCTTGGTTGCCTGTCGGAGTACAGAGAAATGACCAAAAATGGCAGCAAATATAATCAAATAAGATTCGAAACAGAACACAGCACGTTTCCGTATCTTTAACGGTATTACAATTATTTTTCATCTTGAAAAATGACAAGATTTGACTTCCTGACTAAATACCTCTAAAATCACAGAGGCTCACCAGCTCTCCGCCACAGCTCGGATGAGGTGATTGTGCTGACATGTTGTTAGCACACTGTTAAACAGTGGCGTGTCCAGATCTTTTAAAATGGGGTGGCCCAGGTGAGGCACAATTTTGTGCATGGGTGGCACCAATGGTTGTGCTTTTTTTGTTTTAACCCCAAGCCTTTTGTGGACAATGAAAAGCCTATTTAAAGGTAAATTAGTGTGGTGGCACCTGGGGTGGCCAATCAGATTCCAAGGGTGGCATGTGCCACCCCAGGCAACTCCCTGGACACGCCCCTGCTGTTAAATGCAATATTGTGAATTCTGATCAAACATCTCAATGAAAATTAGTTTTGAGAAGTCACAGTGAGCGTGACTGTTTACCAGCCCTAAATACAAACCCTTCAGTCATTGGGAACACTTGACGAGTAGAGTATGAGAATGTGGATTTATAACCAGGAAGTGTTTTTACACTAAAGACAACCAACCAAACACAGATTTCCTGTTTTTTAAATGAATTTGTAGTTATAGGCCACACCTGTAGTTCTAGCCAGGCTGGAGGCTCCCCTCTCACTCCGTTCATTATGGTGCGCCGCAGCCTTTCAGCACAGTATGAAGGGAATCCGCCCGGAGACAATCGGATGAAACTTTGTAGGTACTGCCAGTACAACAGAATACAACGGATAAATAAAACAATAACATGCCGTCTATGAGACCTTAGTATACGATGGTATAGATTTACTTACCCTGACAAAACGCTCACTTGGAGGAAACACGCCCAAACAGAGAGACAGCAGGATCCACCCACGGAAATAGCTGTTACGGTTGTTGTTATCCTGAAGCTGCTTGCAGATTTGACAGTAAATCTCATCCCTGACGGACACAACGTTGTTAGAACTGGATCAAACTAAATAGGCTAAAGCAAAGATATGGTTTTAAAAGGAAACCGTTAAAACCTGAGGTCAGGTCTGACAATGGCGTATCCCACAATGATGTGGACTTTTTCGAGAGAGGTCAGGGGCCTGTCCAAAGTGGGCCCTTCTCCAATCATAACATCACTGTCCTCACTCACAGTCTGCAGTGTGGTGGGCTTGGCCACTTCGGTTAAATCCTCCGACTGTGAGAATAAAGATGAAACACCCATCAGTGTGTCGACGCTTACCTGCAACAGAGGTATTAGGCTCAGGATTCACCCCACCTCCTCCATGATGATGGATGGTTTCCTGATGTTCAAAGCAGACCGAGAGCTTCCAGTGTCTCTGACAGCTGGTGCTTTTTTGCTCCTCAACAGCAGGTCAGTGAATGTGGATCCTTTTCTTGTGCGAGGGTTGGCTTGCTGTACAGTGTACACCTTTGGGTCTTGAGCAGTGTCGCTGGGCGCTGCAGAGGCCTTCCTGTTTTTGGACAGAATGTCTGTAAACACAGAACCCTTTCTCTTTTGCGTTGGGTCCTCTGGTGCTGCAGAAGGTTTACTCCTCAACACCCTCTGAAACAAAATAACATTAAAATATGAATCTGCGAGTGCTGGTCATATAATTAGAATATCATGACAAAGTTGATTTCATTAATTCCATTCAAAAGTGAAACTTGAATATTAGATTCATTCATTACACACAAATGTTTTTTTAATGTTAATGATTACAACTGATCACTAATGAAAATCCCAAATTCAGTATCTCACAGTATTAGAATATCAATAAAGACCAATGCAAGAAAAAGGAATTTTAGAAATGTTGGCCAGCATAAAAAGTATGAGCATGAACAGCACTCAATATTTAGTTGGGGCTCATCTGACCTGGATTACTGCAGCAATGTGGCGTGGCATGCAGGAGATCAGGTGTTATGGAAAAGTCCATGTTGCTCTGATAGTGACCTTCAGCTCTTCTGAATTGTTGGGTCTGGCATGTTGCATGGTCCTCTTCACAATACCCATAGATTGTCTATGGGGTTGAGGTCAGGCAAGTTTGCTGGCCAATCAAGAACAGGGATACCAGAAACCAGGTACTGGTAGCTTTGGCAGTGTGCAGGTGCCAAGTCCTGTTGGAAAATGAAATCTGTGTCTCCATATAGTTGGTCAGGAGCAAGAAGCAGGAAGTATGAAGTGCTCTAAGACTTCCTGGTAGATGGCTGCGTTGACCTTGGACCTCAGAAAACACGATGGACCAACACCAGCCGATGACATGGCACCCCAAACCGTCACGGACTGTGGAAACTTTCCACTGGAGCTCAAGCAACTCTCCTCTCTTTCTCCAGACTCTGAGACCTTGACTTCCAAAGAAAATGCTAAATTTACTTCAATCAGAGAACATACGTTTGGACCATCAGCAGCAGTCCAGTCCTTTTTGTCTTTAGCCCGGGCGAAACACTTCTGATGCTGTCTCTTGCTCAAGAGTGGTTTAACACGAGGAATGCGACAGCTGAGACCTGTCTTGCATGCGTGGGTGCGTGGTGGTTCTTGAAGCACCGACTCCTGCTGCAGTCCACTCTTTGTGAATCTCCCCCACATTTTTGAACGGGTTTACTTCACAATCCTCTCCAGGGTGTGGTTATCCTTGTTGCTTGTACACTTTTTTCTACCACATCTTGTCCTTCCCTTTGCCTCTCTATTAATGTGCTTGGACACAGAGCTCTGTCAACAGCCAGCCTCTTTAGCAATGACCTTTTGTGTTTTGTCCTCCTTGTGAGAGGTGTCAGTGGTCGTCGTCTGGACAACTGTCAAGTCAGCAGTCCTCCCCTTGATTGTGTAGCCTACAGAACTAGACTGAGGCCTAGTCCACATGTCACAGTGTCCCGATTGATCATGCGCCCTGGCTACTTGGCCAAGGGGATGTCCTTGCCACATTACGCCAAATGTGGCAAGGTGGAGAAACGAGTGCCCGGGCGGGATTCGATCCCCAGACTCCCGGGTGAGAGTCACACGCTCTAACCAGTCAGCCAAAGGGACATCCCGTTGGCCAAGTAGCCAGGGCGCATGATCAATCGGGACACTGTGACAGGACACTCACACTGTCACATCTTCCCCCCTCTTTCCACTAGCACGTCCTCGTGCTCCCGCGCAGGGTGCCACAAACTTCATTGCCACACACATGTAGCTGGTTTTTTTTTAAAAACGAATATCCGCCCCTCCAAAAACTTGCATCCACACCACCTCGTTTTAAAAAAACTCTGTCCACACGTACCCGGATAAATACGTTGTTAAGGACATGCCAGACCTGTAGGCGGCAGTACTTCCCCCGTTCTTAACCTCGTCCTTCGTCTGTGGTCTTCAGCAAGGAGCAGTAATTCCGCTTGCAAAAACAAACAAGCAGAAAGCGCTTGGACAATTGATAAAGCGAGCGCAGCTCTGAGGGCATCCATGCTGTCGGCTAGTGTAAACACAGGTCGCACACGTGATGTCAGCATTTTTTGTCGCGGAAAGTGACGTTGCGGACCTTAAAACTCCGGTTTTGTCTGTCCACACGCAGACACCCAAAACGGAGAAAACGCAGATCTTCACTTTGGCCGGAGTTTTTAAAAAGATCCGTTTTCGTGTGAAAAAACTCCGTTTTCGTGTGGATGACAGGCCAAAACGTAGAAAAATATCTACGTTTTGGCAGATCCCCGGCTACGTGTGGACAGGGCCTGAGAGACCATTTAAAGGCTTTTGCAGGTGTTTTGAGTTAATTAGCTGATTAGAGTGTGGCACCAGGAGTCTTCAATATTGAACCTTTTAACAATATTCTAATATTCTGAGATACTGAGTTCAGTTTTCATCAATTAGAATCATCAACATTAAACTAAATAAACATTTAAACTTTATAAGTCTGTGTGTAATGAATGAGTCTAATATACAAATTTCACTTTTTGAATGGAGTTACTGAAATGAACTTTGTCACAATAAAAGAACAAAGAAAAGATTGCTTTCAAGTTCTCCACAGACGAAACACACACCTGGTCCAGGCCCACCATGTGGCTCAGACGTCGGTCCTGCCTGGAGATCAAATCCTGTGGCATAAATCTTCTCTGGGTGGATGTTTCCTGAGCTCTGGCTTGTTTTTTTGGCTCGGGTAAGTCTCCCATGAATCTCAGAATGATCCACCACACTGTAAGTGAAGCCTGGTTACAAAACAAAAGAAGTCACTGTATTTTCATAAAATAGAAGAAAAGCAAGCGAAACATTTAAACATAAGTTGTGTAAGAGAAGCACCAGAACATCTCCCTCATCCTCGTGGTAGAGTAAGGGCTGTCGGAGCCTCTGCCGAATGTGGGTGGGGGTGGCTGCACCCTGGAAGTACATCGAGGCAAATTTGGAGAAGGAGTATTCGTCCAGGTCATCATAATCTTCTTTGGGAAGGTCCTCCTCCATTGGAAGTTCATCAATGTCTATCTCCTCAATATTTGTCCGTTTCCCTTCAATATTCTGTAAACAAAGAAACTGTTAGATTGGCTTCTAAAAGCACTCAAAACTTAATCAGCGTTTAGGTCCCAAACCTCAAATCCCGCGGGGGCTTGACCCTCCTGCCCCCCAACAATATTAGGCAGGAATCCAAAGATGGTGTCCACCATTTCCTGGTCGGTGATGTTGTCAGATTGGGCGTTGGCCTCCGTCTCTCTCTTCTGCCTCAAAACTTCCTCCAAGTGTTTCTGTTTTGCCAGAAGGGCTTGCTTTTCTTCCTCTTTCTGTTTAGCAGAGAGGTACATCTGAGGGGAAGAGCACAGGAGAAAACTGAGATCGAGGTCAAGACTGTTTCATCAGCATGGCCAGGTCGGGAATGAGGTCCTGCCTCAAGTGGGGGAGTTCAAGTATCTCGGGGTCTTGTTCACAAGTGGGAGAAAGCAGAGCGTGAGATCGATAGGTGGACTGGTGCTGAGCCTTCAGTGACGCAGGGTGGTGAAGAGAGAGCTGAGCCAGAAGGCGAAGCTCTCGGTTTACTGGTTGTTCTACGTTCCGACCCTCACCTACGGTCACGAACTTTGGATAGCGACTGCAAGAATGAGATTGCGGACACAAGCGGCCAAAATGAGCTTTCTCTGCAAGGTGTCTGGGCTCTTTCTTAGAGTAAAGGTGAGAAGCTCAATCATCTGGGAGAGGCTAGGAGTAGATCCGCCGCTCCTCCACATTAAGAGGAGCCAGTTGACGTGGCTCGGGTATCTGGTTAGGATGCCCCCTGGACGTCTCCCTGGTGAGGTTTTCTGGGCACGTCCAACTAGGAGGAGACCCAAAGGAAGACCCAGGACCACCCAGAGGGAATATGCCTCTCGGCTGGCCAGGGAACGCCTTGGGATTACCCCAGAGGAGCTGGTCTACGTGGCTGGGGAGAGGGAAGTCTGGGCCTCTCTGCTTGGGCTGCTGCCCCCTCAACCCGACTCCAGATAAGCAGATGAAAATGGATGGATGGATGGTATTGGCATGGCAACACTGAGCCCCCCACCTTTCTGGTTGACCTACTTTAGTTGTCTGGAGAGCAACACAAGTTCCAAACGTTTAAATAATTACCTAGAAATTAAATACTTGATCAGTTACAGGGGTCAAAGTCCTGAAACTCGTGTAAAACAGTAGGTGATAAAAAAAAACGTACATCTCTCTTCCTCTTGTTGAGAGCTTTTCTTGCCAGAGCTCCCCTGGTATGTGCCTGCAGCACGATCACTGCATCTCTCTTACGCTTCCACTCCTTCCTGGCCAGGTACCCTCTGACCTGGGTCTGCAGCACCAGAGCGCCCTCCCGTTTCTTCTTATACTGTAGGTGAAGCTGACGAGAGCGAACGAGTGCCTGCAGCCTCGCAAAGCCCAGCTGCACCTAAAGTTGGAGCATCACAAAGTGTTTAATGCAGATCAGGTCTGCAACATTCCCATTAAAATCAGTAAAAAGTGACTCACCACTTTGTACAACTTCCTGCCTTTGTACCCTCTCCAGCTTTTCTGAATGATAAGAGCGGATGCCTTTTTCTTCAAGAATTCTCTCCTGAAGGGGTCGTAAACCAAACAGAAATGAAGCAGAAACTAGCTGGAAAGAATAAAAGATCATTTCACATCATTTTATTAGGTACCTGTATTTGTAGCCCCTCAGAACTTTCTGGATCAGAAGTGCTTTTGCATTCAGCTCCTTCATTCGCTCCAGTTCGAGCATAGTGTCGTGAAAATCCTGCAAGAAAACCGCATCTTTTCATCTAAAATTATCTAAAAAAAAACAAAATAATTTGTTCAGAGTATACAACTCAGAAGACCCTCAAAATGTAGACCTGGAATGGAGATTCTGTTTCTCTCTGTAATTTGGAGGAAATCGTAGTTTGAAGCTGGTATTCCTTAAATACACTCAACAAAACCTGAAATTACTTTGTTTTTTTTTTTCTCATTTATTTAAGGACAGTGCACATTAATAAACATTTCTGTAAATGTGCCAGTGTTAGCCAGCAGGCTAATTTTCAACTGTAGTCCGTTGGCAAGATGTTATACTAAGCACATGACGGCTAAAAAGAAAGAACATATTAAATGAGCGTAATAAATAGCACAAGAATTAATATACAACAATAAAATACAATGCCATTGCACTTACTCGAATAAAACATAAAAACATATATTCATATAACCACACAACTCATTAAAGAATCCAAAGTTGCCATATATCCATCAATCCCTCATACATCTAATAGGTTATACAATAAAGTCTAAAAACAAATATCCACTGATTATTATGAGGTGTTCACATTTTTGTGTGCTTGAAATCCAGTTCTTAAGATGGAGTGTGAATGTATGACATGAAGTAGAGTTTCTAACTAGGGTTTTAAGTAATACTATAAGTAAAAACCAGTCGGTAGAAAGCCCTCTGCTCCTGCACTACACCAGCTCTCAATGTGGTGTTGTGCAGTGAAAAGCACATCACTACGCCTTAAGCTGCTTCCAGTAAAAGTCCGCGACACAGAGGGCGACTGAACTGGCCAAGCGTGATAGCTAAAAAAACTTAAAGCAAACGTCATTTTACAGCTTTCTGCACTGAAGGTTTGAGAGTCCATCAGTGGTTCTGGTATCATCAAGGACCCGATGCTCTTATTTCTGCTTCTTTTAAGATAGAAGCTTATCATGTCTCTTACCAACAATATCCTGCAGTATGACATTTATACACACACACACACACACACACATATATATATATATATATATATATATGTAAATATATATATATATATATATATATATATATATATATATATATATATATATATATATATACCTAAATAACGTTGTATATGTATATCTCCTACTGGTCTAATCCTAACCCTGTCCAACACCAACCAGTGGTTGAGAAAAATAAAATCAGCAATCAGACTCTAACTGCCTCCAACAGTTTCCTTCCTCTGATAATAAAACACATGGTCTGTTCCTTTCTTCTGCCCAGACTTGGGTGTTAATTTTGACTTGGTGAGGTCACTGAAACATCAATAAAAACTGCTGATGAAAAAATTTTCTTCCATCTTGGCAACATCTCAAAGCTGAACCCTTTTGCTTCCAATGTTGAAGTGAAGATGATGCTTTAATTCATGTCTGGGCTACTGTAAAAGTCATTTTACTCGTCTCAAGATCGTCGTTCAGGTTGTATAAAACTCTGCTGCTCCTCTAGTTAACAGTCGATTTTAGATTGCATGTAGAAGTTTTGACCCTAACCTTTGGAGCCCTGCATGGTGAAGCGTCTCCCTTTATCTCTGACCTGTTTTAACTCAACCCATATTCTGGGGTCAGCCGGCCAGATGCAGCTTGTGACCCCAGAATTCCAGTCAGACATGAGCAGCAATATTCCTTTTGAGCAGTAGCACCAGGACCGTAGAAGGCAGCTGCGCCTTTTCCCTTACACTGTAAAAGATGCTGTTTATGTATTTAAGACAAAACAAATGTCAGCCGCACCTTTAGGAATATCTTCGTCTTTCCGATCTTCCAGTCGCCTTGTCCCACCAGCACCCTCCCACAGATGCTCTCGCAGCATTTCTCCTTGCTTTCCTGTTCCACCACAAATTAAACACATACCAGGTGAGACTAGCTGAAATAAGGAATCATAAACAAAACTAATTCATTGTGCCTAACTCACCGTTTTAGGATCACACGTGGAAGTCTTGAGGAGAGCACGGTAGCGATCCAGAAACTCACTGAAGGTGTAGCGTACGGGATACCCGGCCTTTCGGATTTTGATGGTCTCCATCATCCCGGAGTAACGGAGCTGACGCATGCACAGCTCTCTGTCAAACAGCTGACACGAAGACATGATGTAACCCCTCCCATAGGTAATTAGGATGTGTTCTGGCTGAGTGGACTCACCATGGGCTTCTTGAAGTCATTGGGTTTGATGCAACGGATAAAATAAGGCTGGCACACAGTCAGAGTTTTCATCAGGGAGTCCAGAGACTGACGGAACTGACCGGTCAGAGTCGGTACACGCTTCTTACCATCAGACGTTTGCTATCAGACAAAACATAAAGGTCATACCTAAGTAACGTTGATGACCCGGCATCTTCAGGCCATTGAAGGTTTACCCGAAGACTGCTCTTGGCTGTGTTGATGACCATCTTGGGGTTGACACTCTTGATCACACTGGAGCTGGGGCCCAGATCCTCCTGAAACGTCTGTTTGAGGAGTTTGTTGGTGGAGGTCATCACCAGCTGAATCAGGTCTGGGCTGAGTGTGTCACGGTTCTTCTCAAGGAAGCCTGAAACATTGCACAAATGGTAAGAATACAGTTTGCCGTTTGACACTGAATGATTTTCTGTTTTTGATTGTTTTTTTTTGGAAAAGCACCTTTGGAATCGTAGTAGACCACGCCAGCAAAATGCTGGATTCCAAACTGTGTATCGTGGTTGTTTTTGGGGGGAATGTAGACGTTTCCTTTCTCATGAACGTTATTCATCTTTTGGAGCATGGTAGTGTCTGTGCCCTGAGAACGAGAAAATGTGTTTCTGTTGAAAATATTTAATTACCATCTTACTAATGGTACTGATGAGCTAACAGCTAGTCTGAGTGCAGCCATGACCAAGGTGTCTCGCTGCAGACCTGTAAACAGTTCCCATCTACAGCGTTTTCGTGCAGAATATTTTGTAAACCTCTACCTGCCATCAGTTTCTCATCACACAGGTATCTAAAGACAATTCTGTTGTTGTTTAGAAAGGTAAAAATCACCAGAAGTTGTGCAACGTAGCACTTCTGATGCATGCACGGGTCAAATCTAGCAGGACGTTTTGCAGAAAAAACTTAAGTAATTCAAATTTTACAGTGGTTGAAAGGTCTATGATCCACCATTTACATAAACTACAGTCTGTTTGAGACAGTTGGAGCCATTTTAAGATGCTAACAACATACTTTGGGTTTGAGTTAGAACAGCTGTTTTTAGCTCATCAGTGCAGACCAAAGTGACCTCGTGCTGCCATCTAAGGGCCATGATATACTTGCTGTTTAACCTCGGGTTGGTGCAGGCAGAAGGCTTCTTCTTTGTTCACATACTTGCTGCTACACTGCACTCCACTGCATGTAGTACTGGAGTGTTCCACTAGGGCACATATGTCAGAGTCAAGGCCCGCGGAGCATTTTTATGTGGCCCGCGAGATAAATATCAAAAATATATTAAAACTGGCCCGCTGGCCGATTTTACCGCAAAGACTTCAACTCCCATGATGCTTTGCGGCGTCGGCGCGGAGCCGACGCGCCCCCTCCTTTGTGTTTTTTCAGCGCCTGCTGCCGGTCTCTGCAGCTCCGCTGTCTCGGACAAACTACACTCCTCTCACTCAGCGCCGAGTTCACTCAGCTGTTTTCTGACGTTGACGCCCAGAAACGGAGATTCTAGCTGCTCAGTAACGTGTTCACGACTGAAAGAGAAAGTTTTCCAACTAACGTCCAGACAAAGCTGATATAACTCCAGCGAGCAGCGACACGCTCAAACCAGCACGACTCTGTGGTTGTGTTTCCTCCCCGACACACAACAACGCGGTCAAGCTGCTCAGACATGTTCATCAGCACAAACCTATGTGAGCACCTGTTGTCATCTAATGTTGTCATTATTATGATGAAGATGAACAAAACAACAGGAGTCTCCTCCTCAGCTCAGATCAACCCCATGATGCAGGTATCTGGCTGGAACAGGTGAGCATCACAGTAAACCAGTGGAGCAAACTGAGCTTTAAATATGTTGGTTTTCTGCTCTTTTTCTGCTCCAAAACATGAAAGTTAACAGGTGAGATGTTGCATTTTCATTTAAGATAAAATGATGTTTTTATTTTGTTGTTGGCCCGTGAGAAAAGATTTAACCTACAGTAAACAGGAAGTGGAAAGGCTGCAGATAGATGAATAGAATAGAAAATCCCTTTATTGTTCCTCAGTGGGGAAAGCTAGACGTCACAGCAGCGATGACACGTATTACAGGAGAAAAAAAGGAGAATAAAAAATAAGAAAAATGAATAAACAAGAAAACATAAATCCTGAATAGATTTTAAAAATGCTGATTATACCACAAGTAATGAATACCACTGATGCCTTTTATTTAAAACTGACTTGCTCGTGTGTAATTTGGTTATTTCACATTCAGTGTTAATGCAGAAATAAGTTTGTTTCCAAATTTAAAGGTTCAAAATTGCATTTATGTTGATAAAGAAAATGTGCAAATTTGCCGTCACTTTTTCCAAAAATATTAAGTTTGGCCCTCGACTCCGTCCCAGAGTTTCATTTCGGCCCCGTGTGAGTTTGAGTTTGACACCCCTGGTCTATGATCCACCATTTACATAAACTACAGTCTTTTTGAGACAGTTGGAGCCATTTTAAGATGCTAACAACATACTTTGGGTTTGAGTTAGAACAGCTGTTTTTAGCTCATCAGTGCAGACCAAAGTGACCTCCATCTGAAGAAAAGTGCTGCCATCTAAGGGCCATGATATACTCGCTGTTTAACCTCGGGTTGGCGCAGGCAGAAGGCTGCTTCTTTGTTCACATACTTGCTGCTACACTGCACTGCACTGCATGTAGTACTGGAGTGTTCCACTAGGGGATGCACTAGAGAACTCAGACCAGCTAAAGAGCTGGGCTTGTGGTAACAGACACGGTGTCAATGAAGGAGCTGATTAACTTATTTAATTTTGAGATCACGACAGAAAAAATACGACAGCGGTATCGTAGATGGTGGAAAAGACCTTTAAACCAGAGATGGAGTCACCGTGGTGAGTGTGCTTCACTCGTTCGGACGCGTTCATTTCAGGCACAAACTACGCTTCAAATCAACACAAGTTACGCGTGGCAGCCATTTTAAACATGCGCTCGCATCATTAAACAACAAGTATATCATGGTTGTAAGACGGTGTCAGCAAAGGTCATTTTATAAATCCTTACTATCATTTTAGAATTGCATTCTTGTTTCAGCAGAAATATAAAAAGAAATTCTATTAAGTTTGTTTAAATAGCTCCAAACCACAACAAGAGTCCTCTCAAGGTGCTTTACAAAGTAAACAAACCAGTGGAACCTATACTTAGTGCATTGAGTTCAGTTCTTTATGTCACTTAGTTTAACGTTTCCTGTGTAAAAAAGAAAAAAAAAGAAAGACAGCAGATTGCATTGAGTCACTGACTAGTGTTGGAGTCTTTACAGCAATCCTCATTCTAAGCAAGCATTTAGTGACAGTGGAAAGGAAAACTCCCTTTTAACCGGAAGAAATTCCAGAGGATCCTGGCTCACTGCGGGTTTGAATTTCCTGCTGGACCAGGCTACAATTTGTTGCTACAGGTGAATAACCTCCCTGGGGAGGTGTTTCGGGCATGTCCAGCCGGCAGGAGGCCCCCGGGTCGACCCAGGACACGTTGGAGAGGTTACATCTCCAATCTGGTCCGGGAACGCCTTGGGGTCCTGCCGGAGGAGCTGGTGGAGGTGGCCGGGGAGAGGACGGTCTGGAGCTCCCTAGTTGGGATGCTGCCCCACGACCCGGACCCGGATAAGCGGAGGAAGACGACAACGACGAGGTAAATAACCACGCAATTCCATCTAAACATCAGTGTGATGTGAAACTGATTAATTCAAATGCTCCTCCTAGGATATTTAGGAGACTGGCTGTCGTTAAAAGGATTATATTATAAAAAAATCCACTTTTTATAGCGAGGTGGGTGAGGGTCGGAGATAGACAGACCTTAGGGAAGCTGCTCTCCTCATCAATAAGTGCCAACATGTTCAGAGGTTTGCTCGCCAAAACATCCAGAGTCCGCTGGTTGTCCTGGTAGTCAATGTGCTTCCAAACAATGTTCTCCCGAGCGTACTCGTCCTGCTCGAGCTTAAAGACATGTTTGACGAAGAACTGCTGCAGCTGCTCATTGGCAAAGTTGATGCACAGCTGCTCAAAGCTGTAAAAGTAAATAAAGCACGGGTTAGACTCTAAAAACATCAGCAACAGCGCTCTAGATCCATGGGATCGAGATGCTGACCTGTTTTTCTTGAAGTTCTCGAAACCAAAGATGTCGAGAAGGCCTATCGACTGTCGGACCTCGCTCTCGTCCTCAGGCGGCTTATAAATGGCAGCGTTGATTTTATCCACCACCCAGATGAAAAGTCTTCCATAAATAGCCTGGAATGACAGATAAGTTAAAGAAAAACAGAGTCCCTCTTCCCACAGAACTTCTTCTGCAATCATTACACTAAACGGAGCAGTCAGCTTTAAGGGTGAGGGCCCAGGCACTCCACAATACACGCATGAGCATTATTTTGGATTAAGTCGTTGCCAGCATTTAAAGACCCTCATCATTGTGTGATTTTTTTAAGCACATTTTTCTGCAGAGATGCCTTCATCTGCTCAAATTTCTATTTGGAGCTCTAAAGGCTCAGAAAACTGCATAATCTACTGTCTGGAACATCCAGGTATGAGCACATCTCGTTGGTAGTGAACACTGGCCCCTTGTGCGTCACAGAAATATAATTATTAATTATTATTAATGTCATCAAATGATCTCTGAGTGAGGAGGAACAAAAAGCCAAATACTGAGTAATCCTGAAAGTAAAATAAAATGACACTTTTAGATATCGTTGCGGTCAAAGACAAAGTTGTTCCCAGACCAAACAAACCAGTATATTAAAAATTACAACTATTTGGTTTAATTTGTATTTGTTGGCCTTTATGCCTTCGTGGATCCTGAAACTAAATCGGCTTTTATGAAATGAGACATCCAGATTTTTCCGGAGCACTCTTTGGAAACCCTGTTGACGTCTTAATGATAAAACAAGCTGCTGTGACTTTTACTTTGACGAATGCATCCCGACCATCCAGAGCTTGAAGAGGGTTTAGGAGTATCTTCACAGTGTCTCTGGCGGTCGTGACGGAGCGCTGAGTCAGACTACTCTCCAGAGCACCGGGGTCCACCTGAGGTCACCAGAAAACACGATTAGAGACGGCCTCATCGTGTCGTTTCTGATAGCAGAAGGAAGCTCCACCTGCCTCCAACAGCTGGCTGGCCGTGTTGAAATGTGATGACTTCAGGACGTCACAGCCTTCCAGGTTATTTACTATAGTACCTGCAGCGATGCAGAAAGCCGTAGCCAGTGACCACAGAGATGAAATCATCTGCCGGATTAGAGAACACTGAAACATGGATGCCCTTACTGTCAAAGCCCACATTGCCCAGGTGAAGAATGGCAGCCAGCAGCTTGGAGATTTCCCAGGAGTCCGACTCCGTAAACATGAGGATCTTCAGAGCAGAGCGGAAGTGAGCGTACTCCTTCACATCATCACGTCCCTCACAGCTGGTGCAGTCGCCCTGATGAAAACACGACTTTGTCTAAATACGAACCCTTGTTTTTTATATTTACGACAACAACAAGGACAAATGAGTCCAGGGCTGTGTGATATGAAACAGGAACTGTTGCCCTTTTATTTTGTGGTGCTACATAAAGCTGTGAAGGGGAGACGGATCCAGGTAGGTCTAACCAGAAGACCAGTCAAAACAAACTGGAAGGCTTAGCCCTAACAAGAGTTTGGTAATAAATGGATGCGACTGAATACATCTGGGTTGTTCTCACCGATGCTGAGATTAATTATACTAGGATATGAGAATGTGGTCATATCACACAGCAGTGGTTTAGTGTAGGTACCATGGTGAGATATTTGTACTCTGCAGCCGTCCCCAGGGAGAGGATCTTCTTCTGCTCCGCTGACATGCCCATCAGCATGTAGTAAAAGATGTGGTAGTTCCTCTCCTCAGGTGCCTGTTCATTCAAGTTAATGTTGTTTACTGTAGGAAAACCCAACTCGTGTAACAGGAAGCAGTCAGCTGATGCGTTTCCCTACCTGACGACAAACTCTAGACTTCTCCAGCAGGTACTGCTCCACCCGTGCCCCTTCAATAGCCCCGCCTTGGGTGAAGTAGATGTCGATGTACTTTCCAAATCGACTTGAGTTGTCATTGCGAACGGTTTTAGCGTTTCCAAAAGCTGAAAGGGAAACAGTGAACTATGTGAGAGGAATACTGGAGAAAGGTGTGACGAATAAAACGTCACAGGACTCGTTGTCTCTGACCTTCTAGGATGGGGTTGGCCTCCAGAATCTGCTGCTCGATCCAGGAGTGCTGGCCGCTCACTGCAGCCAGAAACTGCAGCATTAGCTTGGTGCTCTCGGTTTTTCCTGCTCCCGACTCTCCGCTGATGCAGAAAACAGACGTCAACTTTCATTTTAATCGTGTTGCACTTCATAAATGATAAAGACTGTGCCGCAGCACCAAACAGTGCTCTGGGTGTAGTGTGATGGTGCAACGGATCTGGTACAACCAGTTCAGAAAGGGTCATTTCTCCCAAAAGAGGAGGAAATGGGTTTTGCTTTTCATTTAGACGTTTTTGTTGTTAAACTAAGCTGTTGGCAACTAACTTTCATTTGTAAGCACACAGTCTTGTTATTGAACCCTCTGACAAAACCAAACAAGTGTCTGTTTTACAACTGTGTCGTAAGGCAAGGAAAAGAAAAGAAAACGAGGACGTGGAAATGACAAGAACACGTTAAAGTGGTATGTATAGGAGAAAGTTCAAAGCAGGCCAACCCTGTTGAGCTTCTGAACCTGGCTGTATTTGTACTCATTAACATCAACAGAGGGTCCCATGTGTGTTTTTACTCAGTAAACTGGGAAAAAACAAGGAATTTTATTGAAAAAAAGGTGCAATATTTTGGCTACATCCACAGCAGAACTCACAGACTTTCCTTCAACCCTTCGTAATAAGACTCTCGAACATTCATACACTTTTCATGAATATTTTTTAATTTTTACCCTAACCCACTTTTGTTTTTCTCAGCAGCCCTAATATACAATCACATAGCCCAGGGGTGTCAAACTCATTTTAGCTCGGGGGCCACATCGAGGGAAATCTAGTCCCAAGTGGGCCGGACCGGTAAATAAAAAAAAACTTCAGAGTGTTTTCTTTGTTTTAATACAATCAATATGAAACAAGGCTGGAGCCTGAGGACAGTGTAGTACAAGTACAACACCTGAAGTGTACTTGAAAATTTGAAAAAAATTAAAAAATCAACAAATAAAAAAAACATTCCTTAGTGATTCAAGGAGCTTACAGATCACATGGTAAGATCAGTTTCATGCAGCACTTAAAATATATTTGACTCATTTTACTTTACATCTTTTAGCTTTCACCAGCACATCAACATCAGGATGAGTGGCGGCCAACTTCAGGATGGGATTCAAGTTCTTGTGTGAGCCTTGAGCGCAGCTTTGTTTTATTTATACTCATTACAGAGAAAACTTGCTCACAAAGATAAGTTTATTTTCACTCTACATTGTAAAGTATGAAAATAAAGTTTACACAACCATCTCGTGGGCCGGATTTAACCCGCTTGCGGGCCGGATCCGGCCCGCGGGCCGCATCTTTGACACCCCTGACATAGCCCTTCCATTATAGTGATGTTTTTACCATGTAAAGTTAGTTAAATGTGTAATTTAAACAATCTAATGGAGCAGAAGTCTCCACCGAAGCCCTCGGGCTGACTAACAACTGGACCGTCGCAATAAAAGAGTTCAGAGAGCAGGGCACACCTGATGACACAGCACTGGTTCTTTCTGTTGCGCCTCATGTTGAAAAAGCAAGTGTCTGCGATGGCAAAGACGTGTGGCGGCAGTTCCCCGAGCCGCCGATCCGTGTACATGTGCACGTGCTCAGTGGTGTAGATGGGCAGCAGCTGGTAGGGGTTCACCGCTACCAGAATGGAGCCTGTGTACGTCTGCAAACAGAGGGAGGGAGATGGTAGCATCACACAGAGGCACACTAGACGAGGGTGCACATGAGCATAAACAAGTTATTATGGCTGAAGAACATCAACAAGGCAAATGGCCTCTTTCAGTCACTGGGTCTAAATGGTTCCTTGATTAGTTAAACTCAGGAAAAGCTGTGATAAGTTGTGTTATTAATCCAATATCTGGCAAAAAAAATGTGTTTTGTTCCATTAAACAGTTTCTAATTATCTTTAAATAAATAACCCTCATACACAAAGTCGTGGTTCTCATCCTCCTGCAGGTCAAAGAGGTCCAACCTCACGGGGAGGAGTTTACATGTCAGAAGGTCTTGTTCATGAGGGAGGGACGGAGGGATCAGGAGATGGACAGGAGGATTGGGGCTCACGTGCCTTTAATCTGGATGCTAAACTAGCTTGTTCTGGTGAACACCTTAGGATCCTACTGGGAGAAATGGTGGGAATGATGGAGGGAGAGGGCAGTTTGTGCTTCCCTGATGGAGCTGCTAGTCCCAACAATCTGTTCTTAGAAGGTCCTTGGCGAGCCTTTACGGTGTAAAAAATTAAATAATCAGTCTGAAGTGTGGTCTTTTCTCCAGAGAGAAGCATACAATGTCCTTCAATCCTTCACAACAAGAGTCTCAAACAAACATCTATACTGTAGAATACTCACAAACACCTGAAGCTGATGAAATGTTTGTTTTTTAAGGTAAAACTCAAACTGTAGCCTAACTCCATGGAAGTCAGTTTCAGATGCAAAGTTAAAGAGCAAGTCACCCCCAAATAAACTTTTTTTTTTTTGCTGATAAACTAAATAAACGAGTGTCTAATCGTGCTGCAGACACGTGTCGTCAATAATTTGGCACTTCGGTGCATCTTAGTTAAAATTTAAATATTCTGCCTAAAACTGTCAGTGTTGTGCCGTTGTCAGGTAAAAACTCTGCACTGTATTTTAATTTAAATCTGCCATCGCTATTGGCTAAGAAGTATGCTATGATGTAAACTGGTACATTATGATGTCACAATGCTGTCGTGAGCCTGAGTGTGTGTGTATTTGTTAGCGGCTCCGCCCTCTCGGTCTGCCAGGCAACAGCATGTGTTGCATTTTTCAAACATGAAGTGGGAGTGGAGTTAGACTCTGGTAGGGGGTGACTTGCTCTTTAAGATGAAGGACCTAAAACTTGTCTTTATTATTAAAACCTGTCCTGGAGAAAAGTTAAGTGTTCATTCACACAAGGCATTATGGGTGTTTTTCCATCCATGAGGTTTGGCTCTCGAGTCCCTTTTTAACTGCATGAAAACATTTCTACAGTGTTTGTTCTGGGCTGGCTCTAGCCCGTTCAAACCGAGCTGACGAAGTTGTTGCAGCCACACGTCCCTGCTCGGACGCTCCGAGAGCCAGATGCTGCCGTTGGCTCCCAGAACTCGGCTGAAGACGAGAGGCGTTTTCGGTAGCGGGTCCAGAACTATTGAACGTTAGGACTGTCCTCTCATCATCGGTAGTGGTTTTTAAAACGAGGCTGAAGACCTACTTTTATGACCTGGCTCTGTGGGTTAGCTGTTGCTGTTTCTTCATATAATTTTACCTCGTAATGGTTACTTTGTTGGTTTTCTCTGTTTTTATTCTGCTCTGTACATCACTTTGATGGCACGATTCATGGCTGATGTAAGGTCAGTCCCATTAGATGTCACAGCACAGCCACGCTCGGGAACTATTTGGTGGTTTAACCCCCCAATCCAACCCCTTAAAGCAGGGAGGCATTGGGTCCCATTTTTTCAAAGTCTTTGGTATGACCCGACCAGGAATCGAACCCCTGATCTCCCAGTCTCAGGGCGGACACTCTACCACTAGACCACTGAGAAAGGTGTAAAGTCAGTCCCATTAGTTGGTGCTGGGTTGACTTGTTTTAGATTAGAAAGAAACAACAAGAGCTCATCATTTATACCTGAAATGACCAAATATTTTACGGCCTGTTTGAACCTCTCTGTGCAAAACAGATCCCATCTGTCAGAAACTGTAAATGTTGTAAATGTTGCTCATAAAATGAATCATTTCCAAATCAATTCTTTCTGTGTTTATTTACATTTCACACAAGTCTGGACTCAACATAACAAAATGTCCTGATTTCAAACTGAGCACACACATGGCTGAGCTCTGCTGCTGTGAGGCGGAAACGCTGGAGCCTTATCTCACAGCAAAGGCTCGTTGGTCTCCGTGGAGACAAACCGCTCTGTGATAAACGACGGGACAAAGTCTGCTTCGGAAAGCGGCTCGTAGCAAGCCGACACGCGGAAGACGAACAGGTTACAGACACCATAAAACTGGGCGAGAGAGACTCACGTAGATGACGCCCTCCTTGTGGCGCACCATCAGGTTCCGAAGCAGGCCGGCCTCGTTCAGGTCACCGAGCATGATCATGTCATCCACACCTTTCACTGAGGTGGGGTGCATGGGCCGGATGCCGCCCTCAATCTTCTTGTTGATCTTGTGCTCCTGGACAACAAAACATCAGTTTTACTCATAGATTCTCCCGGATCTGAACCAACGTTTAATAGATTTGTACCTTTCCTTCATCATCGATCAGCCGAAGCTGCCCAGTGTCTGTGACCTTAACCTCTGCTCCGATCGGGATCCCAGCACCCGAGTCCACCCACACAAAATCCCCCTGGTCGGAGAAATCAGACGTTAACAGAGACTTGACCGTACTCTAAACAAAAGAACATCATAGCTGTGTATTTATCAGTCTTACCTTACTTAAATGCAGCATGGCAAAAATGTGGCAAAGTTCTGAAAGAGAAGACAGAACTGCCGGCAAACTGACACACACTCGGTTAGACTTGGTTAGCCAGTCGGCCAAGTCTTTCAACACAAGTTTCCATTTAGAGTGAATTCATTTATTCCACCTTAAAATCACATTTTCACTTTCCAGTAAAATGTTAGAAATGGATTAAATACATTTCACAATCTTATAATCTACAGGGTTTACAGCATAACTACAAACGTAGTGTAATTGTGTTTGATATCGTCTCCTACCTGAGAACAGGTGTTCCTGTGGTGGAAGCTACCGCTGAGGGACGTTTATCCTGAATGACTGGGAAGCAAGAAGGTTTCCCAGCATCGTCTCGGTTTATGGCCCTTTGACTTTGCTCCTATAAAGGCCGTGACAACCATCGTCACTGACAGCTGCTCTCTGGGCCATCGTTTCAGCTGCTTTCAAGCCCACCTACTGCTGCAGATCTCCAATGTTTTCATCATGAAATAAAGTCTGAGAGTTTAAAACACAGCTCGACAGCAGCTGGTGCATTAAACCCTCTATCCAAGGGTCCCTAATAACCGTGCCTATTTCTGACTACATAACGCTGAACATCAAAAACTGAGTTTAGAAAACCAGCCCACTACAACATGACATTGGAACATTTACTAGAGGCAGAAAGTGAGTTTCCTCGGTCTCTACCTGGTCCATATCTCAGTAGTTACAGGTCAACGTGTGTTAACATGTACTTTCAGGCAATTACGTTGTAAACAGCAGATAATAAAAAGGAATGACTGAGTCTAATCTGGGATGTGGATAAAACTGCTCAGAACCCACATTCAACACAAACTGTACAGGAACCGGCAGATAAGGCTGGCCCACGTAGAGGAGAGGACCGTCAGAGCAGCGAGAGCCAAGTAAACCTTGAAACGTCACTTATCTTTGAGGTAAAGTTCTGCGTCTTCAGCTTTACAAGCATTCGCTAGCAATCGCCTACACCAAAATACAACACTGAATGTGCAGTTCTCGCTCCTGAGTGTGATCGGTGATGACTGGTTATTTCAGGGGTGTCAAACTCATTTTAGCTCAGGGGCCACATTGAGGGAAATCTAGTCCCAAGTGGGCCGGACCGGTAAATAAAAAAAAAAAAACTTCAGATTGTTTTCTTTGTTTTAATACAATCAATATAAAACAAGACTGGAGCCTGAGGACAGTGTAGTACAAGTACAACACCTGAAGTGTACTTGAAAATTTGAAAAAAATAAAATAAAAATAAAATCAACAAACAAAAAAAACATTCCTTAGTGATTCAAAGAGCTTACAGATCACATGGCAAGATCAGTTTCATGCAGCACTTAAAGTATATTTGACTCATTTTACTTTACATCGTTTAGCTTTCACCGGCACATCAATATCAGAAGTCACATCCTGAGTGGCGGCCAACTTCAGGATGGGATTCAAGTTCTTGTGTGAGCCTTGAGCGCAGCTTTGTTTTATTTTTACTCATTACAGAGAAAACTTGCTCACAATGATGAGTTTATTTTCACTCTACATTGTAAAGTATGAAAATAAAGTTTACACAACCATCTCGCGGGCCGGATTCAACCCGCTTGCGGGCCGGATTCGGCCCGCGGGCCGCATCTTTGACACCCCTGGGTTATTTAATCCATCGGGGTGGTTTGTTTGTGGTATGCTAGGAGACACGTCAGCGGCTTGATAGACAGCAGTTGACATCTTTCTAAAAGAGATAACACTATTAATTAAAGCAGAGTGGAGGGAACGTTAACTCAAGACCTAGTCTGACTTTAAAGGAACTCACAACCTTAATCCTGACCTGCCCCCAACAGGCTTGAAGTCATGGGTTTCCAAACATTTAAAGGAAAGAGTCAAAAGTGTCATGTTAATGGTTATCGAGGGTCAAAAAAAATATTTTTTTAAATAAAATGCCAAAAATATTTAATGAATTTTGTTTTTTTTTTACTGCTAATTTATTTAACCTTTATTTATCCAGATGAGTCGCAGTAAAGAATAAGTATATTATTGTCAACAGATATAAAAACGTTAAAGTCTCAGTGTACATCAACAATAAACATTCCTCAATAAAAATGCAGTTGGGGCCACATAAAAGCACTCAGAGGGTCGCGATTGGCCCCCGGGCCACTATTTGCACAGTTTTGCTTAAAACCATTTTGGTCAAATCTTAAAAATAACATAAGATCCAATCATTCTGTATTGGTCTCAGCATGTCACACAGACTTTAAGCTTAGCACCCGTAAAATCGACAGTTTTAGAAGTTTGATTAGGTGGAACAACATTTTTAACTCATTCACTGCCAATGACGTTGTCATTCGCATTTTTTTTTCTGTTTGGGCATCGGAACGAGCCCCCGCACCGAGAAAAAACATCTCAGCTCTGAAGCCGATCTTCATCCGCATTCGTCACAAGTCACATGATCAGGAAAAATAAAATCCATGTGTTAAGAGATCGTTTTGGGCCGTTCCTGTAAAAAAAAAAAAAAAAAGTGAGGCGCGAACCGGAAAAGCGTCTGCCATCACAATTCGACAACAGATTATGAAAGAACGGATAACGCTCAAAACGCGCGGATTCTTCCTGATGAAAGAGGTGAGTCTCCTCTTTGTTTTGGTGTCGACATCCTTCTAGCGCGCAACATTCTGTCACTCTAGAAAAAAACTGTAAAAACGGTAAGAAACGCTGGCAGCGAAGGGCTTTAGTGATCAGGAAACAGCTGGCAGTGAAAGAGTTAACTGGAGTTGGCCCTTAAAGAACAAGTCACCCCCTACCAGAGTCTAACTCCACTCCCATTTTCTGTTTAAAAAAGATGGCATTGCCTGGCAGACCAAGAGGGCAAAGCCAGTCACAAATAAACACACACACAGGTGGTGATGAGCTACAATGTAGCCACAGCTACCTTGAGGTACACTGACAGAAGCAAGTCTGCGGAGCACTGGCACCACCAGTCCCTCGAACACAACCACCACCAGCAACCAATGTGGGTTAACTGTATCTTGCCCAAGGACACAACAGTTGCAACAGATGGGTTTGAAACCTGCAACTCTCCAGTTATCGGGAGTGAATCTCTGCAACGCATTGTTGAATTTTTACTTTCAAACAAAACTTCTCCTCCTGTGGCGATTTATTGGTGTTACACACATTTTTTTCTATAATTCATCATTTTTTTTAGGTTTGTGTTAAAATATTTTCACATTGTAAATTATTCTTAACTTAGGTTCAGAACAATTAACAATGTCTGTTTTTAAAGATGACTGCGCCTCATAGTAAGTGCTATTTGAAGACAATTTTCTAAAGAAATCTGTCACAACTGTGAACAATGCTAGCACGCTAACACGCTAAGGCTCGTCCACCTCCTCGAGGAAGCTGCATTCGTTTGACATCTATCGCCCTCTGGTGGCATTTTTGTAACATTACAATAACAATTTTTTCTATGTTTACATTATCTGATGGAAGAAAGGGAAAATTATTTAGTATAATGTTGTAATCTAATCATGCAAAGTACAATAAAAATGTATCCAATAAAGTTCTGAATTGTGAATGAGCAAGAATGATCTTTTGCTCTTTATATGTTGTCATTTAGCGTAATTAAAATTTAAAATCTCCTTGAAGTATTTAGGAAAATAAAGTAAACATTGAGTTCTCTAAAACACACATTTATTTAATGTCATAAAATAAAGCTGTAATTATTATAGAGTCAAGTTCAAACATCTTCAATAAAATACATGAATTTTAAATAAATTAATTAAAGGAATAATGTAAGCAACACATAACATAAAATATGTTGAAATTGCATTGTTTTGAAAAGATCATTTTAAATTTTTAAAATGTCAGTTTAAACTGTCTTAGTAGTCATTTGTGCACAACCTTTGGATATTTATCATACTGTATATTGTCACAACGTGCCGGTGGGTGAAGCGGAGGCAAGGATCCACATGCGGGTGCAAAGGCAGACAGATAAGCAGGAATGGTTTACAAAAAGGTTTTAATAAAAGAACACTCTGGACTACTGAAACAATAGACACAATAGACAAGAGACACAGAACTGAAGGGGTTTAAATACAGACTGGACAGTCCAGTCGGTTTAAATACATGAGGGCTAGGAGCTTGGGTGATTGGTGGGAGCAATTAACAGAGACACATGACTGAACAGAATGGGGAGACAGGACAGGGTGTGACATATATTGACATTTTTCTACTTTTGCAAAGTAAAAATATTAATATTTAGTGTGTTTATGTGACTTCTGCAGTTGTCACAGTCCTGTGTCAATTGGAATTATTACAATGACTGGAAAACAGAAATAAATAATGACTAATTGTTCTCACACACTGACAGGTAAAACACCTTCTAACCATTGACAGATCCGTGAGCTGTTCTTGAATTATGAAGATAAGACCCGTTTCTGAGCAAAAATTATTTTGACTTTGGTATTGTTAACTTTCACATACTCAACTCCGACCAGATATGGTGTAATGTTCTCATCTCAACCTTAATCCTAGCCGCCTCATTGCCAAGTGATGGTTGCCTGAAAGTAACGGAGAGTGGAAAGTCTGTTCTCTTGAGAAGCAAGAGTGAATCAGATTTTACACGAGCTATTATAGCATCTGGTTAGATTTAGGGAACACAAAAACATGCAAATTCCTGAATGGACGAGAGAACAATCGCACAGATGTTTCCTTCACTTTCCTTTCCTTTCTATCAATGTGGGGCTATAAAACGTGGCTGCAGCAACTTTCCCCAGCCTTTCAGTGTTCTACATGGTGATATTAACATTCTTTCAGATTTCTAATGATGAGGAAGAAACAGGTCAAAGGGAAAGGGTCATGCAGCACTGGCATGAAGTGCACATTACTGGGCTAAACAAGCTGTAGGTCCTCAGCAGGGTGGCTGGCTGGCTTTAAAAGACCTCAAACATGCAGGACACAATTATATTCAAAAGTTCTTTGTTGAACTCCGATGGAAATTATATGTTACAGTAACTTATATTGTACAAAAACATTGATAATAACAACAATAAAAATAGTAATAACAATAATAATCTCACATTAGTCAAAGTTTTTCAAAGAGTCATTAAATGCTGACGGCTGTGGACAGGAAGGATCTCCTGTATTACAGCAGGTTTGAAGAAGCCTTCCACTGAAAAGGTTCTGTTGCATTACGGTATCATTAAGAGGATGCTCTGGGTTGTTAAATTATTTTTCTTTTTGATTTTATGAAGAATCCTTCTTTGCACCATCATCACCAGTGGTTCCACAGTATAGTCTGCAGCACGGAACCAACCTTCTTTATCAGGTTGTTGAGCCTTTTTAGGTCCCTGGCTTTGATACTATCCTAATAGGTGATGGACCCAAGTGATTGCACCCTCTATGATATACTTATAGAAGATATGCAGCAGCTTGCTACAAACCTTAAAGGATGCAAAAGCCCCCCCAAGAAGTCCAGCCTGCACTGACTCTTCCTGTAGATGGCTTCAGTAGTCCAGTCTGTAGATGGACATCGAGGAATTTATAGTCTTCAACCACCTCCTCATCTACTCCCATCGTGCAGATAGCGTTTGACCTATTCCTATTTCTTCTGAAATTTGCAATCTTGTCCAGGAGCAGAGGGCAGCAGTGGCTCAACAGGTTGAGCGGGTTGTCCAATAATCAGAAGGTTGCAGGTTTGATCCTGGCTCCGGACAGAGAACTCTGCTGTTGTGTCCTTGGGCAAGACACTTAACCGCCTGCTGGTGGTGGTCAGAGGGACCGGTGGCGCCTGTGCTCGGCAGCCTTGCCTCTGTCAGTGCGCCCCAGGGCAGCTGTGGCTACATGGTAGCTCATCCCCACCAGTGTGTGAATGTGTGTGTGAATGGATGAATGACACACTGTAGTGTAAAGTGCTTTGGAGTCCTTACTCTGAGAGGCGCTATACAAGTGCAGGTCATTTATCATCATTTATCATTTATTCTTTATTTAACCAGGAAGGTCCCATTGAGATTAAAAAACTCATTTTCAAGGGAATCCTGGCCAAGAAGCAGCAAAGGTTACAGTTACAATATTATATCATATGAATGTATGAGAGAACAATGGCACAGAATATGATATTCAACATTAGGTCATTTTCCTACACCATGCCGCAAAGCAGTGATAATGACCCCAAAGGACCAGAATATTGGACACCACTGCACTATTAGCAAAGGGTCTCTCTCTCTCTCTCTCTCTCTCTCTCTCTCTCTCTCTCTCTCTCTCTCTCTCTCTCTCTCTCTCTCTCTCTCTCTCTCTCTCTCTCTCTCTCTCTCCCTCCCTCCAACACTACTCCGTGCTGTTCAGTGGAGTTGCCACCTTGTGTTCGCGGTGCTGTAAGTAAATGAGCCTGAGACCACCGGGGTCCACCCTCCGGACGACTTGCAGCACTTGGCGGATTCTAGCAACCCTCGCTCCTGCAGCTTCATACTCGTTGAGAAGCAGCCAGTTGTTCTGGATTGGTTCAACAACGACTGGGTGGGACCAGAATGAATGCGCAGCTTCGATTGGTCACTGGTTTGGCACTCTGTCCTCTGATTGGTCAAAATAGCTCGGGTTCTTTCTGAGCATACTTCCGGTTTACATGTTGGAAAAAAGAAAAGACGAATGGAAAAATTGTAACCCAGAGAACGACCATTATCTTGTTATATAGCGATACGGTAACGTCTGCACACATTCAGATATATTTGTTTGTTTAGCCGTCAGAAGTTTTTGCTGTTTAGAGTTGAGAAGTTAAAAGCAGGGGCATCAGGTTATCGAGGAGTGTTAGCTTGCTGCTAGCAAGCTTGCTAACGAGGTACGCTTTTAGTTTTAGGCTTACAGAACCAAAACTGTTTGGTACAGGACATTTTCTCCTCATGGGATCGCGTTTGGTTATGTTGCTATCGGTAGTCTGAAAGCTGTTTGTGTATCTTCGGAATGACCTGACTGTTGGTATTTGACTAGTACCGATTGCACAGCCCTTTTCGCGATGTGTTATCACAGTAATCACCATATAACACCCAACAAAAGTGCGTAGTGTGTTATATTCTACTCCGCGTCGCACTTATTTATTTGACTTAACCAGTTTAACGTTACGGCTAGTCCTCGTTTTTACATGGTCGTATCCTGGATTCCTGCTATGCTCCTCTGCGCCCGCGAATGCGCATGGCGTTAGTTAACTCCTGTTTAACCTCGCAGCCCTTCACTACAGCGACAGAGTTTAAGCACAATACGATTTATGTTTGGTTTTAACCCTTTAGGTCAGAGGTTGTTAGAATGAGCTCACAGCAATACCCCCGACACGGACTACCCGCTAGCGGGGGCGGATCTCAGATTCCTGCCGCTGCAAACCTGCTGCCAGTCAACCAGTCATCAAATGCTGCAGGTAGCACATGTTTACTCTAAAGGTCCTTGTTTAAGGTGTCGAGAAAATCTCAATATTGAGGCTGAGTCTACCTCATTTCCCCTGAGCAGGTGGTGAGACAGTCAGCAGTCGGGATGTTGCTGATCATGGCCAACAGGATCATCCACCCTCCACGGCTGGAGCCACGTTGGCTTTCAGAGATGACAAGCAGGAGACCATGGTGGTCAGACCTTATCCACAAGTCCAGGCACACGGACAGCCGCAAGCTGCTCCTCAAACGGTGTCCATTCAACCTGGTACACCTGTGAATGTACCTGCCGCTGCTGTCCACCTCCCACAGGGACAGCCTACAGTTCTCACTGATGGACAAATGAAGGTGAGAACATTTCTCTGGCAGCATTTTTAGAAGCTTTGCATATGCATCAACATGCTTAATAGCTTTTCAAAATTGATTTATTAAACAGCCTACAAGAGATGTGAACTTGTTTGTAGGGCTGCAGCTATCGAATATTTTTGTAATCGAGTACTCTATCGAATCTTTTATCGATTAATCGAGTACTCTAATAAATTACTCTTTTGCGTTTTTAAACCATTATGTGAAATAGCATGTTGTAAAATATGAAAGACCTCTTGAAATGAGAAGCAATTGCCAGTTCAAGTTTTATTCAAAATTAGTTTTCAAAACTTCAGCACTTCAACTTTACTTCACAGTAAACAAATGCGAGCGGCTGCGGCCCAAACCGCACCAGAACCGCTCACGGCGCATACGCAAACATGGCTCGCCAGCTGTTTCCCTATTAACACACGTCCGTTTTAATTTCTACACTTTTTTGTCTCACACTAACAAGGATTGTCGAAAGCATGTTTGCCGTGGTTATGTCAAATTATACTGATCACAAAACATTTATTTACTTTCTTTTGTTTTCCTCCGCCACTCATAAATACCCGTGTCCTCCTGCAGCAATCCCGAGGGACAACGGACATCAATAACAACACAGTAAAAAGTCTGACGTGTTGTAAAAACTGCTATTTTTAGCACATTTTAAGTCCGACGTGTTGCTACCAGATGTACGGTGTGAGCTGAAACTGAGTGCTACAAATGAAAAAGTTGCACAGTGTCTGCAGAATATATAGAAATACAGGCTAAAATGCATTATCTTGTAGAGTGACATTTACATGTGGATGTTTCCTGGTCAGGTGCTGCAGCATGGAGGATGTGGTGTTGTTAGAGGTGTGAATCTTCACTTGTCTTTCGATTCGATTACGATTATTGGGTCAACGATTCGATTCGATTCGATATCCCGATGCATCACGATTATTTCATATTGATTTGTTTTCATCGATAAATAGAAGATGTCAGATAACTGCTTTTTATTTTTTTTTTATCAAAAACGTAATTGACACAAACTGCCATCCCTCAAAATCTCTCCATTCACAACAGGTTAGGACAAAACATTTTAAACATTTAAGAAGATTTAACAAAGTAAAACATCTGTTTCCTGGTTCAACACCACGCCTCAGGCTGAGAAAAACACGCTTTGCAAAAACTCACAAAATCTAAAAAAAGTACTGAAAACCTACAGGACACATAATGTAATAATAAAATCCATAATGGGTTCATATATGAGTGTTTAATGTCTCTGAGCAGCTCTAGAGTCAAATATTTATGCCACAGTTCAAGGATGTCAGAAATAACACCAAATGAAATGTTTGACTTAGTTTATTTTATTTGAACCCAGTGGTTCATTTCTGAAGTGTTGGAGAATGAATCAAGTTCTGTTTGATGCAGAAAATAATAAAACACAAAACAAATTCTACACTTCCAATAATATTTAAGATGTGTGTTTTATTCTTTCTGATAATAACACCAGCAGAAGGCTGTGGGCTGGATTAGGATTAAATTACCCAGCTGATGGATCTCCTTCACTAACCAGCTAACTACAAACCTTTCCACTAACCTGTCCTGTGGGACCCTCATGTCCATGCTGTCTCTGGAGGAGCAGATAGGAGACAGACCTCCTGTAACTTAAAATGAACCAAAGCTTCCTCCCAGTTTCTCTTTAAGATGAGTTTAACATCAGTTTATCTTCATAACACAAAATAATAAAGTGGAACAAGAACTTCTATTTCTCTCTCCTTTTAACTTCTCCGTGTCCCTAAATAAAAGAGACAGACGATCACGCTGCAGCCGCTGTCACTGACCCCGCCCCCTCCCCAAGACCGGCTCTCCCTACATTACAACAAGCAGTCTGACTGAGCGCTTCCAGGAGAAATAATAATTAAATTATGAAAATAATAACGCGTGTTTGGAGGAGCGTCCTCCGATCGTCTCTCTGAGCAGACAGTGTCTCTCTCTCTCTCTCTCTCTGTCGCTGATCGAGCGAGCGGAGCGCGCCGCACGACAACCCGCTCAATTAACATAATTCACGGCCCAAATCCAACAGAACCGGTCGGGCTGATTCTGTTCCAGTTTGGTCTCGGGTGACAACTCTAGCGCTCAGCCCTGCAGTACCACATTAAGGCGGAGGTAAATGTGGAGGACGCTCACTCTGACAGACTTGGATCTGCGCTGGTGCCGCCATTAAAAAAACAAAACTACATTCCACTATAATCGATTATGGCGTACTTTTCTACGATGCAGAATCGTTTATGTCCGCATCCCGATGCATCGATTATTTGATTATTTTCCTCAGCTCTAGGTGTTGTGGTAGGCTAAATCCATTTTACAGTATTTACACTGGAGTACGTTTTCCACCTTACGACGTGAAAAATGGTCCCACACCTTTGACATTTTGTTTCGTTTTCGCACTCCACCGGGGTCCACGTTGTCCGCCGTGGCTTAAAAGAAAGTTAAGTTGCGTTCGCTGCTCGCGTGTGCATTCAGTGCAGTGTGTATGTGCGTCACTCATTTCGTACCGGGTGAAACATGACCACGGGCGCTTGCAAAGCCATTAATTAATTAAACATGAATTAAACGAAGCTTCGAGGCAGAGAATTTGACTCGAGGATTTTTTGTACTCGAATTATTCGAGGTACTCGAGGAATCGTTTCAGCCCTACTTGTTTGTACTTTACGATGGACTTTCACATTATGGATACGTTTTGTGGCGAGCCGGTGGTCTGATACCTGCAAGCTGCAGGCACAGATGACATGCTGCATTTTTCTTTAGTTTTTTTTGTTAAATTCTTACGATTATCATTATGACCTTGAACTACTGTGATATGATTTTGAGGCTATAAAACCCACCCCATTCTCACCTGCTAAACATGTAGCCAGTTTAACGAAGTACTGTAGGACTCCATCCCTCTACCACGCCGTTTTCCCTAAAGGCCAGGTTCACTTGTTTTTTCAATACATTTGCAGTGGTCTCCGGTATTTGTAAACACCTTGTGAGTTGATTTTTGTGAGGAGAAAACGCTGTGGTACATTTTTATTAAGAATTCAACACGATATTTTTTCAGGCTGTACTAAAGTCCCCGATGCCCAGCCGTCTTATCGCCCCGGCACCAGCTTCCAACCAGGCTCATATGTCCAAGGTGGCAAGTCACATTACTGTCACCATAGAGAGCACTATGCCCACCACGCCATCTATCCCCGTGGCAACCATCAGTGGTCAACAGGTGAGTGTTTGTCACATGAATTTTCTGTTTAGTTTGGTTTTCCTGTTATGGACGTGTTCTGTTTTCCTGCTGCTTCAGGGTCACTCCAGTAACTTACACCACCTGATGCCAGCAAATATTCACATCATTAGGGCGCCCGCCGTCCCTCCCCAGACCTTCACTTCCCATTTACCTCTAGGTATGAAGTTTCTGATACGATCAGTACACCAGGATTGATGTTTACTTGTCGTTGAAACAGTTCTGTCTCTCACTCAGCCGTTTTAATAAGTCATTTCATGGTTTACCCTGCAGGGGCTGCTCAAGCAGCTGTTATGTCCAGCTCCAAAACAGCCTTGCGGCCTGCTACTGGAGCGAGCGGGGGCCCTGGCCAGCCCACAATGCAGCACATCATCCATCAGACTATTCAGGTGCATGGAACTGAACCTAGAGGAGGGGTTAGTTGTTCCGAACAAGAAACCGTCTGTGTAACATATTCTGTCCTTCTGTCTGCAGTCGCGCCCTGCTGTAACAACCTCCACCGCTGTGCTCCCGACTGTTGTGGCCCCCATTTCAGCAACTAGAACGCAGTCTCCAGTTATCAACCCAACTGTCACTCACTCGGATGGGACTCTTGGGTACGTTCTACATCTATGGAAGAGATCAGAGGTTACGTTTCAATCAGCTAACCTGCAGCAGTTCACACCTTTTTAGTTTTAGAAGAAGAAGAAGAAAATATCATTTCTATAGCGCCTCTCAAGATGAAAATCACGAGGCGCTTCACAAAAACAAAAAATGTAAAAATATAAAAAAGCATTTAGAAAATGTTTAAAAATACATTTAAAATGAGCAAAAATAAGCTGTTGCGATTTAAAAGAAAAAATGTTGAGAGAGAGTGAACAGGAAAGAAGGAAACCAGTGGATCCTGAGGAAGGTGGAATAGGTGGGGAGAGCAGAATAAAGAGAGAGAGGTGAAGAAGGTCATACAAAAGCCAGCTTGAACAAGTGAGTCTTCAGCTGCTTTTTAAAGGAGACCACTGAGTCCACTGATCTCAGGCTCAGGGGGAGAGAGGTCCAGAGTCTGGGGGCCACAGCAGCAGATGACCTGTCACCTTTGACCTTTAGCCTGGTGCTGCACAACCAGTAGGCTTTGATCACTGGACCTCAGGGACCTGCTGGGGGTGTAGGGACTAAGAAGATCACCAATGTAAGATGGTGCTTGTCCATGTAAGGCCCTATAGACCAGAACCAGGATCTTGAAGTGAACCCTGAAGTTGACTGGCAGCCAGTGAAGCTGGAGGAGAAGCGGGGTGATGTGGGTGTGTTAGGTGGACTTGGTCAGAAGCCGAGCACAGGCGTTCTGAACCACCTGTAGACGGTTCAGGGAGGTTCTGCTCAGACACGTGAAAAGAGAGTTACAGTAGTCTAAGCGTGAGGAGATGAAGGTGTGGAGAACTGTCTCAAGTTCAGAGCGGGACAGAATGGGACTCAGCTTAGCAACGTTCCTGAGATGGAAGAAGGAAGAGAGAACAAGAGAACTGACATGAGAATCCAGGGTGAGAGCTGGGTCAAAGGTCATACCAAGATTCCTGACAGAAGGTTGGGTGTGGGAAGCAAGCTGACCAAGAGAGTCTCTGACTATGGGAACCAGCTTGTCTGAGGCACAGATGAGGATCTCAGTCTTATCTTCATTCAGCTGAAGAAAGCTCCCACCATCCAGGTTTCGATAGAGTCTAAGCAGGTGTGTAACAGCTGCAGCTTAGACATCTCATGGGGCTTAAAGGAGATGTACAGTTGGATGTCATCTGCATAAAGATGGTAGGAGATTCCTTTGAAGGAGCTCAGGATATGCTGAAGAGGAAGCAGATAGAGGAGGAAGAGCAGAGGCCCCAGCACAGAACCTTGTGGGACACCATGGGTGAGAGAGGTGGTGGAGGATCTAAACTTGGAGACAGCCACAGAAAAGGAGCGCTCAGAGAGATAAGAGGAGAACCACTCCAGAGCAGATCCTGATAGGCCTACCCAGTCTCTCAGCCTCTCCAGTAGCAGGTGATGGTCAACAGTGTGAAAGGCTGCAGTCAGGTCCAACAGGACCAGAACAGAACAGTCCCCTGCATCACTGTGGGTCAGAAGGTCATTGGAGACCCTAAGAAGAGCTGTTTCAGTAGAATGAGCTCTACGAAAACCTGACTGGAAGCTATCATAGATGTTATGTTGATCAAGAGCAGCTGTGAGTCGTTTAGCCACAACCTTTTCCAAGATCTTGGAGATGAACGGAAGTTTAGAGATGGGTCTGAAGCTGCTATGGAGAGAGAGAGGTCGAGACTCGTTTTTTTAAGAAGCGGGTGGATTACAGCGTTCTTAAAGTAAGCAGGGACCTGACCAGAGACCAGAGAAGCATTAATTATAGAGAGCACGCTGGGACCGATGGACTGAAAAGCACTTTTAAAATGTTTGCTTTTAGTCATATGATGCATCGCTTCAGGCGTCTTGACTTTGTTGGCTTCAGAACATTTTATTTAAACAACTGTAAAAATTTAAGTCTTAATAAAACAACAGACCCAATAAACAAGATTGCTTTATTTTATTTGGAAATCTCTTTTGAAAAAATTATGAATAAAAAAAATAACTTGCATTTTTTGCATTTGAGACTGGAATGAATGGAACCACTATAGTTTGTGTGTGTGTGGGTTAGTGGTACTGTATTGCTTATTTTTTGGAAATAGCATGCACTTTACTTTCATCTTCTGCAGAGCAATAATTTAGATGTTGGTGTTATTGTTCAGCACGTTCAGTTCCAATAAAATTTTGGACAAAATTATTTATTTTGTGATCAAATTTCTTTTTTTCATTCTGAGAATTTTCAGTTTCAGTTCTGACGTTTAGTGCTGACTTTGTCCGTGTTCTGTTCGGTGATTTGCGTATTTGATTGTTTCAGACGTACGGCGTTGACCATTCACCCCCCTCCTGCTGCAGTCAGCATTCAGAGGCCTCAGACTTCCCGTGACACAGCTACTCGAATCACTCTGCCTTCACATCCTGCGATTGGAGCTCAGAAGGCCCAGCCTCCACACACCATGGCACAGGTCCCTTCTTTACTATGTAAATTTGTTTAAATGTTGTTTCTGCTCTAACAAATCATAACCGTGTCTTCCTTGCTCCACACAGAAACCCATCTTTAGTACTGTGACCCCTGCAGCGACTGTGGCACCTATAGTTGCCACCAACACTGTGCCATCAACGACCACCATAGGTATTGTTGCTTACTTGCATCAGCAGTTCACGCAAGTTCAGCCCTTTTTAGAAGACGCACCATGCTGGCAAATCGGCGTAACACTGCCACCACAGTGTGTCTTGTGAACGGGCATGGCGTTGTGGGAATTTTGCAGCATTCGTGCTCGGTAGTAATATTACAGCAACGCCAGACCTGTGAATCACTCTGCCTTCACATCCTGCGACTGGACCTTGGTGCAACAGAGGGAGGTGTCATGATCACTTGGGGAGTTGCTGCCGAGCTTCGGCTGACATTTATATTATAAATGAAAGTAATACGTTTCACTATTGTTAACAGAATCAGTTGAGGTGATAAACTGGAGTGCTGCAGAGATCCAGGAGCTTCTCCATTACAGCTGTAGGTCAGATCACCAGAGACTGCACGGGGCTGTGGGGCACAGACACCTTTAGGAGCTGCTTGTTAAAACAAACGTAATGAGCGCAGCTTCAATTGGAATAAAAAGCAAGTTATGTCCAAGATGAGCTGAAGTTCGCGGCAGCGCCGAGACCGCCCCCATGCCCCCTTTATGCTGCCGTTGTGTAATCTTTTGGAAAAAGGGCACAATTGCACCACATTACCGCCACAGTGTGGCCACTTATAAACTACCTAAAGCTGCTTGATGCCAGCCCAGCGTTGCAGCAAATTGGTGGCTTTTAGGAATGTAAGAAAATATCGATATAGCAATATATCGCAATATTTTTTCCTGCGATATTATATCGATGTTCAAAAGCTGTGTATCGATTTTTTGGGAAGAATTTACGTGCAAACTTTTGTGTATTTTCTTTTCTTTTGGTGCAAATCAAATGCCGTCCGCTAGTCAGCAGTAGGGTGCAATGGAGTTTTTTTCCACCACTGAAATGTAAATCCCTCTATTATGGTTCAGATACCTCATGTTGATCGTGTTAAGTATCAGTTTGGACCATTTATTGAATTTTCCTATAATAATTTTAGTCTAAAAAAATCGCTATAATTGTCCGACTGAATGTATCGCAATATATCGTGATATATCGTATCGTCTCCCCTGTATCGTGATAAGTATCGTATCGCCAGAATTTCACCAATACACATCCCTAGTGGCTTTGTTTTCTAAAAGAGGCTTTTGACGTTTCTTCACCTTTTTTTCCTCAAATTTTTGTTTTTCCTAACGTTTAGGCTCTGTTCCTCATACCCAAATGACAAGTAGCACTATAGTCACCATGGCAATGGCGTCACACTCCTCTCACGCCACAGCAGTGACCACCTCTGCCATCCCTGTTGGTAAGGCGGCCTTTAAAACTTATTTGTGAGCTGGTGTGTGATCCTGGTCGTTGCGTGCAGCTTAGTTTTCTCTAACCTTTTCGTTCACAGCTAAAGTGGTCCCCCAGCCTATCGCCCACTCCTCGTCTCGTGTTCAGCCCGACTACCCCGGAGAGAGAGCCAACCTGATCCCTATCCCAGGCCACAGGTCGTCTCCTAACCCTGTCGCCATGGAGACGAGAAGTGACAATCGGTGAGAGCGAAGACATTAGCGCTCATTGAGGTTGAGGTTGTTTTCTAGTTGTATGGAGGTGTTTGACTTTACATTTTAACGTTGATCCAGCACAGGGTATCTGCAGGTCCTTAAAAAGTCTTAAATTTGCTTTTCCAAATTTAAGGCCTTAAAAATCCTTAAAAATGACAAAATCCTTAAATAGTTTCCCAAATTCTTAAATTACCAAAGACCCAATAAACAAGATTCTTTTATTTCTATAAAATTTTTGTGAATTTCTAGTTAGCGTTCAGCATTTTTTGTGTACGATATTGGCGTAAGCGGAACCGTACACGTTCGGTTGGTTGTGAAAGGGGGCTATCTTTAGATGAGCACGCTAGTGGGAGTTTGCGCCATGGGGAAGTGCAACATTAATGGTAACTGGATGGCTAATCCCACGTTCACGATGTGATTGGCACCGGTTCCAGGCAATAGCTGGAAATTATAGCTTACATTTAATTAAAAAATAGCTTAAATTTGGTCCAAGTGGCCTTAAAAAGGTCTTAAAAAGTCTTAAATTTGGCTCCCTTAAACCTGCAGATACCCTGCAGCAGCTGTAGCCCATTGTTTATTGTAGGGAACAATTATTGAGCCAAGCTGATGATGATGATGACTTTTCTATGAATCTCTTTAAGGCCTTCTGTGCCGGTTCAGTTCCAGTATTTCCTGCCAGCGTACTCCTCATCATATCCTCTGACGCACACCTACACCCCCATCAGCAGCTCGGTCTCTACCATTCGCCAGTATCCAGGTAACCATCAATCAGCTTTGTGTTTCTGCTGATCAAGGGTTCTGGGAGTGTTTTCAGTCTGAGCTGATGGTACGCTCAAGTCACCGGCTGCCATCTTTTCAGATGCATGTTTTGATTTTCTTACAGAAATCAGTTTAGAGTTCCTTCTTATTCCTTGGATTTCCAGCATACCTTTCCCTTCTAGAGTTTGTTTCTGGTTAGGACAACCTTTTCCAGGAAGTATACTCTTGAACATAACGTGCTCCATCATCCTTAGCTAGCACTAGTTTATTTGCTGAAATAGATTTCCCTTTTGGCCCTTTTCATGTGCGTTTTGGTGCAATAGTCCATCCGTCCGTCCGTCTGTCCGGGACCGATATAAAACTTTTAACAAAGGCCGATAGTCGATATAATGGCCAATAAATCTCCCTCACAAAAAAAATAAATAAAAATGTTCTTAAGCTTAAACCCTTCATTCTCTGCCTTTTTGATGCAAACTTATTTCTCCATTACACACCAAAGAACTGTCTCAATGACTCACTCGGGTTTCCAAGTAATGCAAATAAGATTTATTTAGCAGATCTCAAAAACAACAGAACACTCAAACTCAGTCACAGCATAAATCTACGTAGGCGGAGGGAGGCTACCCTCTCATTCACCGGGGTAAACCCCAACGTACAGGCACCAAGATGGGGGGGCCACTAGTATGCCCACCCCTGCTCAGCGCCTCTCTGTGGGAGCAACTCCAGAGTGGTAGAAAGTCCAACCCCCCTCAAGGAAACTGGTTCCAGAGCCAGAGCCATGTGTTGAGGTGAGTCGTTTGGTGTAAAAGTTATAAATAATAAGCAGGTAGCCTCCTGAGTAGCTTCTGTTCAGACAAAGTGTTTTCCTCCTCCACAACGGATCATCTAAATGGCTGATCTGAGAGCAGTTGTCTGAAAACAGCTCTAATCTGTTACATTTCACCAGCAGCTTTAACGTGCAGTGTTATTTTAGAAACCGATTTTTTGCCACCAACTTTTCATTATTGTTATTTTGTCAGAATTATTCAATGGGCTTAAGTTTTTCTAACCTTCGTAAAGTTAGGGTGATGGACTCCAAATGAGAGAAAGTTGATGTGTATCAAACATCAGAAATGTTGGTTATCAAATCTTTGTTCTGTTGAGCAAAATAGTGGGATTTTTGGTAAAACCAAGTAAGTAAATAAACAAACAAACAAACCATTTTTTGGTCCTATTTCAGACTCTTTACCCAAGTATCAGAAGGCAATACTCAAGGTGACCTTATAAATGCCCTAATGAAAGTCTTTCAAGGTATTGTTGATGCATTGTTCAGCTCAGTAGCGCCTCCTGTGGTTTTTAGAGCTGATAATTATTGTTTTATTGTTCTGTGTCACTATCAAACCTTGGCAAATCTGAAGGTCCAAAATTCTGATTTAAACTTTATATTTCTTTTAAAAGTCACCCCTCAAGCACCGAGTTCAGCACTTCCCACTCAGGCTGGAGTGGGCGTGGCCACCACTGTCCACCTTAACCACATGCAGCTGATGGCTGTGGATCGGATCGGTCTTCCCTCGGCACAAATCAGCACCCAGGGGATCCAGCCTGCTCCCATAGCTGCACAGGGCATTCAGTCTCCACAGATAGGAGTTCAGAGCCTGCACACCTCTGCACCAATCACCACACAGGGAATACAGCAGGCACCAATCGTCACACAGCAGCAGCCACAGGCAGAGACAAAACCTGGTAATTACTGAACTACAACAGAATCCAGTCCTTGTTTACCAAAGCTAGGCTTGTTGGTGACGCCTGTTCTGTTTTCATCAGGGGTTGTGTTGGCTGATGGCTTTGTCGCGAGCCCCATAAGCACCACATTTGGCTCCACCCAGCCAGTAGCTACCATGGTGCAGTCCCACACCCAGGGAGCTCCCACTCTGGTGTCCTCCCCTCGACCCAGCATTCTCCGCAAAAAGCCTGCAAATGAAAGGTGAGTGAGGTGATGTCACCTGAAGCAGCGCTCTTCAACAAAACGATGCTCCTTGTCTAAGTTCTGCAGCACCACTTTAACACTGAAAATACAGGAACCTGAAGACTGCTTTCACACAAAGATAAAATGATTAACTCTTTCACTGCCAGCCGTTATCTGACCAGAAAGCCCCTGCCTGTCGGCGTTTTTGAGCATTTTTACTTTTTTTTTTTTTTTTGAAGGGTCACTGAACATTGTGCTCTATAATCATGTAAACACCAAAACTACCGAAGGAAAGAGTAGATTCACTTCTTACATCAGGAAGAATCGGCGTGTTTCTAGCTTTATCCGTTCTTTCAATCTGTTGGCGAAGTGTGAGCTGTAGAAGCTTCTCTGGTTAGCGCCTCGCTTTAGGCTCGGCGGCGTCCCAAAATTATCTTCTAATTCATGGATTGTCTGCTTCCTGATCACATGGCGTGTGACACACGGCTTTAGTCGTCCATGGTGGTGAATGGGTTACCGTATGTTCTGGAGTATAAGTCGCACCAGCCATTAGGGCTGTCGCGGTGGAGGAATTCCCCCTGCGGTGATTCAGGGTGGCTTAATATTGCGGTGTGCGATATTATTGCAGCACTTCTTTTTTTGATTGCAGTACTATCTAAACATAATGTTTACACATTTAAAAAAAGGTTAAAAATTGCCGTGCCTTCTTTAATAACACTTTACTGAATGCAGATCAAAGGGCAGTAACAACACATCGCAGTAACGTTTGTTTCTCCGACAGTCGGAGTCCGACTGAACTTAAAAACAACAAAATTCAGGAGAAGGTTAAACTTTTAAATGCAAATTTGGCTGCAGCATCTAACAACTAAGAAACAAGTCCCCATTTTGTTTAGTTGTTTAAAATCAAGCATGAAAAATTACATGTACCGGGCGCGCGCGCGCCGGGGGCGGGCGCACTATCATTTCACTTTCACACACACGAATGACGGTGATTTATAGCTCGGTCACGTCCTTGTTACCCACAAGGAAAACCAGCATGTTAACCATATACGGTTTGAGAGAGGATCTGAGAGGGGTGGCAACATTTCCAGCAACACTGAAAACCCTCTCGGATGGTGCGCTCGTTGCACGCACACGTACCTGCGTGCGACTCTGGCGAGCAAAAGGAATCTCTCCCGGTTGTTGCTCCACCATGTCAGGGGGTTTCTTTAGGGTGGATGCATTCCTCCTGCAGGTAGCGAGTGAGCTCCAGCTCGGCTCAAACTCTCTTCGGGACGGTTGCAGAAGCAGTGCTTGTCCGGGACTTCAGCAGGTCTCCGAGCGTTTATTATTAGTTTTTTGCCGCTGGTGGCAGCTCCGTCTCGGCCAAGGACTCTGGCTGCGCAGCAGCTGACCTACTGAAAACCAAAGTGCTCCCAAAGGAGCGAAGTGACGTTTTGTTTTGATACCAGTGCAGCCATCCTTCTCAACATGCATCCTTGAGTTGAACCAAGTTCAGTAATCGCGGTGGCGCATGATGCAGCGCGGTGGGCTTCTTCATATCGCGATATTTCATTTTTGCGGTTACCGCGACAGCCCTACCAGCCATAAAATGTATAATGAAGAAGAAAAAAAAACATAAGTTGCTTTTTGGGGGGAAATTTAATTATTTTTCTTACAAAATCTGAGACCAAGCGTTTCACATTGCAAGACAAGTACCGATAACAATAACAGAATAATCAACCAGCTGTTGCATCAGCGGTATGCGCATCAGCGCGCCACGGTCTCCAGCAGGTGATGGCGGCGTTTCAAACCCTCCCAGCGGGCGGGGAGAGCTCATTCCTGGGCTGGAGCCGGCCCGCAGCAGCACGGTATACATAATTTGGTATATAAGTCAAATTGGTATATAAGTCGCAGGGCCAGCCAGACTATGAAAAAAAGTGCGACTTATAGTCCGGAAAACACGGTAATTGTTTTTGCGTGAGATGACCAATCAAAAGCTGTGAGAACAGGAAGGAGGGGAAATGGGTTTGACACCATGATGTCTTAACTTTGATTCTATCAGCACCTATTTGAGTCACTTCCTCTTTTCACCACAGAACTGAGCGGTATTTGTGTCGTCATTCACTGCTTACACAGTCCCAGAAAACAAAGAACGGTAAAACCACCGTGTTGCCTAGCTCTCAGTGTTGATGACAAATTCTCAAACATTAGTCGTTTCCAAATTGTTTTAAGTCGCTTGCGGGGGTTCCTTATTCCTTGCCTGAGTTGTGCTAGCCTGGCCCGCCAGACTCCTCCTCTGTTTAATTCTGCTCAGAGAAAGGGTCTGGGAACTCTCCTGTTCAACTAACCCCACCCCGTGAGGATTCTAACCGAGCCAGTCGGCGCTGAGCGGCGTACGTCACACACCACAGTGCCGAGTTTGTCGAACATGGCGACTGAAGCGGAGTTTGCTGCGGCTCTTTCCTCTGCTCTAAATGACTCGGATGTCTTTAAAACCACGAGTAGACGCGCTAAAAGCCTTTCTTCTAAGAAAATAAAAGATATTTACGCCGTTGCCAGATGCCTTTTTTTTTTTTTTACTACAGCTAGAAAACTGCAGCGTTGCGCGGTACAGTTGGCATTTCCGTCTTTTTTCTGATTGGTTACTTTTGGGCTGCCTAGTCCCGCCCTCGAATGCCTCCCTGCCTGTGACTCACCAGACTCTCTCTGTGTGCAGAACTAAACAGAGGACGAGTCTGGCAGGCCAGGCTAGAGCTGTGGGGTCTCACGGTGGATTTAAACATGTTGAACAAAAAGTCTTTTGGCACTCAGAAGGTGTTGTACCACATTTCTGCTAAATATCTGTAATTGTATTCATTTAGTTTTTATTGATGATTAGCAGTGGTGGCTAGGGATGGGTACCTTTGACATTTGAATCGATCCGGTACTAATTCCCGGTACCTAGGAATCGATACCGGTACTTAACGGTACCAATTTTCAATACTTTTGAGTGTTTGTTATTTTAATTCTCATATAATTAAATATATATTTTTCTCAATTTATAACCATATTTGATAAATATCATGATAAATAACATACAACTGTTTGTATTTTAACATCGTCCTTGTAGTTTTATAAGCTGATAATTAAACTGAAGCAAACATCTTTACTGTGAACTAAGTTTTCTGTGTATCTTCATTCCTTTTGCCGTCCTTTTTCATTTGATTTTTCCTACTGGGAAGTTAGAATTTCCGAGGAGAAAGCGAACGCACCATTAGATGATAACAATGGTGGCAATGGAAGCTAACATATCAAGCTAACGTTATCTTAAACAGTTTAACTGCTGGAGCAGATTAAAACGATGATGCCTCACACTTAGATCGTTGTCGCTGGTTTCATCTTCACCCAATCACCCGTCGCATTTAGTAAAGTGAAGCCAAACTTTAGAGCGCGTTCATGTTCTTCTAGTTGGGAATTCGGAGTTCCGAGGAGAAAGCGAACGTACCATTAGCGAAACGGAAGCTAACAGATCAAGCTAACTTTATCTTAAACATTTTATTTACCTACCGGAGCAGATTAAGATGAGGATGTCTCACTTAGATCGTTGTCGCTGGTTTCATCATCACCCAGTTACCCATCACATTTAGTGAAGTGGACCAAGCCTTAGCGTGCGTTCTTTCTACCATGCTGCTCTGTTTACAACTGGCTCGCAGCGACCGATGACAAAACGCTCTTGCGCATGCGCAGCTGTCTAGGCAAGTTCTCTTCTTGAAGGTCGGGTACCGAAACGAGGCACCGTTTGAAATGACGTGAATCGGTGCTCAGCCGGTACTATGGAATTCGGTCGGTGCCTTAAAATGTACCGAATTCGGTACCCATCCGGTGGCCATCCTAAATGACTCCAAAGGTCAGTCCGTTATAGATGCACATCTGCTGATTACTTGAGTGTCAGTATACTAGCGGTGAACAGAAGCACAAAACCATTATTGCCTGCATTTCGGTGGTCGACTTCGAAAGCTTCTTAATTTAAACAAACAGCCGTCGCTTGTCTTTGTGTTTCAGCTGTGTCCGTAAGACCTTGATCCCTGCCCAGTCCAGTGAATCCACCAGTGGTAGGATGGATGGTGGTGTGAGAGGAGCTGGGTCTCCTCGGCCTGCAGGGTGAGTTGCGTCGATCACGTCCTCGTCTGATGATTGTTTTTGAGCCAACGTTTTTTTTATTTTTATCATTTCACCAGTGTGAAACCCAAAGCTGAGGTGCACATGGCGGTGGCTACAGTAGAGGCACTGCCTGCTCAGGGAGCAGAGCAGCAGGTGGTGGCTTCAAACCCTCAGCACCTGACCCAGGCCATCCCCACCATGCTCGCCACGCCTGGTCCAGCGCCTCCCTCCCAGCTTTCCACTGTCCTCTCATCTCTGCCAGCAGCCATCACTGTAACCCCCCCTGTTCCTGCCTCAATGGCCAACACCGTGGCCTCTCCCACTCAGCCTGCAGCCAGTAGCACTGCTGCATGTGCTACTAGCTCCACCTGCCCAGATGTAAAAATCAAGCAGGAGGTAGAGTTGATGGACACCTCCCAGCCGGGTAAGAAACCTCCACGATATCAAGGATCTAATCTGACCAACTCCGATGTCTCAAATCAAAAAAATGTGTGCTTCATTAGATCCTAGTGTGAGCATATCATCAGCACCAGCACTCACCACCCAGGCAAACGCACTGAACGCTCCTGCAACGGCAGATCTCGTCCCTGGAGCTTCCCCAAGGAAGAAGCCTCGCAAACAGCAGCATGTAATCTCAACCGAGGAGAGCGAGATGGTTGAAACAAACAGCACAGATGAAGAGAAGACCCCAGGAAGGTCCATCACCAGTAGAGCAGAGCGACTCGAATCTCCTCCAAGGGAATATGTTGGTACGACTCAGCCACCGTGGCTCCACTCGCACTGATGTTTGCTTGCTTGATCACTAGCCCAACTTGTTTTTCTCTTGAAGACGAAGAAGGAGTTCGATATGTTCCCGTCCGGCCTCGTCCACCCATCACACTTTTGCGGCACTACCGGAACCCCTGGAAGGCGGCCTACCATCATTTTCAGAGGTACAGCGACATTCGAGTAAAAGGTGAGCATCTTATTATTGTTAGTTTTTTATGCAAATAATAAAATAAACAGAATTTTCAAGCAGCAATCCTCTTTTTCTCTCTCAGAGGAAAAGAAGTGCACCTTACAGGACATGGCCAATCAGAGAGGAGTGGCATGCCGGGCACAAGGGTGGAAAATTCACCTGTGTGCCGCACAGCTACGACAGCTGGTGAGTGCCGGTCTCAGACCGATACCTGAGGTTTTATTTGGTTCAGTTGATCTTATGTTATCTCGATCTTGGTGTAGATACGTTTGCTTGTACTGGAGTTTTTTCACCAAACCAGTTTTAGTGCCGAACCAAAGTTCTGTGAAGTGATTCTGGTTTGGCTCACTGGCTAACTGCTTTGTTAAAGCACCAGCGAAGAACAGCTCTGGTCTCGCACTTCAGTGCAAACCCTTAAAGGTTTGTAGTTACTATCTGAGGCCTAGTCCACACGTACCTGGATAAATACGTTGTTAAGGACATGCCAGACCTGTAGGGGGCAGTACTTCCCCCGTTCTTAACCTCGTCCTTCGTCTGTGGTCTTCCGCAAGGAGCAGTAATTCCACTTGCAAAAACAAACAAGCAGAAAGCGCTTGGACAATTGATAAAGCGAGCGCAGCTCTGAGGGCATCCATGATGTCGGCTAGTGTAAACACAGGTCGCACACGTGATGTCAGCATTTTTTTGTCGCGGAAAGTGACGTTGCGGACCTTAAAACTCCGGTTTTGTCTGTCCACACGCAGACACCCAAAACGGAGAAAACGCAGATCTTCACTTTGGCCGGAGTTTTTAAAAAGATCCGTTTTCGTGTGAAAAAACTCCGTTTTCGTGTGGATGACAGGCCAAAAGGTAGAAAAATATCTACGTTTTGGCAGATCCCCGGCTACGTGTGGACAGGACCTCAGTGGTACCGGCAGTAAAAGTTCTGTCCATTAATGGGACAGACAAAACTGTGTTTTCTGCCCTCTGCTCCCACTTCCATGACTTGTAAGACTCTTTAAAATCTATTTTCTTGTTGCAGTCAAATTTGGAGCATGATGTGTACAGCCGCCTCTCCACCCTCCAAGAAGGCCTCATCCCAAAGAAGAGGGTAGGCGCCGGCGCTGACGACGACCTCCACCGAATCAACGAGCTCATACAGGTATTCTCTCCACTGCTGTTTTGAGACGAGTAAAAGTTTTACGTGATTCGATGGCCCAAACGTTTGGAATCGGGTGGAAAAGATCAAATTTAATCTTATAAAACGACAAACGTGACCCTTTAAATTCATCCTGACAGATTTTCTAACGGAACATCAATGGCATAGTTTTAATGTTGACAGTTTCCTCTACATCAGTATTTGATGTTGCATGGAAGACCGCAACACCGTAACGTCTGACACATTAAGGCAGGCGGGGATTCAGACACCATGGCATGCAGCGACTAGCTAGCAGGCTAGCGTGTTCCTCTGGAGAGCTAAAATGTCTGTAGGTTGTACGAGTTTCGTAGGGTGTGCAAACTGGGTATTTAATGTAGTGGAGAAGGTAGTGCTGCGTTCAACACTACAAATCTGGTAACCAGCTTTACAAACTTATTTCTTCCTCTTTCGGCTTTTCCCTTTAGGCGTCGCCACAGCGGATCGTCGGTCTCCAGTAATGGGCTCGACACACGGGAGGCGACATCGCCTCTCCTCCATTCATTTTCAATGAGACGTGCGCGACAAAGCGATAATCGCGGGTCTCCCTCCTACTAAGCGAAATGCGAAAAACGTGCGTGTGAAATTTTGCACTCGTGCACGTGTCGTGCACAGGCAACCCAGCGACGCGATTCCAGAAAGTTGAAACATTTTCAACTTTTCATCGCTGTCGCTCGGACGAGGACCAATCAACGGAGGTTTCATTCACTGACCAATGAGCGGACAGGATGCTCCGTACACCTCCGAGCAAACATGGAGGAGAAGTTGATTATTATTATGTTTTATAGTAAAATCACAAGTAAGATTTCACATAACTCTAGCAGCACCTTGTGAAACATCATATCTACCGCTTTATTAACTCTGAACCGCTTAAATAACCTTAATTCCCTCCAACCTGACACAGCCAATCAAAACAACGGAAGATTAGATTTCGCCATGCAACAGAACGCGTCGACGGCTTTGCCGCTGCCGCGGATCGCCTCCCGTGTGTCAGGTAATAAAAGCGACAGCGACAAATTTCGCTGATCGCGGTCGTTTGTTGCCTCCCGTGTGTCGAGCCCATTAGGTCTTACTCTGCCACCAATACTCCCAGTTCACTATTTCTCATTTGATGTATCTGCAGTTATTCAAAGTCAAACGCCCCTGACCCAGGTGGGGAGCCAGAACCATGTGAGCGTAACATCCCTTTTCAAAACCGTTTGAGAAAACAAAACACAAACTTTCAATACTCCGCCTCTAATAATGAAAACCATTTTCTTTGTTTGTCTAAAGCCTGATTTATGCTTCTGCGTCAGGACGGAGACGCACAACGCCATTGTGCGTCGGCGCAAGGACTCTCGGACTGGCTTGCAGAGGGTGACGGAGACGTGCCCAGATTTTTAACCATCCGTCAAACGAGACCACAAGCTTGTGATTGGTCAGGACGCTGCTTCCTGTAAATTTGTCAGCAGCGCCGTCTTTGCCGCTTCAAAAGTCAAGAGATATTTAGCGGCAGACAAGGAACAGACTGAATGTCTTGTGGGAAAAAGTCTGAAAATATGAACGTTTATTTAAAGGCGACTGAAGGAGTACAAAGATATGCAGCAAGAGTTTGTGGATGGAAACGACGAGAACCGTGAGTTTAGAGGTGCCGGTCGTATGGAGGTGGGGGTGGTGGGGGTTTGTAACAATCCCCAGCTGATGGAGAAGTCCGAGAGTCTGAGAGCAAAACTTCTCTGTCAATGCTTGTGTCTCCCTCGTGAAGCTGATGGAGAAGTATAAATCAGGCTTTAGTCTCAGGCAGTAGGTAGGACAACAAGTTATTCAACTCCAACTGATGCCATCAGTCATTTCTTCACCTAAATATATCCCAGACCGTCAGAAATTTGTCAAATACATTTTCTAAATGTACAAAAGAGGCTGGGTTCATTTTTAAACGGTGGTTAAAGAGCGTTTCGATCATTTAGTAAACTCGTTGCCCTTAGTTTTCCATGTGACCCAGCTCTGCTCTTAGCCTACTGCTCTGATGTTTGGTTTGGTTGTCAGGGTAACATGCAGCGCTGTAAGCTGGTGATGGACCAGGTGGCAGAGGCCAGAGACACCATGATGAAGGTGCTCGACCACAAGGAGAAGGTGCTAAAGCTGCTCAACAAGAACGGCGCTGTCAAAAAGTCCTCCAAGCTGAAGCGTAAAGAACGTGCATGAGTGTGACCTTCTCACCTGTCGACCGCCACCGCCCGCCCCCACCTCTCTGACGAGGCGAAGGAGCTGCTCTGAACTTTGGTGCTATGATTTGCTGCATACAATCGCACGCACCCTTCCAAACTGCCTCAGACTGGACGGAGAGAGGAGCCGAACTGGAAATCATTCACACGAAAGACAACAATTCTAGACTTCACCAGTTTGGCCGACTGGACGACAGATGTTTTCCCTTCCTTCGAAGATACTTGAGACTATTTTTAATTTCGTAGTTTCTGCCTGTCTGAAGGCCTATTGTGAATCTGACGCTCAGCATTTCCTGTCAGAGAAATAATTTGAGTTCAAATGAACGATTCTGAATAGTAGATCTTTTTTTTTTTACTCAAGCATGTACAGACTAACTAGTTTTTCATTTTCCCTTCATCAGTTTGTGCCTTCGTTTCGTCTGGACTTGAATTGGCCAGAGACGTGTAAGCTGTGTCAAAATAACACGTTTCCTTTTCTTATGGTAGATAAATACTCAGAAATACCCTTCAGCAGCCCCCTGTTCAGCATAACTGCTATCCTGAACCCTGAAAGTGAGAATAGCAAAACCTTTTTATCGGTGTTCACTCTTTAAGCCAGATTAAAATAAATTAATGTTCCTACAGCGATGACCTCACCAGAATGCTCCGTGTTTGGAACAAAGAGAGGGTGACTCGTGCTCACGATGGCAGACTGAATTGATGTAAATCACTGTAAATGTGTTTTCCATGGTTTGTTTCGTGTTTTGTACTGGATTTGCTGTGTGTGACGCGCTGCTTCGTGCTGCGGCGTAGCAGCGTCTCAGTGAAGCCGGCCTGAAAACATCTAGCCATTGTATATTGTTTCTGTCTGTGTAATTATAGTAAAGATCCTTAAACCTGACAAACAACTCTTATTTTTATCAGCTGCTGCCGAAAGGCAGGAAGTGGTGATTTTGCTTCAGAGTGTGGGTTTTAACAAAATGTCTCATAAATTGAAAGAAAAGTTCGTCATCAAACTTTATTCCTAAAGCACTTTTCAAATACCGGAAGGCCGACCAGCGTGCTGCACACTAAATACTTCAAACATTCACATAAAGTTTTAGAGTAAAACGACTGGACACATTTCTACAACTGACTAACTGTTGGATGTTAGCCCGGTTCAAGGTCTCCGCCTGAGTCATCTGACCTCAGAAAACGTAAAAAAGTACTTGTTTTACAGCTACAGGTGTGTGTGGTTGTATTCCAGTCACGCCGAGCGCTGAGCTCATAAACTACTGGGCGGGTTTTAATTAGACGGTGTAGGTTACAACTAGTTAACCTTTACAGTCGGTTCAGTTTTGTGGGTAAACTTGGACAACACAACTGCTACGGTCAAGTGAACAAAACTTTGTAGTGGTAGCATCTGAGTCATGTTTGCATAAAAGCGTACCTCTGACCGAGTCAGCCCAGGTAGGGAAATTACTCCTGAACCTGTTTTAATGTAACCGTGATAGAATTTACAGCTTTAAAAGAACAAGTCACTCCCCCAAAATTGTTTTGTTGTTGTCGATAAACTATAAATGAGTGTCTAAAATCATGCTGTTGACACGTGTGCCGTCAATCATTTGGCTCTTTAGTGCATCTTAGTAAAAATTAGAATCTTCTGCCTAAAACTCACTGTTGTGCCCTCTTCAGGTAAAAACACAACATTTGAATTTAAATCTGCCATCGCTATTGGCTAAGATGTACTCTCTGATGTTAACTGGTACCATATGATGTCATAATGGAGAGAGAGCGAGAGAGAGTCAGAGTCTTACAAGGTCCAAGTTAGCCTGGCAAGCCAGACTAAATAAATGTATTATTTACTTTATTATTTACAAACTTTGCAAAGCAAGAATTGGGTCTACAGGCCATTTGCTATTTACCTTAACAAGCTTCTGCAGAGCTTGGTGACCTGCTGGACAAGTAATTCAAACACTGAATCAGGAACCAGTCAGAACAACGGGTGTGGAATCTGTGCACATGGATTATCATCCAAACAGCAGTGCAAAGGCAGTTTTAAATAGTTTGAGTGTCAAATAAAAGCAAAAATGCAAAGTGAGGCACTTGAGTAAAGAATAATTTCATTATTTTTTCACTCTGAACTTGAGACAGTTCTCCACACCTTCAGCGCTTTGGGCTTCCTGACAGGGTTGCGGAAGGCGCTTTATAAATAAAGCTTTGATTGATTGATTGATTGATTCATCTCCTCACGCTTAGACTACTGTAACTCTCTTTTCACGTGTCTGAGCAGAACCTCCCTGAACCGTCTACAGGTGGTTCAGAACGCCTGTGCTCGGCTTCTGACCAAGTCCTCCAAACACACCCACATCACCCCGCTTCTCCTCCAGCTTCACTGGCTGCCAGTCAACTTCAGGGTTCATTTCAAGATCCTGGTTCTGGTCTATAGGGCCTTACATGGACAAGCACCATCTTACATTGGTGATCTTCTTAGTCCTATACTCCCCCAGCAGGTTCATTTAAAAATTGTTTTGTATTTTAAAATGAAGTTCTGAAGCACCCTGTGATTTCTATCTTGAGAGCCGCTAAATAAAACATTGTTTACTTTCATTTGATTTTATTTTACTGAGCAGAAAACAGGAAATTTCCATTACAGTCTCATTATATGGGAAGGGCAGAATCATGTCGAATCTAAAGATCTTTTAAATATTTATTTTTCAGCAAATATTTATTGCCAGCAAACTGACCCTCATCAGTTGTGTGTGTCGACGAGAAGATGAGTGGTGAGAGCTCAACATGCAGGCTTCAGCCACTGGTGCCCTCTTGGGATCTGTCCTTGGTGCTGAAGGACCTTGAAGGCATTTTTTTAAGGAAGACATGAACAGAAGATACCAAAAACATAATGCCCCAGTATCTTAGAGGAATTTACTTCTAAGGATGATATAAACATTTCTACATAATCACACATGCACACTGGCAAAATTGAAACAATTATTAGATGTTTTAGTTTGACCGATTGTCTTTAAATGAAAATACCTCTTGTATTAGGCTAAATGAGTTATTTGTTAGATTATCCAGTGATCATCGTTTGAAGCAAAGAGGATGTAAAATTCGACAAATGTGATTGACTCAAAAACATATTTTTAAATGTGTTTTCTGATTTTAATCAGTCACTCTGAGTTTTTCATGCAGGCCGAACATGAAAATAGTCTCCTACACCTATCTCCTGCCTTAGCTTCTGATAGAAAATAGACAGTGAAACTCTAGGATTTGAAAATCCTCACAGAACTATGTCACACTGTCACTTAACATTTATGTACTCACCCATCTCGACTCACGAAGAGCAAGGCTGTTGTTGTTTTAGCGCTTAGGAATCAGCAGAGAACATCTCGGCTAGTAGAAGCTAACCCTTAGCATTAGCAATGCCACCAAAAAGCAGAAGCTCTTTCAGACTTGTGTTATTTATGGAGATAAAACATCCACGTTGCAAGCCAGTGGTAAAGTTGCATTTCTGCTATCCTATCTGGGGTGAGATGTCCAAATATCAGGAAATAAGACTCCAAAACCTGCTGCCTTCAGCTCACTTGTGATGTGGGCAAATTTTAGGTGTGAGAAATGGTGCACCAGCATATTTTTTCCCCCTGAGAATGACTTACAAGGCATTCATTCCTAATAGAGACCACTGCAAATGTAATGATTAAACAAGTCAACTACTCCTTTAAAACCAAAAACTGAGAGCAAGGCAGAAGGGGCCGATGTGACCAAAGCAGATATAATCTGTAATTGACCCCGCAAGTCACGTGACCTAAATTCACATCATTTTTTCACAATTCTTTACTATAAGATGCAATTCATCTCTCTCTCTCTCTCTCTCTCTCTCTCTCTCTCTCTCTCTCTCTCTCTCTCTCTCTCTCTCTCTCGCTCGCTCTCGCTTTCGCTCTCTCTCTCTCGCTCTCTCTCTCTCTCTCTCTCTCTCTCTCTCTCTCAAAACACTACTCCGTGCCACCCCACAGATAGATACAGATTCTGGTGCATCCTTTATTGTTTATTTTTGTGAACTCTCTCATCCCACCTTCCTTTCCTCTTTCATTTCCATCTCCAAATCCGTTGGGATTAAAACCAACCAAAAGCATTTCTAATCCATGTTTGATATCAGGCGGGGCCTTATAGCTGAATTACTGAAACTCTCCACCTGAGGGTAAAACTGCAGGGCTTGTTTTTGGCACTCAGACATGAATTTGGATTGCTTTGCAGCTGGACAGGACATGTGGAAAGAAAAAGAAAGTTACAAAAGACAAAGCCAAACACATTATAACAACAGGGAAACAGCTTCAAAGACAAGTTAATGTGATTTTCTGCGTTCTAACTGGATCGAATGTTTCATGAACTTTCAGCTTACAATTGTCCTTTTTTACATTCAAATTTACAGAGCAAAAAAACTTTGAAACATTAAAAAAATGTCCCTAGTTTTCCCTCGATTATTCCTGACAGATCATCACGACTGGTATACAGTAAGTTGTTAAATGGAATGGTGACACATTACAATAGGGGTCCATTTATTAGCATCACTTAGTGCATTATTAAGCATTAATAAACAAAGGATTCCTTTATTAATGGCCCCAACATCGTTAACCATCAAGTGTCCTTAAGGTTAAGACAAAGGGCTGGGAGATGTCTGCTTAGTAATGCATCACCATACTATACCATACCATGCCATACCATGCCATGCCATACCAGGCCATACCATACCATGTCATACCATGCCATACCATGCCATGCCATACCATACCATACCAGGCCATACCATACCATGCCATACCATACCATGCCATACCATACCATACCATACCATGCAATACCATGCCATACCATACCATACCATACCATGCAATGCCATGCCATACCATGCCACGCCATACCATACCATACCATACCATACCATGCAATGCCATGCCATACCATGCCACGCCATACCATACCATACCATACCATACCATACCATACCATACCATACCATGCAATGCCATGCCATGCCATACCATGCCATGCCATACCATACCATACCATACCATACCATGCAATGCCATACCATACCATGCCATGCCACACCATACCATGCCATACCATGCCACGCCACGCCACGCCATGCAATGCCATGCCATGCCATACCATGTCATGCCACACCATACCATGCCATACCATGCCACGCCACGCCACGCCATGCCATACCATGCAATGCCATGCCATACCATGCCATGCCATACCATGCCATACCATACCATGCCATGCCATACCATACCATACCATACCATACCATGCCATACCATACAAAGCCATGCCATACCATACCATGCCATACCATAGTTTATTTATATAGCACATTTAAAATGCAGCATTGGAGCTGCCCAAAGTGCTGCATTACTTAATGTTAAAATTAATATTAACCAGTTGTTAACACGTTATTTAACAGTTTATTAATGCTTAATAATGCACTAAGTAACAGTAATAAAAATCACCCTCATTTAACTAGATCAGCATTTTATCATCTCCATCAAATAGACTCGGAGGTCTCATGTCCAGACTGGACCTAGAGAAACTTATTCATGTGTTCATCTCCAGCAGGCTGGACTACCGCAATGGTCTTTCGACTGGCCTTCCCAAAACAGCTGTGAAGGAACCGCAGCTTATTCAGAATGCAAGAGTCTTAAGAACCAAGAGAACCGAGCACATCATCGCTGTTTGCATTGTTATTCTTTCTGCTCCAAACATGAAGATTTCCCCACTGTGACATCACTAGTCTAGTCATTCATTAATGCCCCATTTATAAAATTAAAGCCTGACTTTTAACACACCAGTGCACCCATAGGTGGATTTTATTGTGACTCAAATAGTAAATAATAAACAAGTGTCATGAAATTGTTAAAAAATAACATTTAATAAACATTCCTACATTTGTCTCGATGTCCAATGTGCCGATTCTAGTGTTTAAAGCATTCCAGGATTTTCATGAAATATAACAAGTGTATT